ACATTCATTGCCTTTAAACCAATCTAAAAGTGCTTGTCAAAGACATCCAGCACCTGTTGGCAACACCAGATCCCACCAACAACAAACAAAGTTCAACTATTATACATCATCAGACTCGGCTCATCAAGATGAAGCTGCATACTACATTCATTTCTGTTGGAGTAATCTACATCAACTTGTAGTTGCAACCATGAAGGATGTTTGCAGGGTGACCACCCTCACTGATGGAGCTCCACCCTCACACAAGTTGTGCGGGAGTTGAAATGCTCAAGCAGAAGTAGATTGTGCGTGAGCATGAGGCCAAGCAGACTGTTCAGCTGAAAACTTTGCACCTGGCGACATTACTGGAGTCACTCCTGGCGTGCACGCATGCACGATTCGGTTGCTCATTGTCGACCTAGCACTAACAGCAGCATCTTGCAACTCGAGAGGACTGAACAGCAACACATCTTGCTGTCACGACCACTAAAGATGACACTGCACTTTTTACATCACGTGAGTGCAGGACAACAGCATCAAGACAGCAACATGGCAGCGATCAGTAGAAGTACTCATAAATGAACAAGCACATTGTATCCAAACAACCAACAGCAGGCTCTTGTTTATATGTATGATCTCGTTCCATGGCAGCTCTCTTGTTCGTCTATATCTATTATCTACATCCATTGATAGCATGTCAGTGAGCATGTCTGGTCCCACATGGAATAGCAGGGCGAGACAGTACCAATACCAGATCAGGTTCGATGCTGGACCGGCAACAGAGAGACATACAAGCCAAAGTGGAGGATGATGTTGTGAAAGTGCGTCCGGCGACCATTCAAGAGCTGAGGAGTCTATACGACAATGGTTCGTCACTACGCAGGATCGTGCTCAAGGGAGACATCGCCAAGCATTTGAGGTGCACAGTGACGTCATTCAATGGAAGAGCGAAGATGGATGTCCGATTCGATGGATTGGGTATCGACCATGTGACTCAATCCAAGATCCTGGGGGATGTGAAAGAGGAGCTCGGCGATTTGATCGATGACCTGAACGACACAATTACAGGTGGCAATGGCGGCGCAGAGGACGATGATGCAATGGAGGAGTACCAACAATACTACAATATGTCGGTGCAGTTGAGACAAGAGCTAGATGCACGAGTGAGCGATGGCGCCCAGAGCCTAGAACAAGACTTCTACACAAGTGTCCTTGCCAGTATGTTCCTCTGTCTCTATTGTATGATCTGACCATCACTTTGTCGCCAATGGAATGCTTGGCCTGCATCCGCATGTCGACCTGGGCACCAGTGTTGTCACCAATGTTGTCGTCGCCATTGTTGTTGTCGCCAGTGTTGTCACCAGTGTTACCGCCACTGTCTTGGTCTCCATCACTGTCGCTGACGGACCCTCCAGCATTGTCATAAATATCCATGCCCTCGCTAATGTCGTCCTCTCGATCGTCGTCCACTCGATTGTCGTCCTCGTGATGGTCTTCCACTCCATGGTCCTCGCCATTGTCGTCCTCGCCATTGTCGTCCTCGCCAATGTAGTCCTCGTCGCTGAATGCGAACGTGTCGCTCTGCATGGTCTTGTGGTAAGTGATGTCTTGAGGATGGTGGACCTCTCTCATCAAGTTAAGAAGGCGGTGTGGCGCGCGCAGGATGTTGGCCGACGTGTCAAAGGTGACAAGTGCTTGATCAAAGGCTTGGGACAAGCTGACCATCTTTCCCTTCTTGTTCAGACCATCATTCAGGTACACCTGGAACTCAGACTTGAATATGTTCTTGACATGCTGCTGGAAGTGAGGGCTCTTGGTCTGGAAGCACTCCAGTAGCTTCTTGACCAACGACTTGGTGACAGCAGAAGGTGGAGCAGACCAGGAACGATGCGCCGCAGGTCCAAGTCGATCAAAGGAGTGTGCTAACGTTGTGAGTGTAAGTTTATATATATATATATATATATATATTTATTTATGTTGACATAAACATTACTAACCTTCATGCCTTCGTTTAGATGTGGATGAGCTGGGTGGTCATTACCATGCCGCTTCATGTGCTTGATGGGCCTGTCGATGCTGGTGTTGTTGATGTTTGCGCTTGTTACCAAACACCAGCAGCAACGGTACAGAGAATTGGTCTGGTAAACGTTGTATAGACCAAGGGCTTTGCCAAGGACCTGAGGAAGCTGTTGAACGGGAGGAAGAAGTTCAGCATGACCGTGCCAACTGGGCAGGACGACAAGCAGCTTCAGCATGCAGGACATATCGAAGCATCCAACTAGTGTGATGTGTAGATGGGATCACCATTGTCTGTACCGTTGTGTATATTCCACCGTCAAGGGCAGCCTTCAGCAGAATGTCCTAAATATTAACATATGTATATACATTAGCATCACAGCAACAGCAATAGCAACAGCAACAGTAGCCAGCCGGTTAATGATCACACATTGACACCGTGGTCCACTGGTCGGCAAAACAGAGATCGGCAGAGACATGACAGTTCTTGGCCTTGGATCGCGGAGTGATGTGCTTGGCCACGGACTGCAGCATCGAGGTCTTGTACTGGATGTGCCTGGTCCACCTCAAACACAGTCGTGTCAGAACCCAGAGGCAGTCTGAGTGCGCGAGTGTCCATTCCCGCGCCAAGCAGAACGATCTGCTTGATCGACTTCTCGTTCTCCATGATCACTTCATCGATGTACTTGGTTCGCATGTATATCCTATCAGCAGTCGATGGTGTTCCTAAGGTGCGAACAAGAGTGTAAGCATGCATCCGATGTCATTCTTGAACATCATCCACCATGCATACCCAGAGGAAGGCAGGAGAGCGACCTTCGAATGTTTGAATCAGCTCATCCTGTGATGTGATATGGCCCATGCCTGCATCGAACAGCCTGCTCCGGACGATCGGGTGGTTAAAGAGACCGGCATGGCGGAGGACATGGCCTGGATGGATTGGACAACCAGCTCTTTGGCCCTCTGGTGTGGTGCAGAAGAAGGGGTCGTAGATGATGGTGGCGATCAACCTGAATGCCGCCACATAGATCGATGTCCGGGCCACGCCATGGTTAATGAATAATGTGCAGTGTGAAGGACTTGTTGGCCAAGAAGGCCTCATTTAGACGGCTTTATTTCCGTTTCTTGCTCTCTCTCTTCATCTCAGACTTGTAGTCATCCCAGCTGGCATTCATATCATCATCTCCTGGTCGTCGTCATCATTGTTGTCTGGGTCCGGTGTGGTCACGTCTCTGGGCGATGACATGAATGACAATTTGAATGGGTTCATTAGAGAACCTGGAGAGCTGCCGCCATCATTGGATGCGGAAAGTCGCCCACGCTTGCCAAGAACTGTGTTGCTTCCAGGGAAGTGAGATGATGTATGAGGGGAGCTTCGAGGAGATGACATTGGCGAGGAATGAGGAGTGGAACCAGGTGTGGTGCCAGGTGATGACATTGGAGAGGAATGAGGAGTGGAACTACGGGAGGAGCCAGGAGAGGTAACAGGAGTGTAGGGAATGTCTAACTCATAAGGAGCAATGTTTGGCCATGGGAGACCCTGATGGTAGGGTGCATACAATCTGGCTTGGAACTTGGCAACTTCTCGTGCCATGATGCCTTGTGCCAGGGGTGTATTTCCAGAATGGCTTGCTTGTAGCTCCAAAAAGTTGGTTTGGTGTAACAAAGCATACGACCCCTTCTTTCTCTACCCAACTTTGAGGCTTGGAAGTAGGTGCCAAAGTCTGTGCCTGGGTGTTTAATGGCACATGTTGATGGCCTTCGTTGTCCTCATTATTATTCGCCCATGTGGATTCATGCATTCTTTGCCAGAGTTTGCCAAATCCTGCTCAGCAATGCAAGGCTCTGGGACTCCTTGGCAACTTGGCCGGAAGATCTTACTCCATATGTCCCGTTTTCTCTCGTACAGTTGGGAGTACACCATTATAAAGAATGGATTTCCGGATGGAAACGCCAGTTGGAGAGAAAGAGCTGGAGGGTTGGGCAGTGGGAGGTCCTGTGGAATCAGTGTCACAGGATTGAGAACTTGGAAGAAATTAAAGGTATTGCCATGGGTCCTGCTGTAGAACTTGGTGCTTGTCCTTACGAGCATATTGGTCAGGAGTTGAAATAGTTGTCTCACTTGGGACAGGTATGGGTTGGGTCAGAGTATTGAAATGGTGGTTGTATCGATTGTGCAACAACTTACCATTGACATAAACATCGTGGGCCAGACTGGGATTTTGTGGTGCCATGATGGTAGTGCAAAGCATAAGTTGGGAGAACCGATTGTTTTCTCTTATGTTTGCGTTCTGTGCCCTCCCTTGGTATCTCGGAGGAAAGTCATTGTTCAGTTGGACCGTACTTGTTACCTTTGGATTACCACAACTGAGTGGAAGTGCTTCTCTGTAGTCTCTGTGACCATAAAAGGTCAGACGGAGAAAGTCCAATGTTCCTTCAGGGAACAAAGATACGTCCTGATTGAAGAGATCAAAGTCATTATTGGCATATCGATCGTAGATGAGAAACTTAGAAATAAAATGTTAAATCCACATGCCCTCTCCATTGGCATCCTGGTGTGTAAGACAACGATTATTAGATTAATAGTGGCTCATTTGACATGGGGTGATTGAGAGCTTACCTACCCAAAGTACAATGCCCTTCTCATGAGGAGAGACAAAAACGTCGTTTCCATTGTAGTTTGGTACTGTATCGGAGCCAGGTGGCTGAGTCCCCTTGTTTCGAAAGTCGTTGTTGTAGGCGACAAAGTTTTGGATCTCCTGGTTGTTGGTACGCAACAGGTGTTGGGCTTACACAATTATATATATATGGATAGATGACACGCGTTGAGCTGGCATCTAATAGAATTGAGTTCCAAAGCCAAGACTGTATATATGGCGTGAGTCTCCATCATAATGGCGAGAGTCATCATGATAGCGGAGACAACCGACTACACTAATCACACGTACGCTCATGGATGACCGTACACAATAAATACCCGGGACTGTTAGTCACTACTGGACAACAATTACCCTTACCCCCTATTATCTGTCTATATTATTACTATCCACGCCATAACTATACACTAAAGTCTTACAACAGGGGGACGACCTTTCCAAAGGAGCTTCGGCTGGATAGATGATACTTTCCAGTCTTGATTGGAGGAGTGTTTTTAGTTGACAGGATTCCAAGTGTTGAAGCTAATGGAAGATTGGTAGTTGACATACCTTGAACAACGGCTCGGTCATATCAGAGTCATAATATAAATATAAATCACTGTAATGGGGCATCTTGAAGATGAGCCACCAATCCACATTATGTTGGTCCTGTTCGCTTTGGAAGATTGCAGTGTCCCTCTGGCACCTGATCGAATGAGTGTTACCAAAGAAGAACAAGGTGATAAACACCAACACAAATATGTACTTGTGCATAGTTGAGTAAGTGACAGAATAATAACGGCTTCAATGGATAGTTGTTACTTATAAGAGATGAACTTCATTAACAAGAATTTATTATTGAGATTAGATTCAGTGCTCTCAAAATGCCTTCCACGCTACCTGAGTAAAACTTCTCTCAGTGGGCACTCTGGTTCATCTACTTGTTGTCTCACACCTTATATACATGTCTCTCCCAGACAAAGAAGAGTCGTTGGTCATTTGGTGGATCACTATCCTCACATATTCTTGGCAGCATCTCGCTCGAAAGTGCTCTCAAAATGCCTTCCATATTACGTCCTGGTCAACTCGTCTTGGCTTCGATACGTCTTGGACGCAATCAAGTTTGAAGTTTCCGATTATTGGCTTGCTATAGAACATGTCATCATTTCAGCCGACTGTATTGGCCAGTTGCAATGGCTGCGCAAGAAACGAATGTGGAGAGCTACTAGTCTCCATCACCACTCGTTGATTGCCCAACCACACTCATAATCATCAACATAGAGATAAAGTTTACTGTACAGGAGTTGTCCATCAGTGTCGAATGGATACATCTCTGGCAGTGGCTCCACAGGTCAATGGATTTGTATTTCTCCTATGAACTGTGGGTCCAACTCCACAAGCAACTGAGATTCAGTTTATTACACAAGTTTGCCCAATAGTTTAGTTGTCGCCCTTATCCTTGTTACCAGCAACGCGATCAAAATACACCAATGGGCTGTTCAAGAAGTTGCCAACATCAGTTGGGGCAATGTAGATAGTTGCACCCTTCAAGGCCTTGGCCTTGATCTTGGCCATCTCGATCTCTAGGAGTGCTGGGAACTTTGCAAACAACTCTCCTTGCATTTCAGACGCCTTCCTCTGTGCATCGGCAGCCACCAACAGAGCTTCGGCATCACGTTGTGCTGACTGTAGCTTGGCCTGAGCCTCGGCAATGACAGCCTGGTTCTTTTGAGCCAGAGCAATGTTGTCAGTCTCAGCCTTTAACCTAGCCTCTGTGGTCTTGATGTCATACTCCTTGACAAGAGTGGCCTGCTTGGTGGTGAACTCGGCAGATGTGACAGACTGACCGGCCAACTTCTTTGCAATTTCGGCATCCAGAACTTTAATTGTCTCGATCTGGAGACGAGCCAACTCGATACCATACTCGCTTAGGTCCTGAGCAAGATGGTCTAAAGATATAAGAAGTATTAGTAATCGTTTATAACAACCCTTTGAAATAAATATATATATATGTATACTTACACTTGACACGATCTTGAATGGTCTGGACACTCTCGTCAATCTTTTGACCTGGCTTGGTGGAGTTGAAATACATGACCTCTTGGAGGGTGGACAATTGGATGGCCTTGCCCATGTCAGCGAACGACACATTTTCAATGTGTGGGATGATTCCCTCTTTGCCTAACTTGGTGATGGCCATCTCGGGGTCGACGATCTTAAAGGCAACAACCAAGACAACTCCAACGCGGAGGGAGTCTCTTGTTTGGAAGATCTTAAGGTTGACCTCATCGGAAGATGCATTCTTATTGTCCAGCAAGGCCTGTTGCTTGGTCTCCTTGCTTGGGAAAAGGCAGGTCTGGAGGGAGGTGGCAACGAATCCATCAAAGTTGTGAGTTGGGGAGTCGATAACCACTGGCTTTCCATCCTTTGGTGGTGGGATGATGGTCAAGATACCATTGTTGTAGGTGATGGCCACCTCTCCAGTGTGAGGGATGATACGCTTGATTGATCCATGCTCGACGTAGGTATCAGTGGCGGCAAAGTAGAGGTGTGCCTTGTTACCCTTCTCCTTTTGAACGAGATTGAACTGGGCATCGACGTAGACGTATGGCTCACGTCTAGACTCCAAGATCACTGGCTGAGTACCGATCCAGACCTTGGCCAACTTTCCGGCTGGAACACGCAAGATGTTGATGGTGCTGTGCTCAATGTATGGCTCGTTCTGGCTCACAAAACCAGTGCGCTCATCAAACTCGAACGTTGGGTCGATGATGACGTGTGGACCCTCACCATAGAGAACTGGTCTGTTCTTGGAGAAACCCTTGGCGTAGTGACCAGCTGGGACGTTGATAACATGCTTTCCATAGGCACCAAAGTAGTGGTCAGTCTTGTTGACTGGTCCAATGTACTTAATAGTCACTGTTGGGTCTGGAGTGTAGACAGTAGAGAATCTTTTGCCTCTTGGGTCTGTGTTTTAAGGAAGGAAGATTGAGAGAGAAATAAAAGAAGGGGGAGTAAGAATGTGTGTGGTGTGAAGCTAGAAGTTATAATCTATGATGAATAAAACACATACCAAACAATTCTGCAACTTGGTTACGGTGTCCAAGGACATACTGGCTAACATCGACACGTGAAAGACCTCTACCAAGAAGTGGATTGTCAGTGAAGGCACTCTTGTCCACGTTGCTGTTGAAACGTTCCAAAATGATTCTTGAGGTCTCCTCGGCTGAGGCATTGGCAAAGTCCGAACGGATTACAATGTGGGACACGGTGAGCTCCTCCTGAGGCGAAGATGATGAGTAGTCGTGGTCATGCTCCGAAGTGAAGGTGGCTGCCTCCAGATTCTTTCTCTTGTCTCCTGTTGCTGCTGGGTTTGGTGATGTATCTCCAGAGTTCATTATTGTTATTATTATAGTTTATATGTTTGATGATATAATTGTACAATGAGTTGTTCACAATATAAATAAAGTGAAATTTATGATTAGGTTGAACCAAAAAAAACAGATATTTGTCAAAAATAAATTAAAATAATCATTTGTGAACCGTTAGTTTTTTTGTGACGTCACCCCAGGTCTGAAGCTTGATTTAGAGTTGTACAACGAGCTTGGGACCCAAAGATGACAACACCGATCTTATTTTATTATTATTATTATTATTTGTATTGAACTGTGGCTTGATTGGATTTACCCTTCTTAAACGCCGAGCCGTTAAGTTTTGGATCGGTCGACGCCTGGAACGTTAGCATCGTATCAGCACCCTTTGGACGGGCATTGTTATAGGTGATCGATTGAGTGAATTGCACCTTCAACCTCACACCAGTAAGTCTCTGAACTTGTTGGACGAGAACTGTGACAATCTCAGAGACAGCTTCATATCCGTTGATGCCCAGGTCGAGGACAAAGTCACGCTGGGGTGGCTTGCAGTGGATCACAAGGAAAGTATCACGATTGGGTGACACTGATATGGAAGTGATATCGACCAGAGGTGTGCCATACTTCTTGACCTTATAGTTCTTGGGGTCATGCTTGTAGATGTTGGCATTGGTGACCACGATACCTCTCTTTTGTGGTGTGCCCTTTGGATTCACCTTGATGACATAGTCGGCAAACAGTACCTCTGTGTCACCGTAGGTCTGGAACAGTGACTGCATCGCTGCCACGTATTTGGCCTGATATGGATTGGTGGTCTTCTCCAGGTAGTCGGCATCAAATACTCGCGAGCAACTCCAAGGCTTGTTGCCTCGGAATAGATCGAGGGCCAGAACCTTCTGACGCATAGCAGGAGCACCACCACCCAAGGAGAGGACCATCTTCTCTGCACGCCAAGTGTTGTGTACTTTGTGTAGGAGCTCTACGGCACGGTTGAGAACAGTGGGATGCTTTGGCCACAAGATGTTCTTGCCCCACTTGGGATCTGCTTTGACGCCAGTCATGACGCGGTTCAACTCACGGAACCACTTCTTGAAGCGATAACCACGATAGAACAGTTGTATCTTAATGGCTGCCTTGCGTTGGTTCCACTTACTACGTGCCACGTAACCTCTCCATGTCTTTTGGATCAAAGTGGCGATCCTTGGTAGCTCGGCCTCACGTTTCTCCTCAAAGAAGAAGAGTGTGGTAGGATTCCTAATAAAGACCTTTGTCTTTCCCAAGCGATACTCCTCCTTGGAGATGTTGTGCGCTGCAAGAATGGCCTCAACCGCTTGCTTGGCAGAGCCCTTGAAGGTGGGCCACGTGCTCTTTGATGTCATCTTGTAGCGTTGTGAGAAACGCTCGTATGTCTGACGGTTGGCAAATCCGGCACGGCGCACTCTGACATTCTCTAGGAGACCCAAGTATCTGACCTGATGGCGGACTCGCTCCTCATCAATGACACCAGGCTGTTTGTTATCATTGGATTTGATGCATCGGACATAGTGAGGTGAGCATGCCAAAAGTGTGGCGATCAGGGCATTCATGGCGGTCCTAAACTGTGAACCTGCTGTCTCTGGTCTCTTCTTTGAGTCTTCTGGCTTGGGTGATGGGAAGATGCTCCTCACAAGTGGATCGGATGATGTTTGCATTGCGTTGATCAGATCCATAAACAAGGTGTCCTTGTTCTTGTCCAAGAAGCCAGTGACATCATAGGTGACATCACCTGCATAATGCTTAAGTCTAAAGCAGTTCTCTCCAATCGATCGATCCCTTGTGCTCTGATAGCTCTGAAAGTGTGCATTCTTTTCGAATGTACTTTGGATATTTGAGATGATGAAATGTTAGTGCATTCATTCAGTTGGAGTACTAGGGTAATAACATTATAATAAACATACCTTTCTATTTGGTTGAGGAACGTTTGGTCCGTTGACTTGGCAATTAGACATGATTCATCCAACAATGAAAACATACCCATGACCTTCTTCTCGATGAGCTCACAGATTGGTTTGTTGTTGAAGTACTCGATATTCTTCCACTCGATACCCTCTCTGATATACTCCTCCTGCTCACTCTTGAGTGTCAACTCGATAAAGAGTTGTTGGAGCTTCTCATTACAGTAGTTGATATTCAATTGTTCGAAGCTGTTTTTCTGTTTGATGAACGTATAATATACAATAGTTAGTATTGTGTTGATCAGCTGGCCACTGTTAGTGTTGCTGCGGAGTAGTACTACTTACATCAAACACCTCGAAACCATAAATATCAAGGATGCCAATGACCAATCCTTTCTCATTACAGTTGATCTCATGATTGATCCTGGACACGAGCCATTGGAACAAACGTTCGTAGAGAGCCTTGGCCAAGGCATCACGTGAGAACACTGCCTGTGCATTGTCCAGTGGCACAGCAATCACAGAGTATCGCTTTCCAACACCAGTGTTGATCGAACGATAAGTGAGTGCACGTGACAGAAATTGTTGATCCACCTTTAGACAGCTGGCAGCCGCTGCCAAAGACTTGGTGTCTGAGACACCGACATGGTTCTGTCCAACCTTTTGTTCGGGTAGGTCGGCAAAAGTGATGTTTCCAATGTGTAGGATAGCTGCCAGAGATCTCCAAATAGATATCTGCTCATTCTCCTTCAGACCAAGTGTGTCCATCGCTCTCTAGTAGGAGATATTGATGATTAATATGTATGTATTGTTGGTTGAGGAGTGCTACTTCAACCTACCAAGACAGCTTTGAAGTCAGCAACATCATCGATCGTATTGACATCGACACAGTTGCTCACTTTCAGATAGTTATAGGCTTGTGCATTTGAGGTGAGTCCTAGTTCAGACAACTTGTTCTGTGGTAATCCTTTGAGCAATTGATAGAAGCTATATATGATGATGACTATTAGTTGTTTGAAAGATATCTATCTATTTGATGGAGGGATAGTTACATATGGAAACTCCTTTCGCCATTGGCTCGACCAACAACTCTGGACTTCTCCAATAAGTCTATTGTGGTGGATTTGTCAGCACTGTGATATGTATTTGTTTTGTCGTTTGATGAACCTTACAGTTTGTGATCTTTCCACCAGTTGGTACACCAGCTTGATTGAATTGCATCTCCATATATTTGCCGAAACGAGAGCTGTTGTCGTTTCTCAATGTCTTTGCATTGCCAAATGCCTCCAACAAGGGATTGGACTCTAACAACATCTTTGTGATCCTGTCTCCCTCCAAAGTTGCTTTGTTGCTTACAAAGGCCAAGAACTGCATGATTTTCTGTTTGATCATTGTCAGAAAAGGTAATGAATGAATGAATGAATGAATGAATGAATGAACAGATAGTTTACCTTGCTTGCCTCTGTCTTTCCAGCACCAGACTCTCCACTGATAATGACACATTGTTTCTCCTGGTTCTGCTTCATTGATCTATAGGCATCGTTTGCCAATGCATAACTAGATAGATAAAGGTAAAAGGCACACTGTTGGTGATAATACTGATACTTCTTCTAACTAATTAATGTCTTACATATGTGGAGGCATTTCATATTTGTATCGTCCATTGTATGACTTTATGTCGCTATCGTTATAGATGTTCATCTTCTTGAAAGGATTGGATGAGATGACTACATCGCCAATGTATGTGTAGATTTGGTCAGCCTTGTGACGTGTGATGAGATTCTCTATGAACTCATTCTCGGTGATCTGGTTCATCAGGACAAAGTCCGGAACACCTTCACCTTTCTTGTACATCTTGTTGTTGTTGCTACTATTATTAAAGAGAGAAATAAATAAATGTACAAATAATCGATTGATTGATTGATAGGTATTAGGTTGGTCGGTTTGTGTAGATTTATAGTTAGATATTGGTTTTGGTACAAAGGACAAATAGTTTTAGCCAATTTATTTGAATCAAATTTGACCCACCCAACCTTTGTTGGGTTGTCTTTTGGATCATCACTGACTAGCTGTTGTTCTGTTGATTGGCACCCACTGTTTTGTCATTGTTGTGATGTTGTGAGTAAACCAAGTATGTCTGGACATTAAAAAGGGACTTACCTTTGGAGCGTCTGTAAAGAGTCGCATCGCATGGACAGCCCTGGTCTCTGTCAATGTAAACCTATGATACATTAGTGCCGGCTGAGAATGTCCTCATAAGTGTTAATACTTGTTATAACAAATCAACTATCATATCACACTTACGACGATAATCAGATCACCTCTTTCAACACGGATTCTTATCCATTTGTCTTGGGTGTCTCGAACATCAAAGAAGCCACTACCATCAAGAATGAACCTGATCTCTTCGTCATCATGCAAATGTCTGGAGTTTGGCAAGCGATGTTGGTGTGAGTGGCTTCCATTGCAACACGTCATCATCATCATCAGTCGTCTTATTAATAATACTCTTCAAAGAATATCTTTAACTTGTCATCAAGACCTGGAGTGTCATTGTTCAGCTTGACCTCGTCTCTGTTCTTGTAGCCACGCTCCTGACATATAGAGGCCAACTTGTTGGTGTAGTCATCCATTGGCATCGGATAGTAGTGGATTTTGATGGCATTCAATTGCTCCACTGATACATTGCTTGATGGATCATCAAAGTAATAACTCCTCATTATTATTGTTGTTTTTGTTAATATGTGTATGTTTGTGTGTGATGAGTAAATAACTAATGAATGGTAAATAACTACTGAAGTGGGAAAGTGGGAATCAGACTTTGTTTTTGTCGTTCGTCTTTTGCTTTCAACTCACCCAATATCATACATATATAAATAATACAAATAATATATATAAATATAATTAATCAATGCCAAATAGTAGTAAATCATCATCCTCCACTCACTCGATGGATGCTCAAGAGAGGGCCCTTTTGATATGTGGACGTGCCAACGACCTTTTAAGCTTGATCGGGGGAGGAAATAACCATCCAGATATCGATGCTTGTCACATCACTACAGAGGACCATCAACACACAGAGCATTGTAGTCATCATCATCAATCAACTAATGAAGCCGTGGACCATCATCAGCACACAGAGCATTGCAACCATGATGATGACGACAAAATAGAACATTCATCGCTGCAAAAGGAGGATGAAGATGAAGAGGAAGGCTTGGAAGCAGCTGACGACGAAGATCAGATCATTGATGAAGCCAAATCATTATTTAATCAAGCATTGTCAATCGATCAAGGTTGTATCGATGCACTCATTGGTCTCTCCTTCATTGCTGGTCTGGACAACGATGATAAGCACTCTGAAGACCTCTTGAACAGGGCAGAGGCCCTTGCACCTGGCGATCAACGAATCCATGCCCTCAGAGATGCCCTTAAAGAAAAGATTGAGAGGGCTGAGCGTTTACAGAGACAATCTGAGGAGCAAGAATCTGGCAATGGTGGTGATGATCTTGAAGGTGTCCTAGAGGTGGGCAATGTGAAGGATGTTCCATTCTTGTTCCACGTAAGATCTGATAATGGCTGTTGAGGAGATAAGGAAGGGGATTACTAGGAAGCACAATATGTGAATGACTTACTGATTGACACAACGTTGACCTACCACAGAAAGGATCTGCAACCAAGAAATTCATTGTTACTCTGCGACAGATATTCGACAGATTCGATGCAAACAAGGACAACTCGCTGAGTCTAAAGGAGTTGCAAGCCTACTCGATGGCAGTCAATGGACAACAACTAGACAAACAGACTGTCCAGTTCTTGTTGCACACATACAACTCTGACAAGAGAGGTCTAACATTCACAGGTTTTGTCGAACTCTACATTAATCAAACAATAGAGGACCCTTCTGAAACCTTTAAGGATCTATCTACGCTTGGATTCGATGCAACTCTGAGTAAGAAGTTGTGAGTATAATTAAAGAGGCATTGTTGTTGTTGTTGTTGTTGTTGTTGTCATGTTCAACATCATCAACATCATCATCATTGTTAGGCAGTGATAACATTACTACTATCACTACTATTGTTATTATTATTATTATTACTACTGCTGATTGTAGTTGAAGGGTTTGGATCATAGTCATAATGATTGTAGAATGTCCTGACGATTGCAGAGTCCTTCTCTTTGGAATTGAGTCCATAGATATTAACAGGGATTGGTACTTTGATCTGCTGCTGCTGCTGATCACGTTTGAAGTTTACAAAGACATTCATACAGGACATGTTGAGCCAATACTGTACAGGCAAACCTTGAGCCTGCTCCAGTGAATGCTTGAGTGATTGGCATTGTAGACTTTGATGTGTTTGTTCACCGACCACTTGAGTGGCAAGAGAGATAGAATTGCTTTCAGAGTTGTATAACTCTACAAGTATTTGTTGGGATCATTACCATTTTATGTATATTAGTGATCCACCAATAGTCTATTAAACATCTTGCTTCTTCTGATTACCTACCAACTCTATGATTCAGTGAGGCAATGTCAACGATCAGCTCAACTACAAAGGTGACATTCTCGACAGGTACCTTTGTAGTGAACACTAGATCAATGGTGAAGTGTGTGTCTATGGGAGTATCAAGTTGGTTTGGTGATATTGTCACATTGTCAATGCTTATACAATCCATATTTATTATTATTATTATTATTATTATTATTATTACTACTTGTTATGAACAACAACAATGAAAAGCTGATGAAAAAAACGAACGAGTAATTATTGTTAACAAAGACACACTTACAACAAATACAGATACACAAAATGGACGACGACGACGACGGAATAGAGTTAAACCTATCATTTACTGTACCTAAACCAAAGATACAACCTAATGTCGTAGATCATGTTGTTAAAGTTAATAATAACAACAACAATAACAATAATAACAAAAGCAACAACAATTTATACCTGTCAACTGAGACGTCTACCAAGGTAGACAAACGATCAAATGGTGATAAACCAACAACAAAGACATCCAAGACAAAAACAACAACAAGTACAACTTCAACAACAGCACCAGCTAAACATATTAGATATAAAGTGGATGATGGCGAACAGGTCAATCATTACTCGTCAGAGGTCAACAAGTATAGACAGTTGGAGAAGGGCAAACGAATGGACCTCAACTACAAGCCCAACCTTCCCAACATTGAACCAAAGCTCAAGGAGATTGACAGTTCAGAGGTGTTTAGCAAGGGACACTTTGGTGACTTGGAGCTCTGTGCCGCTCTTACCGACAACTTGACCGGTCACATGCAGCTGAAGCAACCGACACACATCCAATCAGCATCCATCCCACACATCCTCAAGAAGAAAGATGTCATGGTCAAAGCTCAAACAGGCAGTGGCAAGACACTTGCCTATATGATACCCGTGGTACAGGAACTCTCCATCAGACCTCAGCGTATATCTCGAGCTGAGGGCTGCTACTGCATTATTGTGGCACCCACACGCGAGCTTGCATTGCAGATCTTTGAAGTGCTACAGAAGCTCTTGAAGCCTTTCCATTGGATAGTACCTGGTCTGATCATGGGTGGTGAGAGTAGGGACAGCGAGAAGGCAAGGCTAAGGAAGGGCATCTCGATATTGGTCGCCACGCCTGGACGTCTACTGGACCATCTCAAGATGACACAGAGCTTCATGGTGCAGAATGCTCAATGGCTGGTATTGGACGAAGCGGACCGTCTCTTGGATCTTGGCTTTGAAAAGTCAATCAATGATATCATAACCATCATGAACCAGAAACAACAGACAAGAGACAAACGACAGAACATATTGGTGTCTGCAACGTTGAGTGAAGGAATCAATCGTCTGGCATCTCTGAGTCTTGTTGACCCAGTCTATGTTAGTGTCGAAGGTCAATTGCACACTGATGAAAATGGACAGCTCAAAGAGGAGGGCTACGTCGCACCCAAACAACTGGATCAGTACTATGTCGAGGTGGAGTCAAAGGAGAGACTGGTGTCCTTAGTGGCTTTCTTAAAGTGGAAGACAACTAGTTCATTGATGTATGTAGACAATACATCACTCATACACACAAATATCAATCCCAAGTACTGACGATTAACATATAGGTCTGGAGGAGCATCAAAGATTATCATTTTCTTCTCATCATGTGATTCGGTTGAGTTTCATCACTACCTCTTCTCCAATGTTAAGCTGGATGCAGATCGATCTGGACAGAATGCACAAAAGGCCAACTCCATCTTTAAGGATGGTGGAACGGTTGTCGACAAGGATGGAACAGTCAAGAAGGATGAGATCAAGAAACTGCCATTGTTTGCTGCTACTCTCTACAAACTGCATGGTGATATCGAACAGAAGCAGAGAACAGATACCTTTTTGAACTTTAAGAAGGCCAAAGAGGGAATACTCTTGACAACTGATGTTGGTATGTTGTTGTTATTATTGTTATTGTTGTTGTTCTGTTATCAATGTCATTATTATTAACTCTTTATCTACTATAACATTTAACATTGACAACAATAGCTGCACGTGGACTTGATTTGCCAGAGGTCAATTGGATTGTCCAGTATGATCCATGTTCAGATACCAAGGAATACATTCACAGAATAGGAAGAACAGCAAGGCTAGGTCATACTGGCTCTGCTCTCATATTCCTTACACCGAGTGAGAGGAAGTATATAATGCACTTGAATAAGTACAATGTAAGTTATGACCACTTCCTTCGATTGATGGACTTGTTCATCTGACACCCCACACAACAACCCGTTGTACAACCACAATAGATCGAGCCAACAGAGATGAATGTTACAACTATTCTACAGAGTCTTTACCATACGACCGAGGGTCAACTCAAGAAGACCATCAAGTCCACTCAACTTGAATCTCAAGTTCATGATTTACAACTTACAATGGAGCGATACGTTCTGGAAGATGAAAAGGTATTGTGTTTGTTGGATTGAGTGATCAACCTATATTAACTCACCTCTCTCTATACACATTTTCATAATAGGGTACTGAGTTGGCCAGGTCAGCATACCAGTCATCTCTGCGAGCATACGCCACACACAAGACACTACTGAAAAGTGTGTTCCACATTGGATCACTGCATCTTGGTCATGTGTCCAAGAGTTTTGCCCTTAGAGAGACACCTTCAGAATTGGTATGTTATCATCAAATGACAATCAATACACACTTCTGATGGCAACTTACTGACTGACAACTATGATCTCCAATATCACTGTAGAACAAAATAACAGCAAAGCAAGACAAGGTAGCAAAGAAGGAGGACGACTTGAAGAAGTTGCAAAAGACAACAGACTTCAAGATGAAGAACTACTTCCAGACCAATGAGTTTGGAAATGGACTTGGTGCCAACATGGCAAACTCTACCAACAAGAAGAGAACGTTTGTGGATCACACTCACACCACCAGTGGCGCCAATAAAAAGGTTAGATCTGACCTTTGAACCAGATTTATCTTGTCCTTGTTTATTGAGTTTAACACTTCACTTGAAGTTCGCAAAACAAATAAAATTGTAAATTTAATGAAAAACAAATAAAATTTAATTGGGTTGGTTTGGTGGGTTGAGAGGGAACCAACAACAAACCACCTCAACTCCACATCTCCTCAGCAACACATTCAAGAACTAAACTTCTACCTACTGAGACCTACAAACAAATAACAAACAAATAACTAAACTACAGTACTACTGTACCCTTGACCTTGGAACTACCTTACCTTTCTACTTTGATTGAACTGACCAAACAAACAAATTAATTAAACATAACAAAAAAACTTGACTTGACATACTTGTGACGCTGTCTTTGACTATTTACCTGACCTTACTTACTTCTTACTTACTTTGAACAATATATTGACCTACTCTTGTTGTCTATCTCTTTGATTGATTTACTAGTGTATACTGAGCCTATCTACCTCATCCTCTACAACCTATTATTACCCACAAACAAACAAGGTAAATTAATTTGGAGGGAATTGTATTTGCTTTATTGAACGTTGCTAATAGTCTCACCCTTTCTTTCTCCTCAATTCTATTCTCTTCTTCCATTTCTTATCTCTCCATCTCTTCTCCTTTATCTCTTCTCCTTTCTATTCTCCATTTCTTATCTCTATTTCCCCTCTCTCCTTTACCAACTTTTTTTTGTTTTATGGCGGCAACTTTTGAACTTGACCACTGATGATCATCAAACCCCCTTTGATTGTCGTTTTCAAGTGTCAACAAGCCTATTACCATCATCACCATCATCTTCATCATCATTGACATATAATGGAGCAAATACTCAACTTTAACGAGCAGCTTGACATTAAGCTCCTGGATAGTGTCGTCCGTGTAATGTACTATTCGACCAGTGTACCTGAGGTATGTAAACACAACCCATTTCATCTGTTTGGCCCGTGATCGTTGCATCATACTGATCGGATCCTCTTAATGTCTTCACCACTCACAGAGAGAAACGGCACAGAAGGTCCTCGGTCAATTCCAAGAGCATCCCGACTCTTGGACCAAAGTTGACAGTATCCTCGAGTACTCACAGTCTCCTGAGACCAAGTTCTACGCCCTCTTGATCTTGGAGAGCTTGATCAAGTACAAATGGAAAGCTCTCCCAAGGGAGCAGTGCGAGGGCATCAAGAACTACATTGTTAGCTTGATCATCCGTCTAAGCTCTGATCCCCAGTCCTTTGCTCGCGAGAGACAGTTCCTGAACAAGTTGAACATCATCTTTGTTCAAGTAAGTACACTGACTAACAAACAAGCAATTGATCCTATTGAAATATTAACTGTTTGTTCCACCCCCAATCATAGATACTTAAGAAAGAATGGCCCAACCATTGGTCCTCATTCATTCCAGAGATTGTAAATAGCAGCCGTACCAATGAGTCCCTCTGTGAGAACAATATGAACATCCTCAAGGTGTTGAGTGAGGAGATCTTCACATACTCTGAGGAGCAAATGACTCAGGCAAAGATACAAAGCCTTAAGATTAGCTTTGAAAAGGTATGTCTACAGTTGGTCCTTACTATTCTTTCAATAGCTTCTAACATCATCATCATCGTATCACTCAGGAATTCTCATTGATCAATGAGCTTTGCCAGTTCATTTTAGAGAATGCAACAAGACCCTCGTTGATCAAGGCCACGCTGGACACCCTCCAGCGATTCCTCAACTGGATTCCCTTGCACTACATCATCGAGACCCACCCACAACCTGAGCCGTCCAAGCTGGTCAAACTACTGCTCCTGAAGTTCTTCCCAGAGCCACAGTTCAGGAACGCCACACTCAAATGCTTGGTTGAGATTGCTTCTTTGAGCTTGGGACCAGAGTATGACCAAGTGTTCGTCTTTATCATTGACCAATTCATGAACACACTCAAGTTCTACAAGCCCGATCCAGGTATGTACACAACAGCAGCAGCAACAACAACACCACCTATCCTTTATCATACACTAACACACACATTGATTGATCACCAACAACTTTAGCCAAGATACCAAGTGACTATGAGGATGGAGATCAATCCGAGACTGACTTTATCCACTCACTGACGTTCTTCTTGACAACGTTCTTCAAGGCACATCTTAAGATCATGGAGAACACCATGAACGTACCATATCTCGCACTTGGACACGAGATACTCATCCAATGCTCCAATGTCGAGGACTTGGAGATATTCAAGATATGCCTCGAGTACTGGAACTACTTGGCATCGAATCTCTACAGCGAGACGTCTGCCTACACATTCATGGCTGTGCCACCTCGTCTGAGCCTCTACAAGTCCATCATGAGCAAGGTCAGAGTGGTCCTCATCTCACACATGGCCAAGCCCGAGGAGGTCATCGTCGTGGAGGATGAGAACGGTTGCATTGTCCGTGAGCAAACCAAGGACACAGACTCGCTTACCCTCTACGAGTCAATGCGTGAGACCTTGATCTTCCTCACCAACCTTGACCCTGAGAACACTCAGAACATCATGCTTGACAAGCTGAACCGCTTGATCTCCAACGAGGAGTGGTCCTTCCAGAAGATCAACACTCTTTGTTGGGCCATCGGTTCCATCAGTGGAGCACAGAACAAGGACCAGGAGAAGAAGTTCTTGGTCACCGTCATCAAGGAGCTACTGGAACTTTGCCAAGTCAAGCGTGGCAAAGACAACAAGGCTGTGGTTGCCAGTGACATCATGTACATCGTTGGCCAGTATCCTCGCTTCCTCAAGGACCACTGGAAGTTCCTAAAGACTGTTGTCAACAAGCTCTTTGAATTCATGCACGAGCCACACCCTGGTGTTCAAGACATGGCCTGTGACACATTCCTCAAGATCGCCAAGCAGTGCAAGAGAAAGTTTGTCATCCTACAGATGGAGGAGTCTCAGCCATTCATCAACGAGCTCTTGACCAACCTGCCAAACTACATATCCGACCTGGAGCCTGGCCAAGTGCACACGTTCTATGAGTCTGTCGGCTACATGATCAGCTCATTCACCGATCCACCAGCTCGTGATCGTCTTGTGGTCAAGTTCATGGAGCTACCCAACCAGTCATGGACTCAAATCATGGCCAAGGCTGCTTCCAACGTCGACTCCATCCTGAATATTGAGATGACGCGTAACATTGTCAACATTCTCAAGACCAACTGCCGCGCTGCTTCATCGTTGGGCTCATGCTACCTCGTCCAAATCACCAAGATCTATCTTGACTTGCTCAACGTCTACCGTACCTACAGTGACTTCATCTCAAAGAACCCAGATCAAATCCGCTCTTCGCTCAGTCTTGGCATGAAGGCAGTCAAGAAGGAAACTCTCAAGCTGTTGGAGATATTCATCGAGAAGTCCGACGACAAGATGATGGTGTACAAGAACTTTATTCCACCCATGCTGGAGGCTGTTCTGGGCGACTACAAGACCAACATCCCAGAGGCCCGCGACCCAGAGGTACTCTCCCTCATGTCGGTAGTGGTCACCTCTCTCAAGCAGTTCATTCCACCCGATGTTCCCAAGATCTTGGAGGCCGTGTTCGAGTGCACCCTTGGCATGATCACCAAGAACTTTGAGGACTTCCCAACGCACAGGATCAACTTCTTTAATTTGATCAGAGCAATCAACTCCAACACGTTCACCGGTAAGTGTCTCAACACAACAACAACCAACTACAACTCTCTGACATTATCATGTATACTTACATTGTATTCCAATAGTTTTCCACAACTTGTCCGCTCAACAGTTCAAACTGCTAATCGATTGTGTCGTTTGGGCATTCAAGCACACAGAGAGGAACATATCAGAGACTGGACTCAACATCCTAAAGGAGCTTATTGAGAACGTGTCAAAGAGCCAGGAGGTGTCCAATGCCTTCTTCAAGACCTATTTGGTTCCATTGCTCACCGATATATTGTACATTCTGACTGATTCATTCCATAAGTCTGGTATGTATTTGATAACCTGTACCAGTAACTGCCAATAATCACGGCTAGGTTACTAACACGCATTCAATCATTGATTAGGATTTAATTTACAATGTGACATTATCAAGATGATGTTCCAGGTGGTTGAGAATGGAATGGTCAAGGTGCCAATATGGGACCAGGCCACCACACCACAACCTGCAGGCATGACCAACTCACAGTATGTCCGTGAAATCATTGTCATGTACCTGTCGTCTTCCCCCAACGTAACGAAGAACCATGTCTTAGCCATGACCCAGAAGCTGTTCTCGCTGGCCAACGTCAACAGCAACGAGTTTAAGATATCCGTTCGCGATTTCCTCATCACCCTCAAGGAGTTCCAAAGCTCAGACAATGTCGAGTTGTACAGCGAAGAGAAGGCTGCCGAGAGAGAGGCCCTGCTCAAGAAGAACTTGGCCATCCCAGGTATGGTCAGACCAAGTGAGAACGAAGAGATGTTGGATTGATCTTGGCATCCAACTCTCCTGCCACCAGTCTGTCAGACCAAGACTAAACAATACGCATTGTCTCATAAACTCTCCCTCACCCATTTCCATTGATCACTGATCTTGGCCATCGAGAACCACAGCTGATTTTTTCAGTGTGGACAGACTACACACCGATGAATCTTGCCCTACACAGGTGAGTGGGGTTGCCTCATGGTTTGCCCATGCACAAGGTGTCTTGCCTGAAAAGACACATTGATTTTGATAGGAGGAGGCAAATTCTCCACCTAAAATAGAGTGGTTGATGATGATGACAGTGATCGCACACCTCTTGATGTAATGGTGAACAGACGAGTCCCTAGATTTCGACCGCACAAAATTAATTAATTGGGTAAAAGAGATGATGACTTCTGACTCGCTTGCCCATTATTACTACAGTCGTCATAACTATTCACATGGCACAACGATTTAGACGACCGTTTTTGTTTATATTGTAATCATACCTAATCATATCAAATTAAAGTAATAATAATTAACTAGTAATAACTACCATTACAACATTGAACTTTACAGAATCAAGTATTCAATTTAATACCATACCTCTCAAGGAATGGCCAACTACTACCACCAACACAATAATGGTTGGCACTTGCTATCGGGTGGTGGAACAACAACAACATCAACATCAACATCTAAATCACTCCTACTACTGGTGATATTGTTATTGAGCTGTTGTGCTCTAACCACCCATGCCCAGGTGATCAACAGCATGTCTCCTAGATTCTCATATGTAGGAGGAGGAACTACATTTCTCATTGACGGCACAGGATTTTTATCTGCACCAATAGTTCAAGTTACCTCACCTTCTGGCACTGTGGCAGTATTTGCTTTGACCCTCCACTTTGGTGACCTCTACTCGTATACTGTACCTCCTGAACCATCCAACGCCAGCAAGAAGAGACCATTGAATAATGATATTCAATTCGATGTTATCTACAATGGTGGTGCAATATTCACCAATACCTTTGAGTATCTAAGTATGTTGAAATAACTACATCAAGAACAATCTACTTTTATTATTCTAACCAAAAACATCGACACATTATACACAACAGCACCCAAGATCAAAGATATATTGCCAATGGATTATTACCCAATCACCAACAATAAGCCTCTAATCATTAATGGTGACCACTTAAGACTGTCGGATTCGGATGTTACACCAGTAGTCTCAGTTGGAGGTGTAAATTGTCATGTGATTGACTTTAAACCAAATGAAATCAAATGTACACTTGGAAATGCACCTGGTGCAGGAGCCGCCCAAGTTCAAGTTACCTTATACAGTGGACTTACTATAACCTCACCTGATCAATTGACCTTTCACCGTGAGTAATCTCAAAAAACAACAAACATCTGATCATTCTGATCATTACTCACACAAATATACGTACACATACAAACAACAGTGCCTGTGGTCAACAACATTGTGCCCAGTAGGATCACAGCAGGACGAACACAGATCATTACCCTAAATGGACTATATCTCTATGACGATAAGAGTAGACCTGCTTCAGTCATTACCTTTGGAGGTGAAGACTGTACCAACATTGTCATAGTCAGTGACACACAGATCACGTGTGAGTCACCACTTGTTGACGTGGCCGCAGGCAACTTTGTCAATGAAGCACTGGCCATCTCTATCGGAGCTCAACCCGTACTGTCTGCCATCAACCTGGAGGTATATAGTAAGTAATCGATTACTTCTTTTTGTAATATTGTTGTTGTTGTTGTTGCATGTCACTTGTTACTAACATCGGCCTGCCTTCAATAGCCCCACAAATATTGACGATCCTTCCACAGTCTGGTCTTGCAGCTGGTGGTACCACAGTCAGAGTGACTGGATTGTTCCTCAGGGAGGTCACCGCTGCTACGATTGGTGGATCAGCATGTGTCATCGTTGTAGCCTCAATCGCTGACAACCAATTTGATTGTGTTACTTCGGCATACAATCTTGGAGGTGCCTCCGAGGCAACCTTTATCTTGGTGGCAACAATCGATGGACAAACATATGACTCACCAAATACCGAGCAATTCACCTACTTTGGTATGTATATCAAACCACTGATGACGATGATGCTGTACTCAAACTAACAAACTTTTGATCTCTGTTGTTAGTTCCCGTTATCCAATCATTGGTGCCCGTCAACACTATCACCAAGGGTACCTTCCCACTTGAGATCAAGGGAAAGAACTTCTTTGGTGTAACTGCTATTCAGGTCGGAACTCAAACCATCAATACGTTCAAGATCACAAGTGATGAGAACGCACAGTTTATCGACATTGATGCTTCTTTGCTTGCCGTAGGAGACAACAATGTCATCGTTCAGATTGGCACCACTTCATCCAACACTGCCACCTTTGTCATTGTTTCACCATCCCTACAGGCACCTACCCCTGCAGATGGCTTCATGCACGTCGTCACACCAATCTCCATTCCATTCACCAACTTCCCAACACCACCCACCGTCAACCCTCTGACCGACTACACCAAGATCTTCATCAACGGACTAGAGTGTACAGGCTTGGCAATGCCAGATGCCTCTCACTTTTCTTGCAATGCACCCGTTTCCGCAGCGGCTGGTGCATTCCCAATCACGTTCAAGATCTATGAGCAGGATTACGATCCAGCAATCACCTTCACCTACTATGATCTGACAATCACTGGTCAAGGACAAACAACTAACATTCCAGCTGGAGGTGGTGTGCTCACCATTGATGGAACACATCTTGACGTCGTAAACATTGTGAACATCAACAACGTTCTCGTAGTTGGTTGCACATTGACTGCAGCACAGATCAGCTGTCCAATCCCACCCAATGTACCAGGAAACTACCCAGTCACAGTGATTGCAGCCGGTGTCACCTACCCCACCACTGGAACCATCAGCTATGTTGGACCAAATCTCGACCTTGTCACACCAAGACAGGGTAATGCCAGGCGAACCGTAGCCATCACATGTGTGGGTAATAGCTTTGGTGCCGTAGCAGCAAGTATTACTATCACTGTTGGAGGTGTCAATTGTCCAGGCGTTGCTGTCCTTCCACAAGTAGCAGGCAAGGACCGTGCCAGTTGTAACCTAGCCCCAGTTGCTAACGGTGCATATCCTGTTGTTATAAGTGTCGTTCCTGGTGGAGGTGGCCCTCCAGTGTCATCTATTAACGTAGTGCAATACACTGGCAATGGACTCTCTTGTATGGGACCACCACTTCCCGACCAATCCAACAGTCCCGTCAATTGGTGGTTCACCTACAAGATCCGTCAGACCGATAACTACCTTTACCTCGACGACACCCGTGATCAATTGGTCAGATTGGATCGTCTCTCTGATGTCAACCAAGCACCATACAGTGCCTTGGCCGCAACATTTGATCAATACCGAGATTACTTCTACATGTTCTTCAACGATCAGATTGGATCACGTGACAACGCTGGTAAGAGATGTAATATGGTGAACCCTACACACGGACATGGTCATCTCAAAGGATTCTTAATCTTTGAACAGGACCCAGTCACTCTACTCTACTCTGGTATCCACGTGATGCACTCCAATCCAGTGTTCCCAGCGATCAGTGGTGGAGGCTACTACAACATCAATCAAGGCATCAGATGGTTGGGTGCAGCCGACTACAATCAACACTTCTTCTGTTACCAATGGAATGGACTTGAACAACCATTCAACTATCTGATCCATAATGACGCTGTGTTGATAGATCATGCCTACAACATTCCCAACCTCTTGTTATGGAACCAGGTCATGCAGAACACCTATCCATTCTTCTACGACTACATGACACTCTGGGAGCGACTTCCAGCTCGTGTTCCAAATGGTGGTGCACCAGCTCAGTGCACCCAGGCATGTTTCTCAGCGGCCTGCCTGGCGGCGATTGCAGTCAACCCCAATGTCCAAAACATCTGTTACTGGCAATCTGGTGCATTCAATGTTGGTGCAATGACAGCCAACTACTTTATGAAGACCACAATTGATCCAGACAATGCAGGTTTCCCAGCAGTGGCGGCCATCCATCCACCCGCACTCAGTCGCTTCATTGTGGTGAACGATCGTCGTAATACCTATGACGGTATTGACATTTGGACAGTGATTGCCAACACCTACCAGAGAATGATGTTCATTGAGATGTTCTATGCTATTGGTGCAACTCAAACAAAACCAAACAGTGCTGTCATCAACGTTGGTTATCTTCGTATGTACACCATTCCATCTGGAGTATAGAAAATCAACTTATTAACAACTCGTTCGACTTTCTCTAGACTTCCCTCCAAACCTCAACGTCCGTGTATTCGATATACCTACGGGCACATGGATATACTCTCATTATGAGTACACTGGCAAGAAGAATGAGCACGCCAAGATGGGTATCCCAATGTACCCTGTAGTTGGTGCCAATGCTTTGAATGCCAATGAGAACATGTTCTGTGTCGGTGACTCTAACAGACACAATGGTCAAGTATGTTGTTTGAAACATTATTATACTTGTTGGAGGATAACAACTATTAACACAATCAATCTCACATCCATGAATTATTATTAGGGTGCCAGAGGAGGTGGAGCACTATGCTTCCAAAGCCCATTGCTATCATATCAATTCAATCGCATGGTTAGATCATATAACTCAATTGTAAGTTGTTATTATTTTCTCTATTGAATCATACACTTACATTTAATCTTATTTCACAACAATAGGAAGTTGGAACACTGACAGTCCAAAAACCAGCTATCAATTCGATGTACTTCTATGAGTCTATCATCCAGCCTCTAAAGATTGCAAGGGGTGCATGGGCCAATGATATCAACTTTGAGATCATGGATGCCATGAATGGTGTCGTCACCTCCAAGAATCCCAAGATGTTTGGTGTCGTAACAGCAGCCACACTTCCCAATGCTCAGGATATCAACCCAGAGTTTCCTTCACTCAGGACATCAATGGCCAACGCAGACAGTGGTACTGGAGCAATCAACCTTGGTAACATTGGAGCAGATCCAAGTATCAGTGCCTATGTCTCTGATGACACGTTTGCCCTGGAGTACATTGCAGTCGATGTCACCATTGCCTCCATTTGTGACTTTGTTGTTGGAATGTTCCCTGCCAATCCATGCAACGACCAGAATGCCCGTAGAACTCGAATGACAGAGGCCTTGCCATTGCCTCCACCCGTTGTCTTCCCCAATGCCTACAACCAAGCATACCTTGCGACAATGGCTTTGAGAACCTTTGACGTGTTGGCCATCAATGACTTCCTGGTGATTGCCTACACACAAGAAATGAGGGGTCGCCTCCATATGAACCCAGCCACCCTGCCACCAGTCCAATACATCATTGAGCCAGCGCTCCAGGTACCATCAGTTGAAGGTCGCTTCACCCTCCGAAAGCTTGCCCCAATCTGTGAAGAAGAGCTATCCTACGACGTTGTGTTGGGCTTTGCACTCCAACAATCCAACTATGCTCCACAGGCCCAACTGATCTACAACATTGACAACAATCTTCCAAACTGGGCCAATGGTGTTTTATATGCCATTGCCAAGTATATCTACAATGTAAGTAATCGAACGAGACAAACTATCCATTATCCATCTTGTACATTCTGAACTAACACCCATATCTTATTCATTCTAGCAAATACCGCCAATAGCTACCAAGGATGGATCCTTGAATGCCTGCGTGCAACAATACTTCCCTGCAATGAACAACATTGGCACGTACACAGAGGCTAAGCCAGTTGACGTCAAGACACCCACCCAGTGGCAACTGTTCTACAGAACTGCCGCTGCCACTTGGGACATGATGAATCCTTCTATTGCCAATGGAAATGGAGGCAGGACAAACAGACTCAACAATGCTGACATTATCACCTGGCAACAACTTCTTAACAAGGTGATCACACTTCGTCAGGCAGATGGAGTGACATCATTGGAGCAGCTCATTATTTCGTTGAACAATCCAGCCTTCTTGACCCCAACCAACAAGGAGTCACTCGAGAACAACTACCTGATCGAGAAGCCAGTAGTGGTAGTTGTCAAGTCCCTCGTGCATACTCTGTTCAAGTCGGCCAACTCTCTTAAGCATCAGAGCATTCCAAAGTTTAAGCTGTCGGCCAGCATGGCAATTGAGGATCAACAACAGCAATTGGTCAACAACTCAATCCTGTTGGATGAGTTTTACAATGGATTGACGCCACTGGACATTGACTCAATGTACCTTGAGTCACCGATCCAACAGCTCTTGGCAACCACCTCAAAGGCATTCAACAACACTCAAGTGACCATGCTTAGCAATGCTAATCTTCACTCATTGGCACTAGCAATGAGCAAGTGGACCACCATCACTGGAGTCAATCAGGCAATCCAAGTGCTGTTGACCAATACTTTGTCAGAGACTCAGAGTCAGCCCATCGAATTCATTTCAGAACTCAACCGTGACCAAGTTGGAGGTCTCATCGAACTGTGCTACCAGTACATCGATGTGGAGAACTCATTGATCGCCATTTGCACTCCAATGTCAATGGTCTCTATGACATTCTTTATTGAGAGTGCAATTGTATCAGAGGTAACCTCACAGGTTCAGTTTGGTGACTTCAATGCCTACTTCCTACCCAAGCCACCCAACTACAATGGTTCAATCTCCAGTGAATATGATGGCATGGCCATTGCCACGATCAACTCCAAGATCTGTGACATCCAAATGATGAGCACCAGTGACTTCCAAGCTCATAATTTCGATGGTCTGTGCACTGGCATTGGCCCTGTCGTGGTCAATATCACCAACATGGCCGGACCCACCGAGAGTGGATCCACATCAACAATCAACGGATTCAGATTCAACTCCTCAATTGACATCCAAATTGGAAACTATCCAATTGTCAATCCTCAGTACATCTCATCAACCCAGATCGTCTTCAACACACCTGCCGGAGTTGGAACCAACCTTGACTTTTATTTCCTCAGCTCAACAACATTGTTTAATCTCCAGAGAACCAAGTTCTACTTCTCCTTTGATGCACCAACCGTCACTGGCGTCTCACCCAGTACCCTTGACAGTCAAGGCAGTACAGTACTCACCTTGACTGGAACCAACTTTGGTACCGATCCCTACTCTGCCAAGGTCACGGTCGACGAGTCTACACCTTGCTACCCAATCCTCGGCATCACATCCACAATGTTGGCCTGTTTCTCTCCATCTGGAATTGGTCAAGACAAGACAGTGCAGGTTGAAGTGGGAGGACAGACATCGACATTCACACTGGAAACAATCCCACAAGTATCATTCGACTATGAAGCGCCCCAACTATCCGACTTCATTCCCCCAGCTGGTGATCCAGGTGATATCATTGTAATTCACGGAGATGGCTTTGGCACAATGGGCGATGGAAACGCTCCACCCATGGTGTTCCTAGGAGACGAATTGCTACAAGTGGTAGAGTACAGCAACACCTATATCAAGGTACTATTGGATGAAGGTGTCGGCAGTAACCAGAGCATCACGATTCAAGCCGGAGACCAAACATCGCCATTCTACACCGAGTTTGGTTATCTGCCACCGGTGATCTCATCTGTGATCCAATCCAATCCTCTGTCCACATCAGGAGGATCACTTCAAATCAATGGTGAAGGATGGGGACTGTCACCAACAGAGATCGACTATGTCTATGCTGGACCCAATCAACTCTACTATTGTAGTCCATTTGAAACATTCATCGAGTGTTTTGTTCCACCAGGAATTGGTGCACATCTAGTGATCAATGCCTCAGTGGGCGGCCAAGCAGCAATTGATCAAGCGCCAATCAACTACATATCCTACACACCTCCATCGATCTCTTCATACAAATTGGTCACTGTAGGTGGTACCAACGTTATCCAGATCAGTGGTACCAACTTTGTGCCTGTCGGTGTCAACTGGACCCCTGATACATCGTACATAAGCATCAACTATGTTGACAATAGCAACGTTCAGTGTCTTGGATTCATCAATCATACATTTGCCCAATGTAATGTCACCAACAATATTGCATGGATGGTAATGTCTGTTGGTGGTCAGCTATCGCAAGAGATCTACATCACACCCAACCAGGTCAATCTCCAACTCTTTGTATTCAATGACACTAGCAACAATGGACTATACACACCAGGCAGTGAGAACCCCATCAGCGGTGTGTCGATCAATCTCACCGACTCGACTGGTCATGTCACGACCTACACCACTGACACCACTGGTTACATCAACATCATGATCAATCAGAATGAGTACACCATTGTTGTTGTTGGAGGCCTCAACCAAAGTATGAACTTTGCCTCAATCAACAACATCGTCGTTGATCTCACCCAATCAAAGAACATCAGCATCCCTGTTGGAAGCACTTCCATCTATGGCTGTATAGGAACACTGACCGCAAGCAAGGCAACAATGACGGTGAGATGGGGAACTACACAAATCTCCAATTGGGGATTCTGTCAACCAAATAACCAAACTGCTTGTCAGTACATGGTTATAAGTGAAAGTGTAAGTTAACATTTAACTTGTATTGACTATGATAGTCGACTAACGCCATACACCTTTCAACCAATAGTTCCCATTAGGATGTGTTCCATTGTTTGGACTCACAGAGGTTAATGTTAGATACAGTACAACATTGACACTCTATGCCTACATGGACAACAACGTCACAGGACAGTACACTGGCATTGCACCACCCCAAACAGACTACAACTTTATGTACACTTTCTACTTTAATGGCCGTGGCTGGTCTATGAGCAACACACCCTACCCCAATGGAATCTACTCGGCCATCAATGTTCCACCAGGTGATGTGACGGTTACGTTCTGGTCTCAAAGCGCATCACTCATACCAATTATGAATAGGGCTACATTCAACCTGCCAGCCAGCAAGGAGACCACCATCCACAATGTCTACTATGGATTCTACAATGCCACTTCACCATACAATGGAAACCTCTACCCAGCATCTACGTTCTCCAATCAGGACTATTCAAATGGTGCCCAAATGAGCTTGCCACTGGGCAAGTACGACACATCGTTCCTGTCCACCTACAACTTTGTCAACAGTACCAGGTCGTACTGGGCTAGCAGCGCCTACTACAATGTCTACCTTTATTCCAATTCAACCTACAGTGTGATCACTGGAATCCCAACCAATGGTGGATACAATCTGGTAAACAACAGTGATCCAGCTGTTGGTGCACAGTTTGAAATCTCCTCCTCCACATTGTTCAGCTTCCTCAACTCCACTGGACCACTTTCTGCAAGTGGACAGAACGTCACCTTCCCAACGCCATACGTATATGAACAACCGGTCTACTCAATTGATGGTATGTAATTATCATGATGATACCATATTGCCAGACTAACTAACTAAACATCTTTTCTGCCCATCCAGTCTCTGGAGTGATACAGGTTATTCCATGTATCACTGGCTCAACACAATGGACGTCATGCCAGTTCCCTGCCAACAGTGCTGGTATCCACACCATCTATCTAACATGGAGAGGACAGAGTCTATACCAAACTTACAACGTTTGGTATGCCTCATCATGATCCAATATAAACAACAACAACTTACCTGTAATAGCTTCAGGTCACCAATAATCTTTAACAATATATATAGCTTACGCTATTCACAAAACCTCTTATGTTTATTGTGATGATGATTACCTTGGTCGTTACTACTAATGCTGCCCATGATGTTGTTGATGTTGTTGTTGTTGCTGATGTTGTGGATTAGCCAGTGGCCTCAATCCATACTTTTGTCTAACTCTGTCTATATGTGCCAGTCTCAAAGTATTGTTGATGCCAGAGTAGAGTGAACCTGGTTGTGTTTGATCGGTTGTCTTGTAGTCGACAGTTGTCGATGTCGCCGGTGTGATTGCTCGAGCATCATCAGACACCATTGGCGATATGTGTATGTTTGATATTGATTGATAGAGACTGTCCCTATTCAATGTCTGTTGATGTTGAATGTAGATATGATACTGTTTCTTTACATTCTCATCAACAACAACACTAGAATCACTCCTCATATTATCATCATCATCTATTTGTTGTTGTTGATGCTGTTGATGATAGAATGTACCAGCGGTGGTGCCATGTTGTTGTTGCTGAGTATTGTAAAGAGGTAGTCGATCATGTAGATGTAGTTGTTGTTGTTGTTGTTGCTGATGATTCAACAAATGTAGAGCATTTATATTATTATTATCAATGTATAGTCGTCTAATCTTTATCTTCACCTCATTGGCACCTTCATCATCGTCATCATCGACGTCGTCGTCATTATCGTCCTCCATCTCGTCATTATTGTTGTTGTTGTCATCATCCTCTTCCAATCTCTTTCGTTTCGTAAGCATGGCATTCCAGTATATATAAAGATATATTCATCAGGTTGTATGTTATGAATGTTATTTGAGGAGGCTATACAGAATGAGAACTCACATGTGATATCTTGATGAGATATGGTCACATAATTATACCATAGTATTTAATTTATGGAAATGAAGTTCAATAAATTATTGGCGCCAAAATTTATAGGCATTGTTTCATGTGGACAATGAATTAGAGGTTAGGAGTAACACTTACAACTAGAGATGAGGCCATTCATATGCAACAACTACAACAACAACAACAATAGCAATAACAAATGGATCAACAATGCACACTACTACATTTATGTATTGACCAAGTAGATAGATTATTGGCTTCTACGACATCATCCTCTATACTTTACCAGCTTGTACAGTCATCCTCACACCACAACAGCAACAACACCATTAACAACAATAGCAATGCTACAAGTCCAAACTCTAATAATATAAGAGTCGTTGATATTTATAGTAAATTGTTTAACACAATAGTTGGTGCCAATCGTCTATCAATCAGTCTCCTGCATCACTACTCTCTCTCATTGCCTCTCGACTTTATCACTCACTTGGACTTCAAATCATGCCATGACCTTACAAACTCTGTCTTACTGGCCGTCAGTCGTAAGTAGTTATTATTGTCACTCTACAATCATGAATAGTATTTATTTACAATATCATGACCTCCTAGAGATTCGCACCATACGATCATTGGTACTGTCCAATTGCAAGAGGATTGGCTCTGATGGAATACTGCCATTGAAGAGTATGTGATAAATAGAATACTTATGTGTATTATATATACTAACATTATGTTATCTCTCTTTTTTTAGACCTACCAAAACTACTATCATTGGACCTATCATCGACCAACATTGATAACGATGCTCTGTCTGTGATCAAAGAGATGCCACGTATTGAGATATTGAACATTAGTGGAGTGCGCAACATCTCTGATCAAGGACTAGTGCACCTTTCGGCATGCACCACACTCACCAAGCTCATTGCCAAGTCCACTCCATTCACCGATGACTCACTGGTCTTCACCTCCAACTATATTAAGAACCTGAACAAGCGTGCAGGATTCCTATCTCTTCACACTCTGATCCTGTCAGACACGTTGGTCACTGATCAGTGTCTTCCATATTGTCTGGATCTACCCACGGTTGCTCACATTGACTTCTCCAACACACAATGTACTGCATCAGCACTGGAACGTCTATGCAACCAATTCAAACTACAACAAGGTGTTCAGGAATCAACTCACAAGTCACTAAAGATTAGTATGTTTAATTACTCTTGTCCTTTACCATCACTCCAACCTTACTAACATCCCATCACCACATAGATATTCAAAGACAGAACCAATCATTAAGAGAGCCAGATCTTGTCATTGGCAATAATCAACGATGGCCCATTGATCGTATCAAACAATACCTACATAGTATGTCTGTTGTTGTTAGAGTTAGCTAGCTACCATCTCTCGTTCGTTACTAACACATATTTAATGGACACTCAGGCTTGAACGTTCCCACTCTAGAGAACCATTCTCTACTCAACACTTCCAATATATCCACTGACGATGAATCAAACTCTAGCTTTGAAATAGACTCTAGCCTTTATCTGCCACCTCAAGTTGACGACTCATCAAGGCCCTCAAACGGAATACTTGGTATTAACTTGTTTAAGGATCCATTCTCAACTTCACCAACAAAACGTTCACCTGGAATGGTTGGCTGGATGCACCTATCTCTAGCATCATCGCCATCATCCTCTTCTTTGTCTGCACCACCCACTCCATCAATTAACTCCCCAACCAAGAACACTCAAAAAGCCAATGACACCAACCTATTCATCACTCCAATCAAGAGAGAACCAACCAAACATCAACAACAACAACAACAACAAAAGACGCCTCTAAATAATTACCTTTATCAACTACTTCGCTCACCAAAGAGGACGCCAAACATTGCATCACCAATAATATCACCAAAGTCCAATAAGAAACGATTCCAATATGGACAATACGAACTACTCTCTCCAACAAAGACCAATGCTGGCCGCTCCTATCCCACCTCTCCAGCCAAGATGTCTGATGGTCGCTCAACCAAACGATCAAAGCAACACCAAACAATTGACGACCAAGACAATGTAGTAAAGAAATTGTTTGTAGAGTGTTGATCACTAATAGTATTATTTAAAACGCGGATAATCGAGGACTTTGGACACGTAAATGACCAAGTCTTTTATTTCTTCTTCCTTTTGTTGGACTTGTCCTGCTTAACTTTTGGCTCATCCTCCAACTCCTCATTCTCTGTTGATTGTTGTGGTGGAGGTGGCACAATTTCCTCGCCACTGCAGTTGAGTATCTTTCTCAGACTGTGCCTCTCCTTGGCCAACATTGCTTGCTTATTCTTCTTGATATACTTTAGGCCACAAGCATTGCAGAGGTCTATACCGTTCTCACCTTTCCTCCACTCTGGTGTATAACGTTTATGACATCTTTGGCACTCCTCAGGTTTGACTCCTGCTGGTCGACCTTTCTTCTTGGCCGACGATGGAAGTGGTTGTACATAGGTAGAGGTTGGTGACACGGGTGGTGAGGATGAAGATGATGATTCGCTTAGAATTGGAGATTGATTGGTGGTGGAACTTGGTGATACAACATTACTCTGAGAAAAGAGAAATGATATGGATGTAGTTGGTGATTCAGGTGATGTAGGACTGATGAATGTTGATGTCGTGGAGGTGAGCAGAGGAGGTGACTTTGGTGAATATGGCATGGGAACATACAGGGGAGGGCTATTGCAATTGGACATTGATGAAAAGTTAGTAATGGGAGACGGCGACGTGGTCATTATCACTAGTGATAATTATTAATAGATAAAATAGAATGTACCTTTGAATCCTGGGTGGTGTATTTAAACTTTGGTGAACCTAAATTTGGGAAAGATTAAATAATTAATTAATTGATTGATTAAATCAACACAAATTGAAGTTGATTGAGTCACTGACGTACCGGAGGTTCCATAAAGGACGGTGATGAGGTTGACTCTACATATTTAATTATCTCTCCAATATCATGAAGAAACTCTTGGACACTCGATGGATTCGGTGAAGACAATATGTTCTTTTGAACTTTGATTTGTATCTGTAATAGCTTGTTCAAAACCTAGGAAATTGGGCTGCAGTATTAGAATTGGATCAAAAAAATAATAAACTTGGAAGTATAATTTCTTACATTGTCCCACATCATTGATTGTCTTTGGAAATGAAGATCACCAAATGGCGAGGCTTGTCCACCCGTATGTCTGTCAACCAAATCACCACCACCTGCCATTCTTTGTTGTAGTTGTAATTGTTGTTCTTTGTTCTGGCTCCCGTCCATGTCAATTTTTTTAAAGAGTGTTTCCAAAGCTACACAGAGTGTCGATTGGCCTGATCAGCTGACACACCAATGACGATCACAATGTGCTCAATCACCAGGCAGGACAAGAGCAGAAGCAGCAGAATTGGCAGACGGTGAATTCCTGGAAATGTTTCCTGGAAAATGAGATATAACCTTGTGAAATCCAAATTGATTGAATCTCAAGAGAAAGAAATTGATTCTCAATAAATCAATCTCGAGACCTCCTCGTTTGCACTGGTCGATCGCAGGAAAACCTATTGAACTCGTTCCCGCAACATATTTGTCATTCAATTGATGGGTTTATGGTCAACACTTGATTCTGTTGTTGTTGTTGTCGTCCAATCTGTTTCTGTTGTTATCACTTTTTCTGTTGGGTAGCTTTCCTGCCAGAGGTGGCGGGAGTGACAGGTGCTGGATGAGCAGCCATGTACTCATCTAGTCTGGTGTTCATATCCTTGGATTTGTCCTGTAGTACAACAATATCCTTGCGCACGTCTTCTGACTTTCGTTGACCAATGTCAGTGAGAACAGGGACCAACTTGATCAAAGATGTATCCTTTTGAGTCGGACGGAAGCGACCAATGTTGATGACGTTGGAGTGCTCATAGTCTGCAGCACTCTCGATGAATATCACTTTGGATGGATCTCTATTGAGCTTGGCAAAGGTCTATTGGATATGAACATGTCAGTGGATTGGTAGCAAAGAACAACAACAACAAATACGATACATACTGAAGTGAACTTGCCCTTCTCCTTGAGTCCAGAATCAAAGTACAATTGACCAGAGAAGTATGCGTTGGCTGGATCCAGCTTAACAAAGAGTTGTTCTGATTTCTGTTGTTGTTGTTGTTGTTGTTGTTGTTGTTAATTAGATCCAGACTTTGAATGATGGCCATCATCACACACTTCTCACAAACAACAGGTTGGGAAGTATACTTACAACTGATGGGAAATCAGGAGAATACAAGAAGATTTCGTATTGTGTTGACAGGTTGGCGAGGAAGTAGTCCAAACCGGCTCTCTTGAACATGTGTGTTTGTTTCTTTTGTTGTTGGCATGAGGATCGTGTAAGTAAGTACATTATTGGCGTAGCTATGATCGATGTAATTAAAGACCTACGTCACGTGTAATCTCAGTTATGGCATTGAGATCAATGATCAATGTATAGTCCTTGCCAGTACCTTTTGGTAGTGGTTCTGGGAGTACTGGATGGATTTCCGCTGGACCAAACAGCTGTTGATGTGTGTATACGCCAATGGTGTTAGTTGAATGGATGATAACATGTTTGTTGTTGGTAATACGTACTGCCTCGAATGCATTATATTTCCTGAGACTCTGGAAAGTTGAATCAAAGTATTCTCTGAATGGTTGAGCATAGCTGTCATAGATCCATTTCTCATTGTCTGTCAGCTTGTTCTTCTCTTCTTGGCTGATGCCCTTCTTGTATTGATATACTATATGTGTATGACAGAGTGTGCGTGTGTGGAGTGAGTATGCTTGGTGATCAACTGGATGAGTATGTACCATGAACATACGAGCGTATCCAGTGGTAGAAAAGATAATGGTCGAACCCATAAACACAGCTGATATTGATGTGATGATGTTCTTTGCTCTGTTGAATCTTTCATTGGTTCCTTGTTTCTGGTCTTGTTTCTGATCTTGCTTCTGATCCTGTTGTGTTTGCTCCTGCTTCTTCTCCTCCTGTTGCTCCTGCTTTTTCTCCTGCTGTTGTTGTTGTTGGTCACCTGTTGCCGATGAGAACTGTTGCTGTTGGGCTGAGAACCTTTGAGCAATGAGTGGCGATCCCAACAAGAGCGAGGACTTTGAATGGTTCAAACGACCTTGATTAATGTATTCGTTTGAATGATCGTAATGTAAGTGTGTGTCACTTGATCAATCACTTGGATATCTTGATGAGCTCCATTACATACAGTAGATTCTCGATATCATGATGATGAAGTTGTATGTATTTGATGTTGTTGATGATGTTCTATCCTCTTTTACTGATATTCTGTTAGTGTTTGAGGTCCCAAAGAGGTGAAAGAGTGACGAAGAAAAAAAAACTTCGTCATTATTACTTTGCAAATACCATGAGAATCATTTATTATTATTTGATCTTGTTGATGCTCGAAGAGATACTCAACACACCTGAATGAATCAATGGATATGTCAATATGGAGATTGTCAGTCATTATATCTGGGACATAGGAACCACTCATATATACTTACAAATTGATGCAGATGCGGAATCATCATACTCTGACCAATCATTGCTAGTGTTAAAAGGTTACAATATGGTTAATCACAATCCAATCTAGATTGGTCACACAACAAAAGGAATGATTTATCTTACCTAAGATCTGCATCATGGAACTCCTTTCCAGAAGTTGTTACAACAGTCCATTGATCCCTTGGATCAAACTCCTCGAGTTCAATGCCACGACAATCGAATCTAGCCATTTCGAGTTGTATGTTATTCTCGCCTGATTGATCACGATCCTTAATAGGTGGCATTTGTTCAATAGATACTGTATTCTCACGAGTGCAACTCTTGCACTTCACTATAGTTGATTTGAGATAGGTGAGTGTGATTAGAGAGAGGGCAAGGTTAGTGAGTGAGTGAGAGTAACTGAGTCATTTTAGTCCCTACTCAAAAGGTTCACTGTGCTATTCCTTTGCTCTATCTTCTCCTGAAAGTTTGAATAGTAATGCATTAGACATGTTGTATGAAGGTGTACCTTACTCCCACTCCATGTACACTCACCTCTGGGTCGATGCCGACAAAGTTCTCAGAGACTGTTAGACAGTTTGAGCATTTCAGCTTAAAGAACCATATCTTGTCTGAACTGGGATAAATGTTCTTGACCTCTTCAACCTCTGCACTTAGTGTCACTGATAGTCTGACCATGTTCTCAAATATTTGTATGAGCAAAGGAGGGAATGTATATATGAATGAATGAAAATGAACAAGAACTGAACACTAGTATCACTTGATGGTTGAGGTGCGCAACCTCAAGACAGATAGCAGCAGAGCACTCGACAAAGAGTTCTAATTTCTGATGGTTAACAAGATCATTTATTATCACAAAAGTATACTGTGTACGAAGCAACTATTTGGTTGTAGTTTAAGCATACTTGGACTGCAACACCTTGACCAAGTCGACGTACTCTTGGTAGCAGGTCTCGCAAGCCTTGTCCTTCTCAGCGGTCCAGGCGTCATGCTTGGCACAGGCCTCGAGTTGAACAGCCCATGGACGTGCTAAAGATAAGAGTTATTGATTGAGTGAGTGAATGTGTTTGATAAGTTACAACATGTATTGTGGCGCGATAGAGGGCTATCAAAGCATTGAAATACATACAAGCAGTGTTGTTTCCAGCGGTGGCCTGCTTGTAGAGACCGTACAGCTTCAACTTCTCCTCGTTGGATGGGCTCTTGGTCAACTTCTTGACATCCTCAGCAGCTTGTTCGAATTGGGCCTATGATTATTTTAGTGATAATGATGTTTGACATATGTTAACAATTGAATGACATCAGTCTAGTCTATATTGCATAATAACCCACCTTAGTGCTCATGTTTATGTAATGTATGTATTTGTTGTTTGTTAGTTTGGATAATTGAATGAATAAATTGTTGGACACTAGTGTTGAACAAACAACGGAAATTTAGTTTTGAGGTATCACCAAAAAAGGAGTTGTTGGTCCAACAACACTAGTTGGGGGTATCGTTATTATTACTAAAGGTCCATCTTGTTAAACAGAACTTTAAATTGCTCCCAGAATACTAATGTCTAACAAATTATGATCGATAATAGTTTGTTAGTTAGATAATATTATCTTGAGTGGTAGAATCACTGCTTGTTCAAACAAACAAACAAATACATACAAGTACAGTGTGTGGTCCAAGTCGTAGATAGTGTGCAAGGAATCCTTTGTACAGGGCGAGGAATCCTTCCACCTTCACCGTCTTAATAATACAATCGGCCAAACTCTTATACTTCTCGCCATGTGTGTTGCCTTGACCTTGGTAATAGAGACGTGTACGTGCAACATCGAATGGGTTCATGCCAATCGTCACAAACAGGCCTGCCACCATACTCGACAACAGGTGTGCTGTCAGATTGTCATCCAGACCTGTGTTTCGCATGACGAATCGTTTCGTCTCAAAGTAAGTCGACAACTGTATTGATGATCCAACTGCTGTTCTTTGAGCCGATGTTGCCATGCCCTTTATGTGTGATTGATGATGATGATTAGTAATTGTTGATGTTCAAACCAAGACGACTTTCCACCACTCACTCTTGTCAGTCCTCTCAGACCCTCTGTGGCTATAATATGTCTAAATGCTCTTGCGGTGGATGTGTACTCCTTGAACTGTGGATCATTTGGAAACATTCTTGCTGCCTGCATTCTGACTTTGACCAAATCGAATGGTGAACCCATGGATGCACCGAATGCACCAGCCATGGCACCTGAAATCAGATTCTTGATAAAGTAGTTGCTCTTGTCAGGGTCTGCTCCGACGATCCATTTGATCGAATCGTATGATCCAAGTCTGCATCCATTGAGTGTACCTTGTGCCAAATATGCAGGGAACAATCTAAAGTGAAATCAATGTTAATGATTGATTGAGTGATTGATTGATTCCACACACAACATCATCATACCCTCTTTGCAAACCAAGCAGTCCCTCAGCCTTCCATATCTTGACAAAGGCATCACCGATGCCAGTGTAGACTCGAGCCGACATTTTCAATTCACCCTGCAGTTGTAGCCTTGTCTTTACTAATTCGATTGGATTGGTAACTGTGTGTGGTGCATCATCATAATCGTAGAGAGTTAGATCGATCGAAAGGTTTGTCCTTCAACTTGTTGGCAATAACAACAAACACACGTACATGTTGTAGCAGTGACAGAGGCCAGTCCACCCGACAAGAAACCAGTAAACACCTTCATGTTTGATGAAGATGGTGTATTGTTCTCATTATTGTTGTTTGTTGGCAGCTTGTTGGTGATCACATCCACCTGCTGTTCCTTGTCACTTGAAAGCTTGGAGCCGTACATAATAATGATGACGATGATATTTGTAATACAAAGATAGTTATAAAATTAATGACCAGTTTTGTGATTGTGCTTCGTCTTTTCAGTTGTTGTTTTTTTGATTGTTCCCAATCCCATCACTTGAAATAAAAATGATATTTGCTATTTATTACACTTAAGTTGTAAATTTCCCATTCGAAACTGAGCCCACCTTTCCTTTTTAGGACAACCGAAACAAAACCACTTCATCTGAACTTCATAGATTTAATGTTGTTTTCAAACACCACTACGTGTCAACCCCTTTTGTTCAACAGAACTCTACAAACAACCAAGTATCATTATTAATTCTGTTGACTCAAAAAGACAACTACAAAGTCATCAGATACATACATACACACATATACACACACACACGCACATACATCTGTTTGGAGTAATAGCATTCATTCATTCAATCACAATATTGTTGAGAAATTGTATGTCTAGATATGGTTCAGTCAGTGATGACATATTTACTGATTACTGTCCAACCTTTTTTTTTGTTTAGCTGTCACCTGTTAGGTTAGTGGCGAGTCATCAACATGGAGAATGGACTCGAGTTGAAATTCGATGTCGGTGCTGAAGATAGCTTCTTTGATTCATTCTCAAGTGAGCAACAACAACAACAGCACGATCACCAGCAAAATCTGCAAGACCAGCAACATCAACATGAGCAGCAGCAGCAACAGCAACAACAACAACAACAACATGACCAGCCTGAGGAGCAGCAGCAGCAGCAGCAGCAGCAGCAGCAGCAGCAGCAGCCTGAGGAGCAGCAACAACAAAATCAAATGACTGATACAAATGGAGATACTTCAACAACACCCACTGACGTTGATGAAGTTAAGGAACCAGTAAAAGAAGAGGCAAATACTGAGCCCACTTTGCCCAACACTGATGAGAGTTCAGATCACTCTAGCATCCAAAGCAATGTTACAGCACAGCAACAGGAGATCCAGCAACAAACTCCCCCACCATCCTCTCCTCCAATTGTTGAGGAGCAACAGCAGCAGGAGCAAAGAATAGAGAATGAACAACCTCAACAACCAGAGCAGTCCACAGATGAAAAGGATTGTGCATCTTTCTTTGGAAGCGATTCAAATACACAGGTTGATGAGTTTGCTTCATTCTTTGGCAACAAGTTGAGCGTCTCGGACATTACCACAAATCAAACAGCAGCAGAGGTGAACCAGCCAGCCTCGTCTTCAACTAGCAACAATAGCTCTGCGACTGCACCACAGGCAGCTCATGCTGAGCAGCCACACGCCAAGCAGCAAACAGTTCAGGAGAAAGAGCTGTCCTCTTTCTTTGGAGCCAGTGACGAGGGCAGTGACTTCTTCTCGACAGCGTCGTCCGATGATGCTAGCACTATGTTCTTTGACTCTCTGAGTAGGCAAGAGGAGCGTCAGGCTCAACAGCCACAGACACAACAGCAACAACTATTTAATGCTCAGCAACAACAATATCAACAACAGTTCCAACAGCAGCCCTACCAACAACAGCCCTACCAGCAGCAGCAACCAATGTTCCAGCAACAACCACCCCAGCAACAGTTCCAGCAGCATTTCTCGGTGCCACAACAACAGCAGTTCCAACAACAACAACAACAGCAGTTCCAGCAATATCCACCACAGCAACAGCAGTTCCAGCAACAACCATTTGCTCAACCATACCAACAACAACCGCTGCAGCAACAACCGCCTCAACAACATAATCAATATTCTGCCTATCAACCTCAGCAGCAACAACAGCAGTACAACTCCTACAATGTTCAACCAACCCCAGCTGTTGTGACTCAACCGTACCAAATGAGTCAGCCAACGCCAGTGAATCAGGGATACTTCCCCAACACTCCTGTTTCTGTTCCGCTCTCAACAGGCCCAGTACCAATACCAATATCTGCTCAGCCAATCGTTGGAGTACAGGCCCGTTCTTTTGAACAAACACCAGTTGTCCATCCGCATCCACCTGTGGTTGCCGCCCACCCCCTTCCTGCGTCTCCATCACCCTCACCGTACACAACGTCACCACCAGTGACACCATATCAGCAGACGTCACCTGCATCGACCTACACCAATCAATCATCCTCTGTGACGTCCTCTTCCTTCCCCTACACAAGTGGCAGTGGTAGCGTCAGCGCATCCACCCCTGGTGGCATTCACAGTATGAGTCAGTCCGCTGGATCAGTTCCCCTTCACCCACCAGTCACACCTACCCACAACAACAATAAGCCCAACGACTTCAACTCTATGTTACAACAACAGTCAAACCAAAAGACGCCATCCGTTGCCACTTTTGACACTCGTCCACCATCGTCGTTCACAGCAACAACTTCACCAAGCTCCTCAGTTGTTAATCCACAACAAATGACGCCTTCAATGCCCATACCAAATCCATCGTTTGTTGCCACAAACCCAGTCCAGCCCCAACAACAACAACCACCTCTGTACCAACAGATGCAACAAAATCATATTCCTCGCAATGTATCAATGCCCGACTTTACACATCAATCATCATCGACACCTTCGAGCTATGGCGCATTTTTCCCACCCCAGCCTCAGCCTGGCATGATGCACTCTATGGATCAGATGCAACAAATGTATTCAAACCAGGGCCAGCCAATGCAGCAGCAACAACAACAGCAACAACAGCAACAGCAACAGCAACATTTCCATGCTCGCTCTACTTCTTGGGGTGGCAGTGGTGTAGCACAGCGAGCAGATACACTACTATTCTCAAGACCACATCCTGTTATTTCGTTTGGATTTGGAGGCAAGCTAGCGATGCTCAGACCAATACCTGGTGCTCCACGCAACTCCACAATCCAAACCATTGGCATCAAGAATCTGGTGAAACAATCAGCACTATACAACAATGTATCAACATTCCCTGGTCCGCTCTCCAACGCATCAAAGGACAACGTCAACAAGTGGATTGGTGAGAGAATTGTCGATATTGGTGCTGGTAGACTGGACGACCTCTGCTCAAAGGATAGAGAGGCCTCTGTCCTGTTGTGGGAGATACTACGTGTGATGGTCAACAATGACGGTCAGGTCTCTGACAATGAAAAGAACTTTGATAAGAATGTTCAGCGATTGTTGTTGGACAACCAGCAGCAGCACGCCAGCCAGGTGACCTTCCCCGCCCAAGTGATTCACTCGGACCAGAACATGCACTTCCTGTTGAACGAGATGCAGACCATGCTCATCCACGGCAATCTGCAAGGTGCCCACAAGTTTTGCATGGACAACCAGCTCTGGACACACGCAATGATACTCTCCCACTACCTTGGACCAGAGGCGTACAATCACACACTGATGGCATTTGCAAGCGCCAACTTCCCAGCTGGTTCTCCCCTGCGTACCGTCTACAGCCTGTTCTCCAACAGCACACGCGAGCTGCTACGAGAGTTGACTGCACCCAATGCATCACCGGCCTTCCTGGACAACTGGAAAGAGAACATTGCCACTCTGTTGTTCAACGGCAAGTCGTCGGGACTAAAGGCAATTGGAGAGATTGGAGACTGCATCTGGGCAATCAAGAGACGCACAGAGGCGGCACACGTCTGTTACCTGCTCTCGGACTATCAGTTTGGATCGTACGACAATCCCAACTCGCGAATTGTACTTCTAGGCGGAGATCACAAGGTCTCCAAGAGCTATATCACAAGTGAGTCGCTTCAACGATCAGAGATCTACGAGTTTTGCAAGACACTGGGCAACTCTCAGTACTCTCTGGCCAACATCCTGGCTTACAAGTTTGTCTACGCCACACTGTTGTGTGATCTTGGTCTAATCGACCAATCCTCAAAGTATGTTGTTAACAACATCTATCCCCAAAGCTGACCGACATAGACACTTACTCTCCACCAATCATACAATATAGATATATCACAAGCATCAAGAATACAATGAAGAATCAAAAGATCAATCATCCATGTTTCGTGTATCAACTTGATACGTTTGCTGAGCGAATAACAACATTCTCATCGTCTGCCAAGTAAGTCACAGAGGCGTCGGTTCATAACAAGATATGGCTCATCATTCTAACCTACAATCCATCTTTAGGACTGGATCGGGAGGCTCATGGATCCCATCAATCTTTAAGGGCTTTGGCTTTAGTGGCGGAGCATCTCCATCCAACAAGAAGTACAACACCTCTCCTCTTCCTGCCTCAACCGCTCATCAACAGCAACAGCAACAGCAGCAGCCACAGACTCTACAGCAGCAGCAACCTCCAATAGCAAGCCCTGTTAGAGATACTATTGCTCCAGTTAGCAGGAGTACACCTTCACAACAGAAGGATGACGATGAGGACCTCTACAGCTCCTTCTCGACCAAGCCAAAGGCAAACACTAACCAAGCACCGATTGCTGCGGCGGTTGAGAGCACTCCAACCTCCATGGATCAGGAGCCAATCCAAGGCAGTCCCTCAGATGATGGCAAGGACAAGCAGGGTGGTGTCAAGTCATGGTGGCCATTCAGGAGAAGCAAGAGCAACAGCAACAATGGTCAATCAAAGGAGATGTTGTTGAACGACGAGAACAGCTTTGTCTACAACGAGGAGCTGGGACAATGGGTGGAGAAAGGAAAGCCATTGCCCAAGCCAGCGGAGCCCACTCCTCCACCACCCATGATGGGAACATCTTCCCCACCCGGCTCGCCAGCCATGTCAACACCACCTGGTGCCTCTTCAATGATGATGATGGCATCTCCACTTGGTGATGAGCCACCCTCATCACCTGCTGGTGTCAACAAATACGTGTCACCGACTCCAGGAGGCAAGAGAAGACCTCGCTACCTGGACACATTCAACCAACAGGTTTATACAGGATCGTCTGGCAGCAACATACCATTGGTCAACTCGAGCGAGGGATTGAGTGCTATGAAACCAGCGATGCCCATGCCACTCGAGGCATCAACCCCAGGCAGCTTCCAGCCATCCATCCCTGTAGCGCCAGCAGTCGTAGGTGGAGTTGATCAGTTCAACAACCAACAACCACCACCAACTGGAATGGCACCACCAACTGGAATGGCACCTCCAATGATGAATGGCAGTGGTAGTGGCTTCCCTACGTTTCCACCCCCTTCCAACTAATAGTCCACATCCTTTTCGTACAGCAGCAGAAGAATAAACAACCATAATTCAATGAGGACCACCCCACATGTCAGACATTGATTGATCAAGGGAGGTAGTACACAGCATGGTACCGACATTGAGCACTCTCAGAACACGAAACATTGGAGTCATCGTGGTGCTGCAGTGCATTGATAAAAATGCATCAACTATATCTGTTAAAGGTATTGTTATGACTCGATCTTAATATCTATTTTGGGAAGGTTTCGTTTTTTTGGTCAATTTTTTATTTGAATTTTTGGTGGTTTGTCCTTTTACAATTGTTTTTCCCATGCTTGTATGAATAGAGGAACAGAGTATGGTTATTAATTAACTTTAGTCACAACGAATTAACTCGTCCTCCTATTTGTACTCGATTAGTATATCTTTCTCTATCTCTGTATTTATCACTTAGTATCTACTAATTATAATAATAATAATAATGGAAGAGTTTGAATCATTTTTTACAAACTTAATTACACCACCTGAACAAGATATACTCTATTTGTCTCAGAATCAACAACCACAACAACATCTCAATCAACAACAACAACAACAACAACAAACTCAACAACAATACAATCCATGGCCAATCCAACATAGTTTAAATTCACCAGTTTCAAACTTCAACAACAATGGAACTAGCCCATCTGACAATCTGCAACATGCCAACTTTTTAAACATGTCTGGAACATATGCATCATTCCCAACTTCTCAATATGATAAAGATCAACAAGGTGTCTACTATCAAGACTATCAGAAACAACATAATCAATTCATAAAGTTGCAACAAGAGTATCTTCAACAACAACATCAACAACAACCATCACAACCTCATCTTCAACAACAACAACAACAACAACATTACTCTAGTAATAATAACATACAACTACCATCCATACCATCATATATTGAATCAAACTCTACTGTTCCTCAATATGCTCAACAACAACCATTACAATCCAATGAATCATTACCTTCATTCCATTCACATATCCATTCCTATCCCGAATCAATAGAGGCATCACTTGCCAAGAACAACAAGCAATCCAATAATGCCAAAAACAACAACATATCTACAACATCATCATCATCATCGGGAGATAGTGGATCATTCAATTCATTCGAGAAGGAGTTTGGTCTTGATGATATGGATGAGGCAAAGTTCTCCACCAGCAGAGTGAATCAGAATATTGCCAGTCGAAACTACCGTCAAAGGAAGAAGGAGTACATCAAGGAGATCGAGACAAAGATGGCTGCTCTAACAATGGAGAACAATCAACTAAAGAGAGAGAATGAAGTACTAAAGGTATGTTTGTAATTCAAGTACTAGATCAGAGAGGTAACATCTACTAATATGATGATTAATATAGGAGTCTGGTGGAGTTGATTTCATGAGACCTGAACCTGAATTGATATCAATGATCATGGAGGGCAAGCAAATCATTATCCAAATGAATGAAGCTATCAAGAAGAATGACGAGAGAACTCTGGCCTACTTATTACATCTCTTCCATGGTGCAATTGCCAAGAGACATCAGATTATTGAGAGAGAAGTCGACAAGATGGTACATCCCTATACACAGTCCAAGTTGGCTTCGATGGGCTACGTTCCAAAGAGTGATCGACCTCTGTGGAATGTTGTTGGACCGGCTAGCGAGGGTTGGTACTCGATCTTTAAGAGAGAGGCCAACCTTTCAGACCTTCAGAGTCAGAAGCTGGAAGCATTAAGGAGGGAGCATGATAGACAGGACCAAGTACTTCGTTTGGAGAGAGATCAGTTGGATCAACAGATCAAGAAGTTCTTCTTCACCAAGATCCTTGTGTTGCCCAACAATCCAGATGTTGACTCGCCCAATGTATTTGAACCATCGATCATGTACAACAACTACTTTAGCAATCCAACAATGTTACAATACTCCAACAAGCCACTTCCACTCAACAACAGTACCAACCAGTCATCACTGGACGACTACAACATTGTCAACTCATCACCACTTGATATCAAAGAGGTGATGGATTTTACACGAGTTCTTCAAGCCATGAAGAAGAATTTCATTCAACAGAGAATAATCATGATCGACACTATATCGTCACTCAGCACTATACTCACACCGAGACAAGAGTCAATGTTGTTGGTACGCATACACTTCAACACCACGTACGACCTTGCACAGATGGAGCTACTCAAGGATGTCTGGGCAAACACAGTCAACAACACAAGGACCAAGGGACCAAAGAACTTTGCTGAGGCTTTGGCCAAGTTCTCTGTCAATGAGTCTGCCAATGCCAATCCAACTGTTGAGCAGATTGTCAAACCTCCTCAATTCCATGAATATGTTCCAAACAGGTCAAAGAAGGAGAAGTCATTGGTGGATGGTGGTGGATACAACGACGACCTCAACATCAACAACAAAGACAAGAAAAAGAAGAATGGCAGTAACAAAGACAAGGAGAAGAAGAACAACACCAACAAGTCAAGTTCTAAATCGAAAAAGTCAACATCCCCAACCACAACAACAACAACTTCTCCAACAGCGACATCAAAATTATCCGATCAAACCAACAAAGCATCGCTGCCACTACCACCTCCAGAGATATTACCATATCCAGCCAACAATGACAAGAAGTATCAATGGATAGAATACCAGAAGTAATAAATTAATTATTGATCTATGTTAACGATTCAGTTCTTAACCCTTAAAGCGCAAACTATAATAATATATATATATATATATAAATTGGAATAACAATATGATATTTAAATTTATTTGTTTTGAGAGTTTGTCGGTCGTTTTTTTGGTGTCACATTCTGATCGATTCGTTGAGCACTTTAGATTCAAGTACACATATCCCCAACAAATACAATAACATATAATAATATAATGGGTTCAAAGTTTCCTTTGGTATCACTTGGATTCATCGAGACAACATTCGATGAGCATGAACTGAAATCTGATTACTTCCCTGATAAGATTGGCGGTAAGCCTGTATGTCATCAATCACTTTAATTAATCGATCACCTTGTTACTAACATCAAGGTGGATACAGGCATGGCTCGACTTAGGTAATATACCCTCACATAAAGATTTAGAATGCTCAAGATGCAACCAACAGATGTCATTCTTGATGCAGATATATGCACCATGGGAGGAACACAAACACTCCTATCATCGTTCACTGTTCTTGTTCTGTTGCAACAAGGGTTCATGTGGACAGTACAGAGTGTTCAGATCACAGTTGCCACAGATCAATCCATACTATGAGAGCGATCAGGAGGAGTCATGTTACGACAGTGACTTCAAGGTTAGCGAGAATAAGTTATCGGCACGTGTCACTCAATGCACCTTTTGTGCCTTCAAGGCACCCAATCACTGTGGCAAGTGCAAGATGGTGCACTATTGTTGTCGCGATCATCAGACCACCGATTGGGATCTCGGACATCGAGAGCAGTGTAACAAGAAGGACATGTCAATTCCCAAGCGCAAGTCAGAGCATCACTACAAGGAGATGATGATCGTCAGGGAGGAGAAGGTGTTGCGACCAATTCAGATAAAGGCAAAGATTGCCGAGAAGACCAACACAGAGGACAGTGACAGCGACGATGAAGATGAGGACGACTATGAAGACGACAAGGCTCAGACAGACAAGGTGTCAGAGATCGATTGTAAAGCACTGGCCATCGCAGATAACTCTGCAGAGATACCAGTCGACCACCAGACTCTAGACAACTACCATGACTACATCAACCAGACTGGAAAGAGCGACGAGTACACCGAGAAGACATTCACCAACCTGAAGGATCGCCAGCTGGCCATATTCAACAGCGCAATACGTTCAGACAATGACCAGGTTATGAGATACTGTCGAGAGAGTAACTACCAGGTGTTGTGGATTTCGGATAAGAACGTACCATCCGAAGAGCAGATACCCGTCTGTCCTCTTTGTAACTCGACGAGACATGTCGAGCTTCAGGTGATGCCACAGCTACTACACTTTTTGGACGTTGACAGCACACAGATTCAAGCGATCACCTCCATCGACTTTGGCATACTGACAGTGTACACATGCAGCAACAGCTGCACATTTAACTCGGCCAATGGTCTACAAGAGGAGTTTGTTTGGAAACAAGACTTTAGTAAATAGTTATTAATGTCCATCCAATCCTTCATTTGTTTTATAACCTTGAACTAGCCGACGACTATATCCATCTTCAAATAAGTAATGTCTAGAGAAGTATCTGGTAGATATACATTGACTTGGAGTCAGTTTGAACAACAAGCTAAAGATCTAGAGTCAAAGGCTGCCAAACAACATACAACTACAGTAGATAAAGATGATGATGGCAACAGCTCTTGGTATTGGACGACTGTTGACCAAGTTGGAGGTATCAACAACAAACAAGGTTGTCTTGTATTAAAGTCTAATAGATTAATATCGAATCAAAGTAGTAGTAGTAGTAATCAATCAGCTATCCAGTTGGATGAGCAACAGACGAATGATCTTGTAAATGACCCTATTGAGGAGTATGATGATAAACAAACTATAAAGATACTAGAAAAGACCCAGCAGCTGACAACTACACTTGATACAATGTGTCAGTTTGAATATCACATCGTGTACAGTACAACATACCAAGTGCCAGTCATGTATCTGAATCTTTATAATAGAGGTAATGAACAACAACATCAGCCAACCACAATACATCTCTAACAAACATAACATTAGACTCATCATTCATGAAATGGGATGATATATGGACACTGTTACCTCTTTCTAGTTATGATAAGAGTACAACATCATCAATATTGCCATGGATATCTCAGGTGGTATGTTGTTGTACAGTGACAACAATCTGTGTGTAAGCAGTTTCTAATCAATCCAATGTTTGTTGTTGTTTAGGAACATCCTCTGTTAGGTGTACCATTCTATCAATTGCACCCTTGTGAAACGGCTAATCTCATGAAACAGGTGTTTAATGTTACGCCAGACTCTGACGATGACTCGGTCAGCGTCACAGGTGACGACCATCACATCAAACATCACTACCTGTTGAGTTGGTTGTCCATTGTCGGTCCGCTGGTGGGCATCAAGGTTCCAAAGGAGTTGATGACTGGATAGGTGTGGTTGGTACGATGGATGTTGTTGGTCCCTATTGGTTATTCTCGCTGAGCAGCATCAACAGATACTCCTTGGTCTCCAACGTTTCGTGGTACACAATAAAGTTGTTGACGGTGACGATCTCCCATTGGTTGGCATCGAACAGGGCAAAGGTGCCTGCCTCATACTGGTTGGTGACGGTCGACTCTGAATCGTTGTCCTTTTTCAGCCAGACCTTGCCGTCTCTGTGGTACTTCCAGTCGCGATGATACAGCTCCAGCGCTGCGCATATCTGCAGGATGTCCTTGGGCATCGAGTAGAAGATGTAGAACAGTGTCTCTATCGTGAACAGTGACATCTTGAACGATGGGGACTCGAGTCCCGGCGTTGAGTAACATGTCGGAAGGTAATACTCTGGTTTCCTTGGTACAGGTACGTCATACCATGGTGATCCAAATTGTATACTCAGATCACTATATTGTTATGAAGATGAATGTTAATAATAGGACATAGAGAGATGAAGAAGTATGGAGTTTGATAGTTACGAAGCAGAGTTTAAGTTGAGTCCTAGACATGTCAGATCAATACCAATAGTGAGCGTACTGACGTCAACATCCTGCGTCTTGATGGTACTCAGCAGTCCCAGTAGTCCATACTTGTGGTTGGGCTAGTAGATGGAATGTATTAGACATTTGATATGATCGTACGTTTAAGATACAACTTACATCTTTCAACAGTAGCTTGTTACTGTCATCCTTTGGACCAGATGTCGTTAGGTTCCTTTGTTGTTGCTGTTGTTGTTGTTGTGTAAGAGTCTGTTGTGGTTGTATCTGTTGTTGTTGTTGAACGCCCTGTTGTGACTTTTGATAGAGATCTTTCTGGTCCTCTGATTGGTGTAGTTGTTGCTGCTGTTGATGATGCTGTTGCTGTTGCTGATGCTGTTGCTTTTGATGCACCTTGGATCCGCCCAGTGCGGGGAACTCGTTGAGGTTGTCGTACAGGTCGTCGGGTTTAATGTTCATTCCCTTTGGTGGTTGAGATTGACCAGCCGCGCCAAAGGACTGTGAAGAGTATGATGGAGGGATCAGCTGTTGTGGCATGCCCGCTCGGCTAGCCATTTGGTTCAGACTCTGTAGTTGGGCTGACATTGTCATTGGTGTGTTCTGTAGTGGTGTGTTGAGTCCGCGTGCCTGTTGCTGCTGAGGAGCAGCGCCGCCACGAATCACATTCTGCTGCTGTTGTTGTTGCTGCTGCTGTTGTTGTGGTGGGATGTTGCCTCTCATCTGTGGCATCATGTTGTGAGGTTGTACATTGGCTTGTGGTTGTTGCTGTTGTTGATTGCCCATTCCCATCTGTGACATTGCATTCATCATCGATGCCATACTCATTTGAGGTGGCATATTAGGCATGTTTGACAGTGATGGTGGTATGTTTGGCATATTCATTGGCATCATATTGCCAGCAGGCCCTGAGGAACGGACGTTCTGTGACAGTCCTGGCTGTCCTGGTGCACCCGTTGGTGCTTGTTGTGGAGCAAAGCGATTCATTTGTTGTAGACCGCCTGGAGGAGGAGCAAGTACACCAGGTGGAGGTGCCATACCTAGGTGATATATATTCAAGTCGTCATATAAATATATATATCGTCAGCTGATAAATACTGTGACATCAACGATGATGATGAATGACAGATGATCATCAATACATACCTGATCTGACATTCATATTTACATTAGTGTTATAAGGAGAAGACATCGCTGTACTTTCCCTTTTGTGTTATCGCGATATTGTTAACTGTTGTTGATTGTTGTTTTGACTCTGTTGTATCTATCTCTATCAATGTAATTCTGTTGTTGCTCAATCTATGCTGTATCTGTTCATAAAGTGAAGTGAAGTCAACTCAAAGAAAAACAGCAAGTTTTGACTCAAACCACAATGGGTTGTTTGTGATCAAGAGTGAAGTCTGATGACATTGTAACTGATGACACAGTTCCTTTCTCTGTCGTTGTTGACTTGTAGTAATTAGACTCTGGATAACTATTAGTTTGGACCCTAAGACAATAATACTTATTACAATATTTTAGGGAATGATGATGCTTGACGAAAATTGATAAAGGAAATCAGAACGATAGCTATTAAAGATTGATGACGATGATTGGATGTTCTCCAGTCACAGACAGTTGACATTCTATGGTCTTCCAACAAATTCGATAGAACACAATCGAAAGTGATAATTAGTTGGACTCCAACTTCCAAGAATTGTGTCTTTGTGTTTGAGAGGTGTGATAAACAAACTGTTTTGTTTTCCACTGTCATCATTCCAACGACTATGTTAACACAACTGTTTAGATCATTCCAAACAAGACTTATACCAAAGATCATCGCAATGGACTCAATATCATTCACTTCAACTACATCAACCACAACAACAACAAATATCAAACCAAAACCAGAGATTGATAGTACGACTATAAACGTTGCTGATCGATGTCCTTGGCTTGGCAAAACTCCAGATCCACTCTATCTTAAATACCACGACACGGAATGGGGATATCCAGAGAGAGACCCTATCAAATTGTTTGAGAAGATCTGTCTCGAGGGCCAACAATGTGGATTGTCTTGGTTCACCATACTCAAGAAGCGAGAGGAATACAGACGCTCATTCCACAACTTTAACCCTGTGGTGCTTGCCAATTTCACCGAGTCTGATGTTGATCGTCTAATGAAGAATGAAGGCATCATCAGGAATCGAAGCAAGATCAACGCCATCATCAAGAATGCCAAGGCCTTCAATGTCATGCGGGACAGTGGCGAGGACTTCTCAAAGTTCATATGGTCCTTTGTCAATGACAAACCAATAGACAGTCATCGCTCCGGTGCCAATGGATGCAGTGGATGGCCTACACGCAGTGAACACTCTGATGCCATGGCAGTGTCACTCAAGAAGAAAGGATTCGTCTTTATCGGTACTACTACATGCTATGCATTCATGCAGTCAAATGGATTGATTAATGATCATGCTATTGAATGTCATCGTCATCCTTCCTACAAGATTGGTAACCGTTCATCGTTGAAGACGATCAAACAACCTGTTGATCAAGCTGACCAAATCGATGTGTTGTCAAGTGATGACGATGAACAAGATGATATAGTTGTTGTTGTTGAGGATGTCAAGCCAAAGAGGAAGGTGCCAGTCAAGAAGGAGTCACCAAAGCAACAGACCAAGAAGAAGAGTAATAAGAAGAATTGATGACTTGGTTGTTGTCAAACAATTAATAAACTGTGTAGTGTGTAGATTTTTGATGATCATTATCATTGACGACAAAAAACAGATAAAGAGATACTGTTTATATATAAACATTCAATATGACAACAGTATGTAGATGTTGAGTAACAATGAATGATTGATTGAATGAATGAATGAATGAAGAATGAATAACAAACTTACACGATAACTCCAGGACAAAGGCAGCACCACACAACCAACAAACAGTGCTGAACAGTTCTCTGTAGAGGATGTATTAGGCATCCTGAAGGAGGCAGTTGAAACAACCATCCAGAATGCTCAGTATCAACACAGCAAGGTACCACAGTGGACAGCAAGCGTAATAGAGACATCTCTCAAGAAACTACAAGAGCTCAACAAGCCCTACAAATATATCGTCACCTGCACCATACTACAAAAGGTTGGAGCAGGATTCCACACTGCGAGCTCATGTCTATGGGATAGTAACACGGACAACAATAGCTCATTCAGATGGGAGAACAAATCAATGTTCTGTATTGCAACTGTATTTGGATGTATGATTAATTAGATAGAGATAGAGATAGATAGAGTTAGAGAAGGAGCGACGCACGTACACAAGGGCCATCAACAAATAGCCAGCCAGCCAGTAGCAAAAAACAACATAGACACCAATGTCATCATCATCAACAGTAGATTGTTGAATGACCAATAATGACAATTACCAACAAAGAAAGAAGACAGTAATGTAATCACGTCACAACATCATCATATATATAATCCCAGATACTCTTGATCATGGCATGTTGGTACCTCTACTACCTACTACTACTAGTGAATAAAGCTAACGGTGCCCACCCTGACACATTATTATGCAACTAATACAATCATCATTGCGCATCTACAACTTTAATAATAATAATACTTGGACATTGGTCAACAGACAGAGAGTGTCATTATCTCGCCAGGGTTACAGCACAGTGCTGATCCCCCAACAAGCCAAGGAATCAATCTATTGGTGGGTGGTGGGTGAAGCATCGATTCAAAAGACAGAGTCTCTTGACCTCCAATGTAACTGGTTACACTTGTCTTTCAAGTTCAAAGTAGTTGTGTTGATCATTACTATTAATAATCATTCATGCAGCAATCAATAATACAAATCAATCTTATCAATTATAAATATAATTATAACAATAATTAACATATACAATAACTAATCATAATGGGAAACATTAGCTCTATACCAGACAGAATGGCTGCCAACCAGAAGGAGATGCAGGCAGAGATGCAGTCTAAACAGGTATTTATCACTTACTCATTGTGTACATTAGTTGTAATCATACTAATTAATAAATAATTTGAACGTCATCATTCATGAATAGTTGGCAAACCAATTGAAACTTCAAGATAGGATGATGAAGAAACAGATCGCTCTTCAAGTCGCCATTACCAAAGAGAGAACATACTGGTTTGCTGGTGTGTGCGCACTGGGATACCTGGGTCTGATTGCTGCAAAGCTCAGAGGTAAGCCGGTACCAGAGGCTGCCATCCCTCCATTGGTTGGCCTGACCACGGTGACCGCCTATCAATATGACATGGCTTTTGGCGATAAGATGAATCGTGTAAAGAAGATGGCCGAAGAGATCGAAGCAGACCCATCCTATTGGTTCAATCCAATTGAAGATCCATCAATAATGTCACAAATAAATCAACAAAAGTAGGTCATTGTGTGTATTTGTTTCTTATCTCTCTCGCTTGTTGTTCGATGTGTTCTTGAACATACCCTGGCCTGGGCACTTATAACATCGGATGTATGAATGAATTCGGGCGAGACCTTCGGATGATGGTGAAAAGTTGGCGTTCCCGTGGGTGGGGAGGCATCACTAGAGTCCAAATGTGGGTTGGCCGCGCCCCAATCATACAATTGCACCATTTAAATGTTTGTTTGGCCAAGATATCGAAGAACTGTTGCGTTAATTATGATCACTTTCAATTCCTCGGTGTCGCTGGTATCAGGATGAGGTGTAGTGTATAATACGCTTTATACATATAATATTATATATAACTTATATATATAGGTTGAATGGAAAGATGGACATAATATCAATCGTACTGACGGTATTTGGTAGGTGATCGTCATGTGCCCTCTGATCAAAACGACAATACACTGGGAAGACGACACTGACAGACGGACACACACACACACATACAGTAATATTGCTGATTATAGCATGTATTCTTGTGGACATACTGAGGAACAACCCACAGAGACCACTGAGTCTGAAATATAGGGTGCGTCGATTTGCAAACTGGTTCTCATTGGGACTGTCCTACTCGGCAATGTACATTGGAAGATATAACGTAGGCAACATCATTCATCATCACCCATGACGTCACCACGGACATGGAATGCTGATCACCTCTACGTACCTCATTAGTTCTATTTGCTACTAGAGGCCAAACAATCCAATGGCACAGAGTTCATTACAAAGGTGGAGTATGGTTGGATTATGACCATCGGCTACTGGACCTACGCCCTGTTCAGCCCTTTCACAGGTTCTCTTGGCGACTACTTTGGTCCAAAGCCTTGCGTGGTGCTTGGTGTCCTCGGCTCTGGCATCACCAACGTCACACTTGGACTGGCTTTGATCGGACACGACAGCCCCATACTCAAGACTGTACCACCGACCCTACTCTTTGGTTTCATGAACGGTCTAAACTTTTTGATGCAGTCATTCGCCACTGGATCAGTGAGTAAGATCAACTCGACATGGTACAGGAGATCAGAGCTTGGCGTATTCGGAGGTATATTCAGCGCAGTGCTCGCCACGGCCTACTTCTTTACACTGAACGTTGGAGGTGGTATTCTGGCATCACCCCTGCCGTGGAACTCCCTGTTCATCCTACCAGGTATCCTGTTGGTTATATCTGGCATGGCATCCTTCTTTATTGTCCAAGAGACACCGGCCAAGGCTGGATGGGTCAGTATCGATCTGACAGAGTCTGAGCACATGGTAACCCATGTCCATGACTTGCAGTCGTCCAACAGCAAGGTCACCATACATGATGACACACACGATGGCTCTGATGAGCATCACAACAACTCAGAATTGGGTTATATGGATCAAGATGACCACCATGACGAACTAGAGGTAGGAGTTGTGTTGAGCGACTATGGAAACATCCAGGATATCGATGGCGCGGACGATGGTGCATCCACTCCAAAGGTCAGGAGAACATTCAAATCAGTGTTTAAAGAGATGGCAAGTGAGGTCTTAAAGAAGGAGAACCTTCAGCCAATACTAAGCAAAGAGAACATCCTAAACTCTGCATCACTCTTTTGCATTGGATGGATAAAGGAGGGAATAATATCATGGTACATCCCATTCCTGAAAGTTGTAAGTACCATTGAGTGGAGAAGGAGCTACCTTGATAGGCATCGATACTGACCCAAAGTCACTACTACCATCAACAGAAATTTGGAGATAATGTCAGTGATGCTTTGTTGGCTATATGTACTGCAGGTGTATCGATTGGAGCCATGACAGGAGGTATATTCTGTGGCATCTTATCAGACTATGTGTTTAACTCGAAGCGTGCACCATCTCTTCTGATATTCTTCATGCTTATGAATGTCCTAATCGTATCAGTCTATTTTGCAACCAACCCTGCCTTCATCGTCATCATCCTCTACTCCCTAATGATCATCATGTTTGGAACAAACAATGTCCTGAGTACGTAGTCTGAAGACGTCTAAACTTGCCCACAGAGAGACTAACACGTCCAACCATTCAAACAACAGGTATCACAGCATTACTTGATATGGGTGCAACTAGAAACGCAGCACTGATGGCAGGATTGCTAACAATGTTCCAGTACGTGGCCAGTGGATTCTCTGGCTTCTTCTTGGGATTCGCAGTGGAGAAGTGGGGATATGGAGTATGGATCCTCTCAATGATACCCTTCAGTCTTGCCGCAATGGTTATGATGGGTGTCAGTGGTATTAGCGATCTACTCTTCTGGAAGAAATGGACAAAGCTTGGCGATCACAAGGCAACTCCTTCTCACCATTCTGAACATCAGATTGAGTTCAGTGGTCAGCATTAAACAACAACAACAACGAAGTGGTCGACACTTAATCACATCATAATCATCATTCCTTTCTATATCATAATTATTTATTTGGTGTTGTAGTTGTTTCATTCAATCTATTATATATTTGTTTGGTGTGTCCATCAACTGATGGACCATGAGTGTTGGGTATACTACTCTGCTGCTATATGCTGTTGGTTTGGTGGTGGAGCGGGGGGAAAAGGGGAGTGGCTGGGAAGACGGCCTGCCGGTGGGCGCTGATGGTAAAAAGGGGGAGTGATGGGATCGGATCGGTGGGGAGCTGGGGAGGGGATTGAAGGGACAGGGTCGATCAAGACTGTTGAGAGATAGCGTCAATCAACATCTTGCTTCTGTTCCATGGGTTGGTGTCATTGATTCTGTACAGATGAGCATTAGAGGGGAGCAAGGAAGGGAATTCCCTGTCAAGGCGGAAGTAGGGAGTAGTGATGAGATTCACCAAGTTTGACGATGATTCATCGACCAACTCCCAACATTCGATATCGGTAGAGTTGAGCTCGCTGTTCTTGTGGTGGATGACCGACTGTTCACTTGGCTCTTCGCAAAAGACAAAGTCCTCCTCCATCTCTTGGACCACCTTGTCCACTGGAGCGGTGGACTGGACAATGTCCTTGATTGACTCTTCGATGGCCATTTGGATCTCGAATCTCTCCTGTGGGTTAAAGGAGAGGAGGACATCATCTTGGAATCCATTCTTGGTCTGCTTACAGGAGAAGATCTCCTCAGCGTTGGCATCCTCATTCTCATCAAAGTCCTGGCTCTGGGGAGTGAAGGCAGCACGGTCAATGTCATTGCCATAGACAAGGGATGGTTTGGCATGGAGAAGCGTAGCCTTGGCCGTGGCGGTCGTTGGTACAGGTTGTTTCTTCTCTTCCTTGACAGGTTGCTTCTTAAGTCTCTTCTCTTCTTCCTTTCTCGCCTTCTCGTTGATGACCTGTTGTTTGATTTTTATCTGTTCCTTCAACTTCCTGGTGTTGACATCCTTTCCAGCCTTTGGTCTTGATTCCAATCCGAATCTTGGGGGTTCATTAATGATGAGTTGGTTGTTGTCGCAAGTGTTGTTGTCCATGTTTTGTGTTTGGGTTTAATAGAGTAGTATATTTATATATATTATATTATTATTATTATTACAAACTAAGATTGTTTGTCAGTGTATGTATTTATGTACAAAGATAGGTAAATGATACAAATAATTAATTATATACAAATATAGAAAGAGTATTTACAATGTTATATATATATATATAAATAAAGGTTGATTATTCTATTTCTAAGTTGTGTGCTTACTATAGTTGTTGATGTTGTTGGATTGTTATTTGTTCTATTATGTGTATTACTGACTGGATCAAAGTAGTAATATCCAGGACAGGTAGAGAGAAGAAGGTGAGAACGGTGTTTGTTAGCAGGGTAATTTAAATTGGTTGAGGGTGGTGGGTTGGATTGATGGTTGGTTGGCTGAATAAAGGAGCGCGCGCATTAATCAGTATGGTGGTGATGATGATGTCGATTGTGTTAATGGTAGTGGTGGTTGTGATGAGTGAGTGATTGAATGTATTAGTGATCAAATGAGTGATTGAGTGAGCGATTTAGTGAGAATGTGTGTTATGTGTGAGCAGAGTTGTTGCGAAATGATATGATAATAGCTCCTGTGGATTTATCTCTTTAAACACATGCGTTGGAAATTTCCATTCAAGTGTATGTTACTGAGCTTGTTGTTGGTGTTGTGGTGTTGCTGTGCTGCTCTTATTGACCCAAGGTACTATGTTTAAAAGGAAGTGGAGTGGATTGATTGTAGTAAGGGAAAGAAAAGGTGGGTATTGATTTGAATCAATGGAGGGAAAATATTATTGATTGTTGTTGGTGTATGTGGTGTGATGGGACAAACTACAAAGTAACGGTACTGTGTGTCTATGTCTAACTATCTTTTTAAAATACATACAAATTATTATTATTATTAATATTTACAGTTAATGTTAATTGTTATTATTGTGGTCTAATTATTGATTGTAGTAAATGAGTGATTTGTTTTGAAACTACTATCTTAACTTATTGTCTCCTTTCAAACCCAACAACATTGTTGGTTCTTCTCTGAGTGTAACTGTCACACATCTAAGTGTTTCTGTGTCTATGAGTGTGTGTGTGTGTGTGTGTATGTGTATGTGAAGTTGTGTCTGTGCACCCATTCACCAGATTCCCTGGGATCTTGCAGCATCAGCCCCCTCAATCGCCTTTGACCCACTCACCTTGAAATTGAATGGATAAATCAATTTAAATTAATTCTTATTCATTTAACTTTACCTTATATACAAAGATATTCCATATTCAGACACAATCCAAAGTAATAATTATGTAATGTTGTTCATTGTTGTTTTATACCTGTGTCGTCATCCTGTGAAATAATATTATTATTAATGGAATGTTGTTGATGTTATTTAAAGTTAGTGTTGTTGGACAACAACAGGCGGCAGTGCTTTTGTGATACTTACAAAGCTTAGCTTGACAGGGGCAGTCCTCTTTCCTTTTGGCTTTGGCTTGAACTCCTTCTTATAGCCTAACAACTCTCTGACAAACTCATACTTTGATAGATACATCTTCCACATTACAAACCATCCTAGTTGTTGTTGTTGTCAAAAGGGATATGATACGAATCAGTTGAATTGAACTCTTGACCTCTATTGTCTAGAGACTGTTCAATACTTACCAAAGCTCATCAATGCCAGCACCATTGCAACCGCAAGTAATGTTTGAAATATGCTGTTCATTGTTCTCTTTCTTTATATATATTTAGCCGCTATAATATATGATAATTGAAAAGATGTCTGAAGTGTAATATATGTAAATATATGTATTGTATGTTTATGACTTTATTATTAGTAGTACAACTACAGTGTGATGGTGTTCATGTTCAGATAATAATAATGTTTGATCGTGAATGTGAAATAGATTAGTTCTGTTTCAAGTTGACAATATTTTGTCTCTGAAGCAACGAATCCAATAATATAGAGATAATGAGTGACTGCAAGCAACTGTAGTACTTTTAGAGACAAATGGGAAATGTAGAGTCGGGTATATCAGATGAGTATAAACGAGTCAATAAGAATGATAAGTCATATATAGTATGTATTATGTTGTTGTTGTTGACACCACCAATGACCTTGTCACTTACTGACTGACTGAACTTGACTGCAGGTACTGGATGAACTTCTAGAGATGCAACCACCTAGAGAATGTACGATCGATACCAGCCATCTGGGGACTTTGTTTGCGATTGATCGTCGTCTGACGGGGAGGTTCTACGAGTGCGATATATTAGAGTTCACAAGGCTGTACGCCACACAGCTACAACAGAATGGTGGCAAGGATGACTTTCAATCAAAGTTCCAAGCCTATTGTACCCTAAAGATGTGGAATGAGATATCAAAGCCAGAGGGTTCCGATGTCTTTGTTGAATGGTTCTCCAAACTGTTCACAGAGAATCCAAGCTACATCCAATCATTCAAACATCATCCAGACACATTATTCTTGACAAGTGATGCAATCAAGAAAATGTACCAAGTAAGTAGTGGTCAATATTACATATTAACATCACTCTTACTAACAACATTATGTCATCAATCAAGATATTGTCAATTAAGAACTATTATGGTGGAGACTTTAGAAGTTTCTTTGATTTGATGCAACGATCGGCTGAGGAACAAGGCTTTATGAAGTTGGATGAGGATGAGTTGGACGATGTTATACCCTTGGTCATCCTCAAGCACTTTTCAAAGGACTTTATCACTGGATTTGTAAAGCTAATGGTAATTACTGTAATCCAAATATTCCATCAACAACAGAGTGATCACTAACATCACCTCCCAATCCAGTCCGAACTTGGATTCCAACCAGATATGCTTATTTAGTGTAACATTATAAATTGATCAATTGATTGATCATACCATCTTTACTTTACTCTCGCTTTGCTCTTGATGATGAGCTGTGAAGAAAAAACTGGGTCAATGACTTTCGGAGGAGATCAAAGGGGATGATGAGTAGAGAGGCAAAGATGATGGTGGCCCACTCGGTCAGGTTGAGGCCAACCGTACGTAGAACACGTCCGCCAATGTAGGTAAAGACTATCTGAACAACAAAGATAAAGACCACCACGAATATGAAGCCCTTATTCTCTAGCAGGTTCTCAAAGAGATTCATACGGTGTGTCCTCACGTTGAATGCATTGATCACTGCCAAGAAGATAAAGAATGCAAAGAATGCCGTCAGGAACACTGGCTCTGATGGTACTCCTTCGCGTGTAAAGAATGCTTCCACATTATCATTCGTCAAGAATAGTATCGACATTGCCCAAATGAATGGACCACCACTTAGGATTGATGTCCACATTCTGGAAGAGGTGATTATTAGAGTAAGTATGTATGATTGGGGGGGAAATGACTGCCTACTGAACAACTCACCTTGGTGTAATGATATTCTGATCTCTCTTGATTGGTCTATCCTTCATGTATCTATCGAGTGCGGGTTCACCTCCAAATGCTAGAGCGGCAAGAGTGTCCATCACAAGGTTGACCCATAGCAATTGGATCAGTGTGAGTGGGAAGTCAATTCCCATGAATGGTCCAAGGAATACGATTAGTGTCGATGCAACATTGATGGTAGATTGGAAGACAATGAACTTTTGGATCGACTTGTAGATCGTTCGGCCATAGAGCACGGCCTGTGTGATTGATGCAAAGTTGTCGTCCAAGATAACAATGTCAGCGGCCTCCTTGGAGACCTCGCTGCCACTGCCCATGGCGAATCCAACATCGGCATGCTTGAGTGCTGCACTGTCATTGACACCGTCACCAGTCATACCGACCACCTTGTGAAGAGATTGAGCTACGTTGACGAATCGGGTCTTGTCGCGAGGCAGTGCTCTAGCCACCACACGCAGATGTGGAATCATCTCCTTCAGTCGATCGTCAGACACGTGCTGTAGGTCGAGTGATGTGATAACCGCGCCAGGGATATGTTCCTCGCCAGGGGCAATCAAACCAATCTGGTGTGCCACTGCAATGGCAGTCTCTCGCTTGTCTCCAGTGATCATCACCACTTGAATGCCAGCACGTGTGGCCATGGCGATGGCTGGTCGCGACTCCTCACGTATCTCGTCGTATACACCAACGACACCGACCAGAATCAAGTTGTTTGGCAACTTCTCTGTCTCTGTCAGCGGCTCCTTTGAAACAGCCACAGCGATCACTCTGATTCCCTGCTCTGAGAGTCTGTTGATCTCCAACAAGAATCCGTCAATGTTTGGAATTGGTTCAATATTTCCATCCTGATTAAAGTGCATCTTGCAATGATTGATGACGATCTCTGGTGCACCCTTTAGACATGTGATCTCAAATTGCTCATTGGCTTTTGAAGAGCATCTGTTAATGTGCAGTGGTCGTGGTTAATTCCAATGTGTTCAAAGGGTACACTTTGCCAACAACCAAACATACCTAAGAATACCAGTTGGAGGCTTACCAGATCGTCCACCTTGGAATGGTACACGGAGATGTGCAGCAGAGTATTTGCGCTCTGAATGGAAGAGCACCTCCTTGATGATCTCCACACCAAAGTCCTTCATCAATGATGGCTTGTCCAAGAACTGTAGCAATGCTTTGTCAGAGGCGTTACCACCAACGATCTGAGCATCCTCATCAATCACTGACGACGTTGACTCTCTGACCGCAAAGGATAGTACGTCGCGGAGCTCCGTAGGTATCTGTGCAAATCCCTTGTAGGTTGAACCGGCACCACTGACGAACGTCCTCGGTATGAACTGTCCTTTGGTAATCGTTCCAGTCTTGTCAACAAACAAGATGTCCAACGAGCCAGCGGTCTCAATGCCGAGTAGCTTGCGGACCAGCACCTTGGCTTTGAGTAGTTTGCGCATGTTGAGTGACAGTACAATGGCTATCATCATTGGTAGACCTTCGGGCACGGCCACCACAATGATAATGATTGCCAGTGTAACAGAGTTGACTACATCGCGAAGCACCATAGGGTAGTTGGCAACGTACGTCTTGATCTCATCCCAGGCGTAGTGGTTGTCCATGATCACCTGTTTGAAGAGGAAAGAGATGACAATGAAGCATGCGCCAATATAACCAAGCGTGGAGATGTTGTCGGCGAGATTGCCAAGCTTGATCTGTAGAGGGGACTCTCGCTCGTCTGCTTTGGACAACTCGACAGCCAGCTCACCATAGATTGTTGATGAGCCAACAGAGTCGACAAGGAGCACACCTTCGCCATCCTCTACGACACTGCCACGGAAGCAGAGATGGTGATCGAGGAAGTTGTTTTTGTTTGCTGGCTGATAAGATACGGGTGCGACTGTCTTCTTCTCGAGAGCTGACTCTCCATTGAGTGATGACTGGTTGACAAACAACTCTCCTGCCACCAGCTTGCCATCGGCCGGTATCTTGTCACCCGCCTGCAACAGTATGTAGTCACCGACGACAGCATCAAAGGCATAGATGCTCTGCATATGATTTCCATTTCTAAAGACGTTGCATTTGATTCTTGATGCCTTCTCCTGTAGCTCCTGGAAGCTGTTCTCATTCTTGTACTCTGAGTATGTAGATACGAACGTGGCTAGAAACACGGCACTTGCTATACCAAAGCCTTCGAACCACTCTGCATAGCCAAAGTAGGCCAGTAACAGAGTGATTACCAACGCCACGCATAGAATATGAATGAGTGGATCTTCAAAGTTGCCCTTTAACTTCTCAAAGAATGTCTCCACCTTTACTGGTGGCAATGTATTTGCTCCATATCTATTCCTACTCTCCTGGACTCTTCTATCGTCCAAACCTTCAAAATGATATTTTACCATCCTCCTCCACTCTCTATATCACTATTCTATCTATCTATCTAACTATCTTTCTATCTATCTATCGACCTGAAATATTTAAATACTAGTTTACTAACTATCGTCTATCTCTCCCTTTATGTAATAATAATAGTGAGTGATTAAGATTGATTGAGTGTGAATGAGGGATGATGAGTTGACAAACAACTCTTGCTTGTTGGTGAGTGAGTTCAAACTTGAACATCGAAAGAGGGGTAGCTCATCTGAATCTCTCAAGTTGTGGGCTACAAACACTGGTTACTTTCAAACAAATAAATAAACAGAAGAGAGAGAGAGATATTTGTTTTGTTTGTTTATGTATATGTTATTACAAATCATTAGTTGTATGAACTTAAGGAGGTTATGATTGTAAAGTGTGTACAGCAGCAACAGTAGTCGTAACAATATTACAAGTACACTGTGTTGTTGTAGTTGTTCAATTAAATTGACTCGTAGGGAAGGGAACCAGCCTCACCAGATGCAGTGGTGGAGATGGACAGGAAGTCACCAGCCTTGTATGGCGAGAGAAGGATGGACATACCGGTCATGGCAATAAAGTTGAAGGTGACGTAGAAAGCCAACACGGTCCTTTGACGGATCCATGGGTCGACGGCAGAGGCAACGATGCAGATGAATGGCAGCGAGATGAACCAGATAACAAAGGCAATGCCAAAGAACATGTAGAACTGACGCTTGGCGGGGTTGTTCTCCTCCATGTAGGTGTTGTAACCGCACCACATGAACCAGAGCATCGCCAACGAACGGCACACCAGCAAGATAATGCCTGGGACGGTGTCGTACATGTAAACAGTGGACGCTGCGTCCTGTCCAGCCTTGTACCAAATGAACATGATCAGGTAGAGAGCAGACAACACACCCATCACTCCGAGGATGATCACCTTGTCGTCGAGGTTGGTGCGAGAGATGGCCCAGCCCTTGGCGAGAAGGATGATGAGGAGAATGAAGGTCAGCTGGGCGGCCAAATCGATGATCTCACCGACGCCGCGGGCACCTGGACCACCGACACCGTTGTGTGAGTAGGAGCCATAGTGGCAGAGCAAGATGAAGATTGACAGGAACTCGAGCAGCACGGTGATCGTCAATAACTTGACGATTGGGTGGTAGGAGTGAGTTCTCATCAGCATGTAGCCGCAGTAGCAGCTAAAGATAGCCAACACGAGGAAGAACCAGAAGTAGGTGAGGTACATTTGCTCGAGGCCTTGATCGTCGGCAGAGAACTGGTGCTTCCAAATGTTGCCAGTGTTGTAAAACTCGAGCTTGTACTCCAAATCCATTCCATTGGTGGATGAGCAGTCGGCAGCCACTACATACCAGTAATGTGGACGGGTGTCATCCTCTGGGTAGGATGACACTGGAGTCTTGCCATCGAGAATTGGTGTCATTGAGTAGATGTGTGGTCCCAATGTAGTCCTCTCCGTGCAATTCATGTGTGACTTGTACACAGTGGGGAAGGAGCCAACCTGGTCATCATACAAGTACAACATAATCGATTGACTCGATGATCCAGTAAAGGTCAATGTACCAGGACCTGTATGTAGTAAACACAATTATATATGTTAGTAACTCCTCCCTCAGATTATCATCACCAACACCAAATCAAACCAATATATATATATATATAGTGTTAACATACCGCTGTTACTGAAACAGAACTTGTCAAGGAAGGCCCAGTTGTTCTTTGTCTTGAGGTGTCCCTTGCTGACCTTGCCCTGAGTGAAACCGGCAACCAAAGCAAGAACCACGAGAATAGTTAATATTAACTTCATTCTAATGTTGTATGTATGTATGTATATCTAAATATATATATATATATTTGTATTACACTTTAATAATAAGAAGATGAAAGAGAATGAGGCCGTCCTAGGACTAGGGGTGGACAAGCAGAGTCTCTCATACACATTCGCACTGACTGGGTGTCGGTTTGTACTTGTGTTGCCTGCATTGTAAAAAATATCCACTGTGGCTGAAAAAAAAAAGGGGTGATGGCGTGTTTGATCACAATGAAAAAAGATAAGAAAGGTGTGAGTGTGTACAGTACAGATACAATTTATTTTGGAGGCTTCAAGAATGGCTTGCCATCTATTCCCAGGACGGCACGCCATGGTCGGACAATCATTCCTACCCTAATCTACCTATCTATCTATCTTATGTTTTCTTATGGCAACTGTGAGATGGTCTTCTTGGGAGGTGGTGACTTTGATGGCTTCATTGCAGTCTGTCTGTGGTATCCATCATCAGAGTGTGGAGTCCAAACCCTGTCCTTGGAACCAGCTGGTTCATTTGCTTTCTGTATCTCCTAATTATCGTTGTATGAATGGAAATGGTTGGTACAAAATGAGGTGATGGGGACCATCATTTTGGAACTATGTTACCTTTTCAAAGTGTGATTTCAAGTTTCCTGTTGACGACATTATTATATTTATATTTATTTGTTTAGATACATATACAAGTAACTGAATGAATTACTGACTGATTGAAAGTTGAGTCTGTTTGCCAACCAACAACAAACAATCAAGGGGTGTACCCTTTATTTGAAATTATTGGCAAAGACCACCCAATTAACTATGTGGGTTGGCAATGAAAGCATCAAAGCCATATTGAGAGATTAGTTGATTGTTGTTTGCATGAAAGATAATAGATAAATATTTCTCAATTGTTGGTTGGTTATTATAGTACTTGTATGATATCACATAGATATCTTGAAGTAGTACTATTTTCTGGTTTAGTTAAATATTCATTGGTCCACCCTACAACAATAATCACAATGAATGTTCGATCGATCCAGATGATTTTTGGTTGATTTTTAAAATTTAGTGACGCTTTTCCCAACAGAACAATAAAGTTGTTCGAACATTCCATTCGATTGTTAACGACGAAGATACGGTCGAGTATACTCTTTATATAACTCTAACTGTATATGTATATATAACACTAATAACAATTAAAATAATAATAACAGCTATCTAACACAGAAAATGGATACAAGTGAGAGGTAGTGTATTTCGTCGAATCAATAATATCAATAAACCATGGTTGTCATCTAACATACATCATTGTCGACAACATTCAACAGGAGACTCACTGAGGCCATCTATGACTATCTATGTATGAAGGGGTTGACAAAGTCAGCTGATCTCTTCTCAAAGGAGGCAAAGATGCAGACAAGACTCAATTCATCAAACTATAATGACCTACTGCTACAGGCATGGAACTATTACTTTCAATCATTCCTACATCATCACGATGCCACTTGTAATCACACTCAACGTCAACATCAACTACATCAACAACTACAACAACAGCATCTACAACAGCAACAGCAACAACAGCAGCAACAACAACAGACACTTTCACAGTCACAACAACTTGTACAACAACAACATCAACAACAACAACAACAGCAACAACAACATATATATGATGGAACGTCATCATCACCATTGCTCATGAGCTCAATGTATCCTACACAACAGGTTCCACAACAACAACAACAACAACAACAACAACAACAACAACAACAGCATCAACAACAAAGAAGACAACTAAATGGATCAACTTTGAATGGAACAAGTCCCATAGATATATCTGGATATACATTCGATCAATCAGTTTATGTCAATGGCAATGGAAAGATAATGAATGATACTAGTGATCCCTCAATCGCACAGCTCAATATCAATAACAACAATAACAACAACAATGAACAGCATCAACACCAACTACACCAACATCAACACCAACATCAGCAACATCAAACTAGTATACTGAATATAGGCAATGCCCCTATGGCATTCCCTCATACTCCGCCACAGACTCATCGATCACCTGCTACACCATCAACACCATTGGCCACATCGATTACATCTACCGGCGTTACACTTGGTTTCAACATCATACCGTCCAGTGACTCCCCATCATCGACACCTCCCACCAACAGCATCTCGCCTCACTTGGCTGGCCTTGTCGACTCCAACTCCCCACCAAACTCGTCCTACCTCCAAACTCAGATGTCCACCTCATCTACACAACCCAAAGAGTCCATTCTTCTACAAGACTCTTCGGATGAGGTATGTTGGACCCCCGAGACATTCAAAGACACAGTTGACTAACTCTCCTCATCTCCACAGAATGGACAATTCTCTTGTACACATCCAGGTTGCGGACGATCATTCGCATCACTATCAAGTCTCAAACGACATTTGAACGAGCATAATGGCTCTAAACCATTCATCTGTACACATGAAGGATGTGGCAAAGGATTCGCCAGGAAGTATGACCTAAAGGTACATCTTCGTTCGCACACTGGTGAGAAACCCTACACTTGTTCATTCCCCGGGTGTCATAAGAAGTTCGCTAGGAACTCTGATCTACGTCTACATGGTATGTTGTTGTTGGTGTCTGAATCAATCAATCAATCGATCAATTCTCTAACCATCTCCATTGAACAGAGAGGATACACACTGGTGAGAAACCTTATGTATGTGACTGCGAAGGATGTACCAAACGATTCATTAGACAGGCAGACTTGAAGAAGCATCTAAAGACTCACAAGGTGCATCAAGGACATCATCCTCATAAGCATGGCGCAGGATGTGGACACACAGCGATCGCTCACGACGACCATATCGACTTCTTGCACGATCGCCACTTGCACTCGGTGCACCAGGACCACATCGACGATCACAGCATTGAGATGTCCGATGTGAATCCAGTGATCTGTACGCCACAGTTTGTCTGTCAGCATCATCCCGACGGCACCACTCACTCCCTTGAGTGTGGACATGAGATGGTGCCTCATCACGCAGAGGATGGCAGTGTCCATTATGACTTTTTGGTCGATGGACATCTACATCACGTGCACGACGGTCACTGTGATGATCATGGCTGGATAGAAGTGATCAACAGCTACATGGACACTACCAAATAAACACTGTGATCGCTATCGATCACCTGACCATTTGGCACCTTTGTTAATAAGTAAACAATGTTTAAACTAACTAACTTGTGTATGTTTGTGTTATTGACTAAGAGGGCAAGACGAAGACGACATAGTCTGGATCTAGCGGGCTTACTTGGACGAAGCCTTCTTGTATCTCTCAGCAACATTGCTCCAGTTGACAATCTCCCAGATGCCCTTGACGTAGGCGGCTCTGACGTTCTTGTATTGGAGGTAGTAGGCGTGCTCCCAGACGTCAATGCCCAACAATGGAGTGACTCCAAGAAGTGGATCCTGGTTGGCACAGGTCTGAGTGACGAGTCTGCCAGTGGTGTGGCAGTATCCAAGCCAACCCCAACCAGATCCCTGAATGGCAACAGTCTGTGCACTGAATGTCTCAATGAACTTCTCCAATGAACTGTGTGTTTGTGAGCAGAGTTAGCAACTTGTTACCGGTAATACGACTCCCTCGATATCTCCTACTACTTACCCCCATTGCTTGTTGATAGCCTCAGCCAATGGACCGGTTGGAGCAACACCACCTTGTTGGTTCTTTGGTGCAAGGTTGGTCCAGAAGATGCTGTGGTTGATGTGACCACCACCGTTGAACCTGAGTGCGGGCTGGAGGGCAATCATGCCAGCAATGTCCTTGGCAGCCTCACATGCCTGGTACTTCTCGAGTGAAGCGTTGAAGTTGGTGACGTAAGCCTTGTGATGCATCTGGTGGTGCAGCTTCATGATGTCACCAGAGATCACTGGCTCCAAAGCGCCAAAGTCATAGGGCAAGTCTGGCAAGACATAAGGTGTGGCCGATGTGGTGAATGACCTAGCGCCAAGTTGTTGTGTGGCACATCTAGCAATCTTTCCAATGTTGTTCATCTTGTTATTATGTGTTGTATATGTATGTATATGTATGATAAGGAATAGTTTATAAAGTGTCTTGTGAACTGATGAACATCAAGTGATGTTGTCCCCACTCCATCAGCTGATTTTTAGTAATAAACACACACTTTTGATCATTTCGGGCCAAGTTGATCCAACACATCACCTGAGCAGGAAGGAGATGTAGTTCCAATAACAATACTTATTTATTGGATGGTTATTTGTTTGTTTACTTAGTACAAATCATGATTGAGAGGTATCCCATCCCTCTGTGATCATGTGGTGGGCGGTGGACTTTATGAGTCGGCAGCACGCACTTGGTGCATGACTGGTGCTTGCTTTGGTGCGTCGAGACCCTTTTGGATACTGATGCTGTCCAAACCGACGCCAGTCTTACCGGCATCACCTCTGATCTGATCGTTGATAACGTCCAACTTTGGTGCATTGACTGACTTTGAGATTTGAATGCTGTCCAATCCAACCTGGGTCTTTCCAGCATCACCTCTGATCTGATCATTGACTACATCCAACTTTGGTGCAGACACTCCCTTGGCAATGTGCATACTGTCCATTCCAACCTGTGTCTTTCCAACATCTCCTCTGACTTGATCGTTAACAGTGTCCAACTTTGGTGCATCTATTCATAGATTTGTGATTGTGTGAGTTTGTGTCATTCACTCATTCATTCCATGTATGATTGATTGGGCACTTACTAACAGCGTTAGCAACACCGATGCTGTGAGTGGTAGTGGTACCAACAACGTGGTCAGTTCCAAATCCAGTGACTGGATAGTGATTCTTGCAGTAAATCTTATCATTGATACTCTTGTAGTTGGTCAAAGTTAACTGCCATCCACAAGTCTCGCCTAAAAAATTAAGGTCAAATGTCATAAATGTTAGACTTATGTGATCTTTATTCAATGATCTTCAATCACATACTCCTCCTCATCCTCTACTCATCACTCTCTTCTTCGTCCATCCATCCATCCATCCATCTTGATCAACTTTACACTTGAAACAAGTTCTGTGCCAGCATGATTTGGCAGCAGTGACTCCTTCGAGCTGGTACACTCTAACTCCACACTTTTTACATGGTCCAAGGTTTGCTGACATTTTTATACAAGTTGTTGTTGGTATTTATATATAGATATATATATATTAGTTGTAGAGAATAAATGGTACTGATTCAAGGTATGATTGATACTGAAGGTGGTTTTACAATGATGGTGTCCTTTGGTTTGTTAATCAATTCAAAAAAAAAGTTGGCTTGATGGGTCCTGATTTGGGTTGTCCACCCCAATCACACACATGCAGGAATCTTATTTGAAATTGATGATGAACACGATAGATTGACAAAACAGACGACAGTATCCAAAGCTTACTATTGACCATCCACAACAATGAAACCTATCCATTTATTAAGACTACGTAACTTCCCTATATTTAAACAGTTGCAGATAGAGGAGTCAATATACAGGTCAAAGAATGCTGGCAACTGGTTGATCATCAATCAGGGCACACCAGAGCCTATCGTCGTGATGGGCATCTCGGGCAAACCCGATAGACTCGTCCATCTACAAAAGGCAGCTGACATGAACGTGCCCATTATGAAGCGATTCACTGGCGGTGGCACGGTCATTGTCGACGAGCACTCACTATTCACCTCGTTCATTATGGACAACGATTGGCTGGCGGCACAGGGCATCGACACGAAAGCACCGCGCAACATCATGAAGTGGAGCGAGACATTCTACCGCAATGTCTTCCGCGATCACCCAGACTTCTCTCTCATGGAGCACGACTACTCGTTTGGCCACCACAAGTTTGGTGGCAATGCACAAGCTCTGTCTCGCTCGCGCTTCGTCCATCACACCTCCTTTCTGTTTGACTTTGACGACAAACGTATGGCCGTGCTGAAGCAACCGGAGAAGACGCCAGAGTATCGGCAGGGACGCGACCATCTTAGCTTCCTGTGCAAGTTGAAGGATCGTTACACCGACACAGAGACGATCGCCACCAACATCGAGGACACAATGAGGTCATTCCATCAGATTGTATTGGCATCAACAGTTGGCAACAAAGATATCTTTATTGATGATGACGTGGTAACAAGTCGGTCAAGGTCATCATCAACTAATGATATTAATAGTCAGTTGTTGGGTGACAACAACAATGATACACAGAACGAACAAGAACAACAAAACCATCATATTCTTCGAGATGCATCATTTATCAATGTAACATTACAAGATGCTATGCGATACTTTGAAACAGGTGAGCATCACCAATCAAACATATTGTTCGATCCGAAGGAGCTACTCGCCAAACAACTCGAACTACAACAACAACAACAACAATAGCAATAAACTCTGGAACTCTGGAGACTGAGCTTTATTACCACTTCCACTGAATCATTTGGTTGATAGTCACCTTTCCGATCCAATTCCTCTTTCTTCTTTCGAGCCTAGAGTCAACTGGTTCATTGTCGATAGCCAGTGGTGTGCGCCATATTAGAGGACCAGGTGCGTCGACACCCTGTTGATCCTTCCATTGTTTGAATGTATTGACATTGACCACAGCATAAAGGTTGCCATCGATGGATGACAGGGCAGTAGGACACACACCACAGTGTCTACAAAGAAGGAAGTCTGCAGTCAATGTACCCTGTTGATATCTATTCGTAAGCTGCTCATCCTTGATTAGGATAGCCAATGATCCTGCAGTGCACGATGTCCAGGCTGCTCCAACCATCTTACAAAAGCTGCAAGAACATTCTCTAGCGGCAACTCCACCATCCAAAGCTTCTGCAGGCTCCCATCCCATTCTATATGAGATGTTGCCACAATGACATCCTCCAATAGTTGACATAACTTGTTGTTAATGTATCTACATGTAGATTGAATCAATGAGAAATAAAGTGTCAATTATGAACTCATGAATAAGTCTGGAGAAGTGGGTCATGATGGTAACGAGCTCACAGAATTACAATTATTTATTGCTTGGTCTGACAGTCGTCCAACAATGAATTGACTTGCTTCTCATACTCAATCCAGAACGATTGATTGGACAGGGATATTCTGTGACCGCGACGGGTGATGTCCTGAAGGATAGACTCGAGGCCGGATGGAGTCTTGGGATCAGTACGGGACATGAGCTTGCCAATCTGATGGAGGGTCAGGTCCTTCTGAATGGCCTTTTGGACAAAGGTGGTGGTTAGCTTTAGTGTCTCCAGACACTGTACACGGAGCTCGGGTAGAGCACTCTTGAAGTAACGGATATCAGAATCAATGTCAATGGCTAGTATCTGCTTGCGGGTCTCCTCATCAAAGGGTGCCTTGGACTGGGGGAAGTAGATCCAGTCAAAGAGGGCGTCCGAGAGCGAGTTGGAACTTGGTAGACAGAGGCTGTGATCGATGGGCACTAGATGGAGCTGGTCCTCCTCGTTGTAGGCGACCAGGATGTTGCCAGAGTGGCGATCGCAGTTGAACAGCAAACAGTCCAAGAGACCAATTCGGTGAACGTCCGTCTTTGGGAACATGGTGTATCCAACCTCCTCGGCGGAATCCTCAAACTCGACGAATTGCTGAAGCGATCCAATCTTCTTGACTTGTTGGCCATTCTTTCTCCAGGTGGGATGGTACACCTCGACCAAGGCAGTCGTTGGCACGTTGAAGAAGTTGTTGTGTCGTTGGTCAAAGAGGTAGGCTGCGACCTCCTTGTAGACACCCTCGCCCTTGATCGTTCCACTCTTGAGGCCAGCGGAGGACGTTTGGGCATGTCCATTCTCCTCGTCCTTGGGCTTGAACACGGCCAACTTGGAACCGGTACGGGACTTGAGGAAGTAGACGCTGCCACCAAGGCCTTCGCCAACGGACAGGACGGGACTGTGCTTTCGGAGACCACTATCTGCCTTTTCGATTAGGGATAGTTGCTTCTCGTAGGAGCGTAGAACATTGAGTTGATGTTGATGCTGATGGTGATGGTTGTGGGAGTGATGATGGTGATAATGGTTCCTTGAAATCTTTGGACCTACTGAGCATTGGTTCAAAGTTGAATGGTCTTTATCAGATTGAGATAGAGCGGATGTTGTTGTTGTCGTTGAGGTAGTTGGGGATTTTTGTTGTGGTAGCTGGTTGTTGTTCACATTGGGGATAGTACAATTGCCAGTGGAGGACATGGAAGATGCTTGGGTAGTATCATTGTTGTTGTTGTTGTTTGCCAAAGTAGAAGTTGACTGCTCAAATACAAAAGATGAACTTGTTGGACATCCATTGAGTCTTGAGGGTCTTGGGGATTTGTAGAGTTTGCTTTGTTCCCCAGGCAATAGGGAAAATGGAGTTGGAGCAATTGATACCATTATTACAACTGAGTTTGTAGTTGAATGTATGAACGGAAGGAATGAAGTTGTTGTTGTAGTTGGATGGGATGATCGATGTGATGGGGTGAAGATGATGATGAAGATGGGACAAGATGGATGTTAACTCTGTCTTGTCACAAAGCTGCTGCTCTCGCTGCGACCTCTACTGCTGCTGCCTTTGCTGCGCTCTGCACCGACAAGAGTGAACAGTCCAACTTGTACCAGGCGACTGACCAATACGTATAGTATTTATAATTAAATATTATTTACAAATGGATTATCATTAGAGTTTTGTATATACAAATAAGTGAAGGGGAAGAAGGAATAAAGGAGGGGATAAATAAAATAGTTGAAGTAAAGTGATAAGATAGGTTGATAAGTGATTACGAAGATATTATTATCATTGTATTGGGCTGTTAATATTCTGTTTGTTTGTTGTTTGTTATTTGTTTGTTTGTTTGTTTGTTTGTTTGTTTGTTTATGTAGTATAGTGTATGTTGTTGATGATGGACAACTGCTGCAACTCCGACTGGAGGCAATGAAACAATGAATATATCTATTATTTGTAGATAGGTTGTGTGTGTGTGTGTGTGTGTGTGACGTTGTAAAAATTTGTATGTTTGATTTGTGAATGAATGAATAAATGGAAGATGTTCAGCCACTTTTTAATATCGTACCACCCGTTTTGGAAAGAAATGAAAAAATGGGAAGTAGGGAAGCTGTTAGACATTGTGGTGATGGGCTGAGCCATGGGGTTTCAATGGCCTGGGGGATTGTCTACAATTACACATACCTAAACTATGAGGAACAAGCAGTGGACAAGTAATCTAAATGAAATTTGAATGATTATTCAAATACTAATAAAGAAGTACTGATGTTATTGACTATGTCAATGTTGATTGATTGATTGATTAATTGATTTGTTTGATTGTTGACTTGGTCACTGTGTTGTTGATTGATTGCAATATTATAATATTGACCACTCTGATGTTTGATTAAATCGACCTTAAATTTATATGATTAGAGATCAAATGTAATACATATATATAAATCAATTGATTGAGATAGTAGTTGTAGTAGTTTGGTGATCGGGTATGAACACTGAGAGTGATGATTGATGTTGTTGTTGTTGTTGTTGTTATTGATTGATTATGGTGTATTAGCTGTTATGCAATAATATCAATGGTGGACTTTGACCCAATACTCACTCTCTCACTCTCTATCTCTATCTCTTTCACTCCTACTATTACTTGACTCTAACAATCAACAACTCTTGCTGATATTGTCTTCTCTCACTGGAACCAGAGTTCCCACATACACACTATCCCACACTCAGACATACAACCACACTCACTCCACTTCCAGCATTATCGAGATACACACAAACACACACACACACAAACAAAGTTATGTGGACACACATACATACACAACTCTGTATTACTTTGATGCACCACTGCATGTGGACACACAAAGTAAACCCGAGAGGGGCACAGGTGTGAATCAGTGAGGGGTGTTGGCTCGCCCCTCGGGCAATCAATCCAATCATCTCCATACGTAATGCATCTGAATAAACAAACCCAAAAAGGTGTCCTTTAGAAGAGGAGAGGTTAGGAGTAGTCACAGTGACTTGGACAATGTATGGATTATTTGTTTGTCGCGTCACCTCATGGTCAACAACTAAAGTTGACCTTTGATCCATGACTCTCATCCTCTCCTCTCTTGACTACCTGTACCTTTGGTTTCGAATAGACTAATCTATTAACGACTTCCTCCTCTCAGTAACAATTACCTTATTCTTTGTTTGTTGTTGGTCGTTATTGTCCTTGACCCAAGTATTTAGGTCTGTAGTAGTACGTGCATCGCCAAGTATATTAGTAAGAAATGTAATGAATTGGTTGGACTTACGACGACCATTACTTTGCTTGCCGACGGTTCATCAATGGTCGTGAACAACATTGTATGTAAACAAAGTCGCCATGATCACATCATGTGGTTACAATGACATTGACGACGAACTGATTAGGTCACAGTGGATCTGTGCGCTTTGGGGGCCAAAAGCACCTGTTTGAAACAATGATTCATCGCACCCACTCCAGATGGCCCGCCTATTTTGTTCCATCGTTCTAAAACGCCTGGGATAGATGAATCCATACGACCACGATCATACCAGTCCACCAGTATTAGCATTATTTAATCAACTATTAACACATTCAATTACATCTATCAATGCTGACCCGTCATTGACAAACATAAACAAATATAAACAAACTCTTACTTTACACACACATAGATATCAATCACCATCATCATCGTTCCTCCTCCTCATTCATCATCTATCAACCAATCTAGATTCATTCATTAATGTAAGAACAGACTTCCATCTATTTTAGGAGTTCGTTGGGTCAAGAAATCGCCCAATTTAGTTTGAGTTGTTTGTAAGGCCTATGTGTATACCTGTAGGGGGCTTAGGTGTTGGTGTTATAGTTGAATGTCCACGCTCTCAGGGTGTTTCGGAGGGCTCACCTTCATTCGAATGGCCCCCAGGGTAGTCAAACAACTCCTTTTCAAACGATTAATTAATTTAAAACAAAAAAAAAACTGTTGAAGAAAGAATAAGCCCTCCCCAACAACCACTTAACAACTTCTACTACAAACTACAATACTATTCCTTATTCTTTCATTCATATACTTTAGTTTCTTATACCATTGTATTGTTTACACACTACAGCAAATGTGGGTCACATCATCAACATCATCAACATCACCATCAACTATCCTTTCTTTTTCTCTATCCTCTCTCTCTTTTGCTCCTCTTTTCCCCTTTGCCAACATAAAAAATGATATTGGACCGGTTAAACAATAATAGATATGTCAGGGCCCACAACTAGTATACACCTAGGCCTGGTGTAGACTTACCACCCCCACATGACAGAACCAATAACAACAACAACAACAACTTGTCAATCCATGCATCCATTCGAACACCATTCACACACATCGTGTGGAAGGTTATTTCGTTCTGTAGCCCAAGTCAAAGCCCGCGGGCCACTACTAAAGTAGTGGTTGTTTCTGTGCGCGACAACACTTATTTTATTTTCCTGACAACAACACACAGATTGTCCACAGTATTGTTTGTTAGTTGCAGTTCAACTTGGCACTCAACTCACTCTTCTCTCCGCACCCACCACTCACAACCACATTCATTCATTTATCACATTCATTCATGCATCTGTAGCAATTATACAATCATCTCTTTATCCTTATACTAACCAATAACACTCTTTAACATTCTCTATCTTTAGTTACTTAGTTACTTAGTTAGATATATATTAATATAGTCGATATATCAGGGGTATCAAAAACAAACCTGATATATACTTCATGTTCAATTAGTCATACATACAAACATACACATATATAGTCATACAGGCTTCAACAAGTAATATATATTTTATAGATTTACAAATACTCATATATAAACTGCGCATTTGAGGATGACCAAGAAGAATCAACAGCAACAACTATTACAACAACAACAACAACAACAACAATTACAATTACAACAACAGATGCAACAGCAACAACAACAACAACAACAGTTGGATATTAAGAATGAGCCTGATGATAGTGACTCGGATTCAGATAGAGAGCGAAAGAAGAATAGGAGTAGGGCTAATCAGAATCTGGCGAGCAGGAACTATAGACAGAGAAAGAAGGAGTACATCCGCGATATAGAGGAGAAGTTGGCTGTGTTGGCACTCGAGAATGACCAGCTAAAGAAGGAGAACCTCAACTTGAAGAAGGGCGGTGGTCTCGAGATCATGAAGCCCGACCCTGCCTTCATCACAATGATGATGGAAGCCAAGCAGATCATCATCCAGCTGGATGTGGCCATCAAGAAGAACGACGACCGATCGCTCATCTATCTGCTGCAACTCTTTCATCTGTCCATCGAGAAGCGACACAGCATCATTGAGCGCGAGGTCGAGAAGATGGTGCATCCATACACACAGGCCAAGCTGGCTGCCATGGGCTACGTGCCGTCACTTGAGAACCCGATGATCTCATCGATCAGTGGGCCATCCTCGGATGGCTGGTGGCTCAAGTACATGCAGGAGGCACAGATCACAGAGGAGCAGGCTCAGGCCATCAAGCAACTGCGCTCCAATCACTGGAAGGCTGACATTGAGTTGCGAAACGAACGTGAGCGTTTGGATCGCTCCATCAAGGAGTTTTACCTGAGCAAGGTGATGGTGTTCCCCACCAACGAGCGTCTCAACAAGTCGTTCGCAGCCAACCTGTCGATCACTGACGCGCCAATGCCGCAGCCCATCAACAACACGATTGCCGATACCAACGCCGTCGACATCTCCGAGATACTCGAGTTCACCAGGAAGCTGGAGCACCTGAAAAAGAACTTTGTCAAGCAGCGTACCCTCATGGAGGACACGCACGCCGCTCTCTCGGCCATCCTCACGCCACGACAAGAGGCAATGCTTCTCGTGCGTGTACATTACTCGACTCGATACGACTTTGCCAACATGGAGATGCTCAAGAACGTTTGGGGAAGCGTCTCCAAGGACTCCAACTTCCCGCCTCCTCCACCCCAGTTTCCACCATCGCTTCTCAACAACAACGTCAACCAAATCAACAACAATCTGTTGACCATCCAAAACATGTACAGTCCGTACTCAAACAACAACACCACATCCACCACCTCCACAACCACAACACCATCATCGAATAACCAGCAGCAGCAGCAGCTTCAATCACCTCAACTCATCAATCAACACAACGCCAGTCTCAATAACAATACATCTTCACCGTTGTTGACCAACCAGAACAGCAACAATAACGCACAGGCGCCACCTTTGTTGGCACAACACAACCATCCAATCCAGAGCAACACTGGATACTACTAGTTAGTAGTGGTGGTAGTCTATTTGAAGACGTCCCTTTGCTCCAACACCAGTCGACACTGTCCATGTACGTACGTGAGTGAGTGAATGTGTGCCACTGCTACTGCCATGCCATATGCCATCCCTTCTCCTCCCCCCTATCTCCCCCAAATCATCCACCAATCACAATGGTTGATTCCCAACAACGAACAGCAAACAGGATCAACAAACACAACGAGCATCACGTCGCCAAGACTAAACCAACATGCGAGTTGGAAACTGATAATAAAAGCAAACGAATGCCCATCAACAACAATGTAATTGTCCTAATGCCTTGGCCATAATGATTGGTCGTTCATTCAATGATCTCGCCGCTCGTGCGTGCCTACTAAGTTTAATAGTAATGCTTGTTGGAGTTGGATCGAGTCAAGTCGTCTGTCTTCTTCTTTATCCATCCAATCATTGATTTCAGACTGCTTGTTCCAAGTTTCTTGCGAGAGTACTCGTTGTCTACGCCTACAATACGACCTAAAGGATGGAGAATGAATGAGTGAGTTGTCGAGGTCGATAGATTGAATGAATGATCGATCCAAATGAATAAACATACTTCCAGAAGAGAATGGTAATGAACTGTCATTGGCAGAGAGTGATACAAAGAAGATGAATGGAACCAACCAGACAAAGAATACAAATACAGCAATGATCTCAGTGAATGGGAACCAGTTGGAGCGGAAGAACATGAACCACATGCAATGACTGATGACCATGGTTGCTGTGAAATGGGGCAGGAGGGTGAGTAAGGACATCATCAGGTTCTGGTCATGATCAAACATACCAACGCTAACAATAAACTTGACGCTCGAAAGTGTGACGAATGGGAACTCTGACAATAGAGTATAGTATGATGCATGGCTGACAAGACTCAAGAATATGCATAGCTTGTCAACACTCTCAAACAATCCAACCAGTAGTATGAGTACCATCGTCGTCTATGAAGGGGTGTTCAGTCAATGTAAGTCAGTCGTCGGGTAGTGTCATTGCAATGAGCCAACATATGGCAGGAATAACAATGTGTCCATACAATTATAGTATATCTAATCAATCTCTTGGCCACTGTAGCATGCTCTTCTACCAACTCTGCAAAGTAGTATAGTCCACATGCCAGACACACGATGCCAAACATCATGCCAATGACATAAAGCAGAAATGACAATATTGAAAGAAGCATGATTGACTTATGAATGGTACATATATATATAATTGTAAACTATTATCTATCTCTTCTTTGTGTGAATATATTATATTAGAATTCCAACTTGAGTACAAGGATAGGATACATTAGTGTCCTTCTTGACATTGAGTCATCTAATTCATGTTGTTGGGAACTTCAAATGAGAGAAGTGAACTTAATTTGAAAATAAATCAACAAAAATCTTCTGTGGTCCTCACACACACAGAGACAGAGAGGATACCTTGGGTTATCTTGTATCTCTTGAAGGCTCGTGTGAAGGAGGATATATCCATATCATCTCATATATATATATACACAGGTTATCAAACAAGATGTCTCAGATGATTGTATGGTATCAATCCAACTTGATKGGTGTACAGGTGATAAGAAAATGAACTCAAACTAACCAAACGGATACCTATTGATTGATCGATTGAACGATTGAATGAACCAATGAATGAACGATATATACATCATCTAGAAACCACCAATTATCCTGTTGAAGGAAGGAACAGATACTTCACAAGGTATCCCTCAGTTGATTAGTAATATAAATGCATGCTGTGCGATCGTCGATACAGTTAGGACTACATTGGGACCACGTGGAATGGACAAGTTGGTCTATCAGAGCGAGAGAAAAGTCACGATCTCAAACGACGGCGCCACAGTCATGAAGCTGCTCGATATTGTGCACCCTGCTGCAAGGACACTGGTGGACATTGCCAAATCACAGGACAGCGAGGTCGGCGACGGCACCACATCGGTGGTCGTGATGGCCGGCGAGTTCCTCAAGGTCGCCAAGCCATTCATCGAGGAGGGCATTCACCCACAGATCATCATTCGCGCCTACAGACGCGCATGCGAGCTTGCCAAGCAGAGGATCAAGGAGCTGTGCATCGACATCAAGGACGCCGATATGCGCGAGTTCCTCGAGAAGTGCGCTGGTACAGCAATGAACTCCAAGCTGATCGCCTCACACAAGGACTTCTTCTCAAAGATGGTTGTGGACGCTGTTCAGTTGCTCGACGACGAGATTGAGTTGGCGATGATCGGAGTGAAGAAGGAGAGCGGCGGTGGCATGGCAGACACTCTGTTTGTGCCAGGTGCCGCCTTCAAGCGTACCTTCTTCTACGCCGGTTTCGAGCAGCAACCAAAATACATCCAGCAGCCCAAGATCATCTGTCTCAACAACGAGCTCGAGCTCAAGGCCGAGAAGGACAACGCAGAGATTCGTATCTCTGACCCATCCAAATATCAAGCACTGGTCAACGCCGAGTGGAAGCTGTTCTACGACAAGCTGGACGCCATCCACGCATCGGGCGCCAACGTTGTGCTTTCGCGTCTCGCCATTGGAGATCTGGCCACACAATACTTTGCCGAGAAGAAGATGTTCTGCGCCGGTCGTGTGCCAGAGGAGGACCTGAAGCGTGTCTGTCACGCCACAGGCGCCAGCATCCAGACCACCGTGTCCAACATCATACCACAGGTCATTGGAACTTGCGATTTGTTCGAGGAGAAGCAGATTGGAAGCAGCCGTTACAACCTGTTCACTGGCTGCAAGAACACACACACTGCAACCATCATTCTGCGTGGTGGTGGCGAGCAGTTCATCGATGAGGCTGAGCGCTCGCTGCACGACTCGATCATGATTGTGCGTCGCGCTCGCAAGCATCGCTCGGTCGTCGCCGGAGGTGGCGCCACCGAGATGGAGATCAGCAAGTACCTGAGGGACCATGCCTTGACCATCGAAGGCAAGCAGCAGCTGTTGATCACCGCCTTTGCCAAGGCACTCGAGGTCATCCCTCGCCAGATCAGTGACAACGCCGGCTTTGACTCGACCGACATCCTGAACCAGCTGCGTCAGAAGCACTCACAGGGCGAGAAGTGGTACGGAGTGGACATTGTCAACGAGGGCATTTGCGACACATACAAGTCGGCCGTTTGGGAGCCAACCATTGTCAAGCTCAACAGCATCACCGCCGCCACTGAGGCCGCCTGTCTGGTTCTCTCTGTGGACGAGACCGTTTCCAACCAACAATCAGAGCAGTCACAGGCTGGTCCACAAATCGACCCAAGAACCCGTGCTGCCCTTGGCAGAGGAGGTGGTGTCCAGGCCATGAGAGGTAGACGATAAACATATACACAATCTATTGTAGTTGTTAGTTATTGCCACAAAATATCCATCTCATTTAATATATTATATAATACTTATACATTGATTGATTGTTTGTTTGATTAATTGATCACAACCAACATCACAATCAAAGACTTCAACCTCAAACTACCAACACATCATTGTACTCATAAATATATAATATTCTTTCAAGTTGATCAATCGGAGAATGGACACCATCTGAATTCCAATTCCGAAAACAGTTTATTTCGACCTTCCCATTCAATCTATTTTAGGATAGATCTTACGAGCGTTCAATGTAACTCAAGTCCTTCACCCATTGTCAGTCCGATCCAGATTGACATTCATTCATTCAACCCAAACTTTCATCTTCATTCACAACAAACACCCGAATAGAAATATATGTAGTAGTACTTATTCAGTTCAACTTATTATAATTACAACATTAATGTATAGATGGCAGTGTCAAAGAATATAAAGAAGGGTGCTAGATGGGTCAGTTCATACTTTCCTAGGTATGAGTTGTTGTCAAGTCATGCTCAGTTGGTTGGATGTACTCAGAGAATGCCAATGCCACAGATGATACTATTATCATTACAACATGTGATGGCTATGTTTGGTTCAACGGTCGTTGGTCCAATGCTAATGGGTTTCAGTCCCAATACTGGATTGTTCTTCTCTGGCATTGGAACACTTATATTCTACGTCTGCACTGGTGGTCGTATGCCATCATATCTAGGATCATCATTCGCCTTTATCGGTGTGGTCAACGCGGCAACTGGATATCACTATGTACCTGGTGCTGGACTGAACCCCAACATTGACAAGGCTGCTGGTGGCATCTTGATATGTGGCATCATCTATCTCGCTATATCAATCATTGTCATAGTAGTTGGCTATAGATGGCTAGAGATACTCATGCCACCCATCGTCACTGGTGCTGTTGTAATGTCAATTGGACTAAACCTAGCTGGTGCAGCAATTGGACAAGCCAACACCACTGGATTCGATGCATGGATGGCCTTTGCAACTGTGATGGCCATTATTTTGATCACAATGTATGCTCCTGGACCACTAAAGCGACTACCTATTCTGTTGGGTGGCATCTTTGGATACCTTATATACCTGTTCTTTGGTCTAGGAGGCATTGGACCAGGTATAAGTTATGACACTGTACGAAATGCCAAGTGGATTGGCTTTCCACCAACAACAAAACCAATATTCGATGGCTCAGCAATATCATTGATTGCGCCAGTGGCCATTATCTTGGCTGCAGAAAACATTGGACATGTCAAAGCAGTAGGATCTATGACTGGTACCAACATGGATAAACTACTTGGCAGGGCATTCCTTGGTGACTCGCTGGCAACAATCTTAGCAGCTTCATTTGGAAGTACAGGTACAACTACTTATGGTATGTATGATGTTCTGAGATGTTGTCCAATCAATCTACTCACACTTACTGACTCAATCAATCACTCATCCAGCTGAGAACATTGGAGTGATGAGTATAACAAAGATATTCTCAACATTGACTTTTGTAATGGCTGCTGTTGTGGCTGTAGCACTTGGTCTACTACCTGTGTTTGGTGCAGTGATACAAACTATACCACCTGGAGTATTTGGTGGGATATCAATTGTTCTGTTTGGATTGATTGCAGTAACTGGTGCCAAGATTTGGATTACGAATCAGGTGGACTTCTCACAAAAGAGAAACTTATTCCCTGCTGGCATTGCACTGGTACTTGGATGTGGAATGGTCAATGGACTGGTAATATCATGGGGTGTTATCAAGATTGATGGAATCGGTGCATCTACATTAAGTGCAATTATATTATATCAATTGATGCGTGAAGATTGGCCTCAAGTCTTTAGAAGAGTTTATAACAAAGTAAGAGGACACAAAGGCGGTGGATCAAGGTCACATTCAACTGAAGACAATGGAGCAACATCATCAGACCATGTTGCCATGACCATTTTAGAACATCGTCCATTATCTCAATCTGGAGCTAGCACACCTTTATCCTCTTCAGACAGTAGTAGTTGTAACAACAATGATACCAACAACAATAATATTGACCCAGCCAGTGTACCAATGAACCAACCCCAAAGCGATATATCACACGTGGAGAGACATAGTAGTAGTCGTCTGAGTACCCACCAGGAAGACGAATAAAGTATACATAATAGTAGTCCACCCTTGTTAAACTGGATTGTAAAGATTCGAGTAGAATAGGGAAATTACTCAATTTGGATATTTTCTAAACCCACTCGACTAACACCCCGAACATTCGGGCTCTCTCATTGAGGTTGGAGTCTAAGTTAAAGGAATAATTGCAAGACTAGTCTACTTTATATTATATATATAAACAATAGTATAATTATAATAATAATATCTATTGAATTAATAATGACAGTAACAAAGAAGAATGTTGGAGTGATTGTAGGAAGCACAAGGACTCATAGAGTTGGATTGTCTGTTACCAACTGGTTCATTGAAACTTCCAAGATAAGAGATCTATTCAATGTAGAATTGATAGATCTGAAGGAATGGAACTTACCGTTTATGGATGAAGGTATTTATTTATTTATTTATACCTCCTATCATTAGTATTAAAACTACGATTATAATTATTATTAGCACAACCTCCAATGATGTTGAATGGACAATATTCTAGTGAGATTGGAAAGAAATGGTCTGCAAAGATTTCATCGATGGATTGTTTCATTGTAGTATCACCAGAGTATAATAGGGGATATCCAGCACCTTTGAAGAATGCTATTGATTATCTATATTCAGAGTGGATTGGTAAACCATTGATAATAGCAACCTATGGATTCAGTGGTGGAAAGTCATCAAATGAACAATTGTCAACTATTCTAGGTCAACTCAAAATGCAGTTGACTGAAACACATCCAATGCTATTCCTTTCCAAGACGATGTTTGATGACAAAGGTGCCATTGCCAGCTTCAAAGAGTTTGACAAACATATTGACGATATTCAGAAGGCAGTATCAGAGTTTGCTGCTCTTAATGTAGATAGACCTGCTCAACCAATCGAGTAATAATCATAATAAATAATCAAAGTGATAATTTGAAGAAAGACAAATGAATGAATGAATGTCAAGATGTTTTGTCCGACCTGACACTCAAAACGAAAAAGTTGAAGTTAGTCGGTTTTGCGCATTAACTAGACTGTAGAGATACAGGTAGAGACAGATAGAGATAAGAATGGACAATCCATGTATGTGTTTACACACGACTCATGATCATATGATCCATTGTCAACAAACATTAATATGATTGTCTATCACCCAATGTTACACAGATATGTCCAAAGAAACCATCTCAAACAGAGAGTCTATCAATCCCCTCAGGTACATCTGTGCGAGGAAGAAGGAGATAGACTCATTTCTCTCTGCGATACTCACAAAGAAGAGCAACACCAGAGCATTCCAGACGTTGCCAAGGCATCTGAGAAGGAGGACTATGAGTACAAATGCATATCGTTCGCCATTGCATCTTAGATTTAGGACGAGGAAAGAGGTAAGATGGTGAATCAATCATCGTTGACATCAGCCATGTGACTAACGCTGGTGATCGATAGATGGAGAAGTGCGCAGGTACCAACAAGGAAGGTCAAATCATCAACAACAAGAAGGGCAAGGTGGTGCGTAAGGCGAAACGAAGACCACCCTATCTGTTACGCGATTATCAACGACGACAACGAGAGTTCAAGTGGTTGGAGACTCACATATGGCATGTCAAGAGAATGAAGATGATCAATCTCTGGAAACACAAGATTGTAAGTGGTGTCACTCACTAGCCTCGCCTCTCATGGCATGCATGCCCACACTCACACATCCAATGACACAACAAAGGCATGGAAACCGAACGTCAAGTCGTACAGACCAATGTTCAGAGCTTCATCACATATGACTACGATATATGATCAGTCTTACAATTGTTGCTTCGAGATCACTGGCACTCAAGAGTCCATTTGTAACATGCTCAAGTCAATGACTCCACCAGACTCGATGTCAATTGGCGCCACAATGTACATTGCTGGAACCAAGGAGGGCAGATCGCTACTCCATCATCCCAATCGCTACCCATATCACATGATCACACCCATTCAATTCTTGTGGCGACCAGTTGCATCGACAACAAACAACAATAACAACCAGGAGGAGAAGAAGCGACAGATATGGATATGGGTACACGCATCAGCAATGGAGGAGTGCAAGCAGTTGTTCAATCAACAGGCTCAACTTCACGGTTGCAGAGTCAACTCGCTCGATGGCGAGCTACTGCGTTTTGAGCTCACGGGTGAGAAGTGCCACAAGGTGCTCAACTCCATACTCTATCCAATCGATGCGGCCACTGGCACATTGGACACACAGTCAGTCAGTGCCAAGCTATGGAACTCACTCAAGCAGCTGCGGACACCCGCAATTCTCCCACCTGGCACAGTCATTGGAATGACTGTGTATGATCCCAGACTCCTATGTTCAGTGCCTCCATCAGTGGCACAGGCAGTTGGCTCCATCCCCAAGCCCAACGCCCCGATCGCATCCAACGAATCATTGCTCACACAACGTCAAATGAATGACATCATTGTCAACTGGACAAAGTACGCTCAAGCCTCATACTCACCCCTGTTAGACTCCGACAGTCGCAGGAAGATGTCCAACCTTGAGCCTGTAGCACAGGTATATCAGCATCGAAAGAATGTAAGTTTAGCCGTCCTATCAATCATCCTAATCACATTAGCTGACCTAAAACATGCACATACATACATAAACAGCTGAATGCCAAGATCAAAGACTACAGTATCCCATCAATACTGTTGATCCAAAGAGATGGTGGATTGACACGTGGATATGGATCTGGATGGGACATCATTCTACCTAAGGCATGGGCGATGGCATTCTGGTTGCCACTTATCTATGCAGGTGCATGGGCAATAGGACTGGAGAACAAGAACATCTTCCTTCTCGAGCAAGGCTTGCCAAGCTTCCCAGGTGACTTCCCAGATTGTAAAGGATATGGGTAAGCTTACCATCCATCCATCGTTCATTCAACGATGACATTAACTAACTCACACCACCAATCACCTTAGTGAGTTCATCGATCAACAAACTCAGGAACCAATCAAGAAGTACCAGAGGACGCCAGAGGGCAAGAGACCAAACTACCTTCACAATTGCATATACTTCCCATTCGCACCCAACTGGCAATGGGTACTGCGGTACAAGGGTGATATCACATTCCAGGATGAGGATAATCAAGACCAAAAGGAGAAGAAGAAGGCCAAGATATTCTCTGATGCTGCAAAGACCTCAACCACCGATAACAACAACACCACTGACATTACCTTCAAGTCCATGCCCTACTTTGTCTACAGAGGCAAACTAGCCATGTCCCTCATGACCACCAAGAAGCCATTCATGAAGAGTATGTATCAATCATCCCGTGTCAATCCATCGATCAATCAACTTACACACAATCAATCAACAGACAGTAAATACGAGACAGATACTGTTAATCAGCCACACGAGAGAGGACTGGTTAGAGTGAGCGTCAAGATGTTCAATGGTGGCACACCAGTAAAGAACTCTGTGATATATAGAGCGCACGAGTCAGACCTTGAGAAGCTCAGGAATGACTTTACCAGCAAGAACTATGGAGCTGTTCAGTTGGACGTTGGCCATCCTACTGATCCAGAACTGTTCTACCAACAGACCAAACGCAAGCCCATTGGATATGTATCGTCCGGTGCACAATCACTAGTACGAGGCATTGGCAATGGTGTTGGATATTGCTCAGCCGTACAGTTTGTCAATCTTCACCAACAAGCATCCGACATGAACATCCAGCCTCAAGGCTTTGCATTCATCCAGAATCCAACATCAAGATATCTCTATCCAGTCATTCTAACGATCCAGCCTTGACCCCATACATGTAATAAAGAATAACATTGATTGATCGAACGAATGAGACAGCGATGAACGAAAGGAATGTTGACAAAAAGGATGGATGTTATTGGTATAATGGAGAAAACGGTATGGGGATGATGTCAGGTTGGTAGGAGGGGAGCGGGGTAGATAGATAATTAGTTACAACAGTGCACAGAGCTTGCTCTTGTCCTTCTTGGCTGGACCGACTGGGTTCTTGCGGTTGATCTGGCGGATTAAATCGTAGAAAATCTGCTCGACGTTGATCTTGTTCTTGGCAGAGGCCTCCAGGAAGATGCAGCCTCCAAACTTGCGGGCCAACTCCTCACCTTGCTCGGTGGCAACCTGACGCTGGTCGCCAAGATCGCACTTGTTGCCAACCAACACCATTGGCACATCCTCGCAGTCCTTCACACGCAGAATCTGCTCACGCAAGTCTGGCAACTCGCCAAACGTTGAATTGGAGATGATGCTGTAGACCAAGACGAAGCCCTGTCCATTCTTCATATATAAGTCTCTCATGGCAGTGAACTGCTCGGTACCAGCTGTATCCAAAATCTCGAGCATGCATTGGTTTCCATCAACCTCAACTTGCTTTCTGTAACTGTCCTCAATAGTTGGGTCGTACTATAAAGTATTATTAAGTGTATATTAGTAACTTGTAATAATATCTTATCCTATGTCCCTTGATTACATTAGCTTACCTTCTCGACGAAAATACCTTGGACAAACTGGACAGTGAGGGCAGACTTGCCGACACCACCGGAACCCAGAACAACGATCTTAAACTCTCTAAGAGGCATATTTGCTGTCTAAACGAATGTTTGTTTACTGTACACAATATGATTAATTAGTAATCAGATTGATTGTTTGATATTGATTGTTATTTAACAGAGATAGGTGAGAGTGAAGTGAAAGTGAATGAATGTGTGTGTTGTTGTGCGCGCGCACAAAGTAAAGTGAAGTGGAGGTTGGTGTGTGTGATTGATGAATAAGGTAACGGTGAATTGAAGTTGATTTGATTTTGTTTGATTATTATTATTATCAATTATTGATTATTATTGATAATTGTTGTTGATGTTATTATTGTTGTTAATATTAATGATGATGATGTTGAATGAAATGGAAACTAACACCACAAATATGTCGATACAACAAGAGTGAGAGAGAAACAACGAAAAGGAATTATTTAGTACATATATTGGATTGATTGATGGATGGATGATGGATGTAACAAACATAGATATATGATCGTGCCGGCTTGATTGATTGGTGATCAGCTCTGTGTTGGTGTTGTGTGGGGGGGAGATCAAAAATACATGTGGTGGTGAAGGTGTAACTTGTGATGTATGAGTGTTGTGTGTGTGGTTTGTTTGGGAGACGGAGTGTGTGATTGATTGATGGATTGATTGTTGACGGATGGATGGATGGATGATGGATATTGGCCGGTGTATCGTATACGATGAGTAGTTGTGGATGATGTTATTTGTTATTGTTGTTGGCAAAAATAGAATGTGTGTATGTATGCGGAAGACATTAGTTGGGTTGGCGCGCCAAAGCATCTACACATAAACTAAACTTATAATATAAATATGGTACAAATGTTATCTTGTTATGTGTGGTGTAATATGTTGTTGTTGTTGTTGTGCCAAAGCGTGTTTGGTGTGAGAGAGCGCCAATGATGGAGTGTGATTGATGGCAATGACAATGAACACATGGTGTGGTGAGTACAGTCACTCAATTAGTCAATCAAATGATTGATTGTTTGTTTGTTTTAAACACACAACATGCAGATTTGTTGTTGTTGTCTGTTCCGTGTGCTGGAATGGACTTGATGCTAGTCCATTCACGGTCATGACCTGGCGAGTTGTTGTCTTTGTGTTGCTGACGATAGACGGACTTAACACGCGTGTGCGCACACAATATTGATTGATTGATCGATTGAATTGATTGATTGATTAATGAGGTCGTTGTTGATTGGGATGAATATTTACAGTTGTACTACAACTACTACTATTACTACAAAGATAGATATATTGAGTGATGTTATGTATGTGGAGAGTAGATATCCTACAAAGTGGTGGTGATTGTTTTCTTGTTGTTGCTGTTGAGAAGGAGCGACGCAGTGTGATTTGATGCGTAGCCTATGTCTATTTTTGTTGTTGTTGGTGTTGTTTGTGTGTGTGGCAGGGGCAAGTGTTGCAGTTGGGTCTTCACCTGAGAGAGAAAAAGAGCGACAAAACTATGCATGGCATTCACAAAAAAAAATTCAAATCACAAAAGCCGTATGGATAAAAAAAATAAATAAAAAAAATCAAGGGCGTTCCGCTCAGACATGACTCTTGCCCCAGCCATCAAAAGAGAGGTTGGGTTGATCATTGTGATCTAGTGATGAGGTCGCCCGTCGCTGTCAGTGTTGGGCTGGACTGAGTGATCAGATGCAGTAAAAGTGAGCGTGGTACCATTGTGTGTGGCGGCATTGTGAAGGGTCATCCAAGGATTGAAGGGATGTCAAAGTCACATTGACATGGACAATGGATAGAAAGAGTGTGTTGAGAAGTAGGTATGGAATGTCATAACTTACATTATTATTATTATTAATATATATTCAATGAAAATGACTAAAGACCTGTTTAATCAGTGTGTGTTTGTTGTTGGTGATGTTGTTGTCGGTTTGATTGAATTATGTACACTTTTGTAGTTATCTATCTATGAAAGTATGTTGTTAAGTTACATATATATCTATTGATCAAATCAAGAATAATGAATGGAAGGAGAGACTTGTCTCATCTCAAATAGTTTTGTCCTGTTAAACTCGTAGGAGGAGGAGAACTAAGGATAGAGTAGACCAATGATCGTTTTCAAATAATCTTAAGTGATTCAACTAAACAAGGCTATAAATCGCAAGCGTTGAGTTATTAGATGGGGCAACACAGGACCGCATTTCCATGACCCAACACCGACCCATCGTTTCAAACACACACAAGCTCAAGTTAACTTTTTATGAACAACTCTAGACCAAACAAAGAAACATCTTCGATCTAGTTTGGATCTTGATTTTATATCTTTGTTTTTTTTTTTTTTTTTATTGTTTGGTATACTTAAACAAATAGACATCTTATAGTTGATCATGATAATATGGGTCGTGATTGATATATCAGATACTAGTTGTAGTGCCCCCACACACTCCATGTCTTTCCATCGATTCAATGAGAGTCCGTGTGGTGGACGATGACGATGCTGAACAATTGGTTGGATTTTTTTGAAATGGAACAATGTTGGTTCTTTGCCAATCTAATCTTCAATACGACCATTACATACATTCATTTACTCATATATACTTACACATATATACTTATACATATATACAAAGAGATAGATAGATAAAATGATGAACACTGGAAGCATCTTTAGAAGACTCCAATCATTAAAGTCACATATTGGAGCATCACAAGAGGAGGAGAGAGTGGATCATGCACATCAAGAGGCATTAAAGAAGGATAAGGAGAATAATGACGATGATGAAAAGATGTACGATGTTATTGTGGTTGGAGGAGGTATCACTGGTGCATCCAGTGCCTACATGTTGGCAAAGAGTGGTCTGAACGTTCTGTTGCTCGAACAGTTTGAGATGTGTCATACCAATGCATCGTCGCATGGCGATGGCCGTATCATTCGATTCTCCTACCCCGAGGACATATACATCAAGCTCTCCAAACTAGCCTATCCCCTCTGGACCGAAGCCGAGAATGAGTCCAAAGAGAAGTTGATTCACATCACAGGTGGCATCGACTTTGGTGGCTACGACGAGGAGGCACTACGCCACTTACTCATTGCATATGATAATGTATGTTGTTGATGTGATGGATGGAGAGTATGAGAGATGCTAATAATGTACACATACACGACAAACAGAACAAGATAAACTACAGCATACTTAGTCATAAGGAAGCGAATAAGAGGTTCCCTCAGTTCAAGTTTAAGAAGGAGACATTGATTGTTTATCAAGCTGATAGTGGTGTGATATTCGCTTCAAAGGCTGTAGCTACAATGTGGAAGTTGGCCAAGAGATATGGTGCAACGACAATGGCAAACAAACGTGTGGATACTATAACCGTGGATTCAGAGTCACAGGTCACTGTGAAGACATTCGACCACGCAACTTACAAAGCCAAGAAGATTGTGTTGGCCTGTGGCGGCTGGATCAACGATGTGCTGCTGCGCTCGCAGCTGGACGTCGTGGTGCCTGTGCACGTCACCCAGGAGAAGGTGTTCTACTTTGGCCACCTCCCCGACACACCATCCAACATTGACTTTACGATGAAGTCATGTCCCGTATCGATTTGCTATGAGAAGGATGCTATATTCTACACACTGCCGCAGATTGAGGAACGCGGCGTCAAGGTGGGCATGCACAGAAGTGGTCCCGTGCTCGACTCGATGGACCACGCCAAGAAGACCTACCCCGAGGAGAACATCGAACGCACCAAGAAGTTCGTTGCCGATTACTTCCCTCTAATGGATCACAAGAAGGAGCTAAGCTCACTCACCTGTCACTACACCAGTGCCCTGGACTTTAACTTTATCATCGACAGACATCCCGCACATCGCAACGTCCTCATTGTCAGTCCATGCAGTGGACACGGCTTCAAGTTTGGTCCAGCCATTGGCAAGCTGGTGCTCGACCTCGTCATGGACATCGTCCCACCTATCCCCATGAAGGAGTTCAGTCTTGGAAGATTCAAGTCACAACTATACAAGAGGATTGGCGCATGATTGAAGACATGTCGTCCTGTGCCACTCTATCCCCAATCACCAACTTATAAACAGACAAACAGTAAGGACACTGCCGGGCTTGTCGCATTAGGCGGTCGTCCATCAGTATATGTCATTGTACAAAAGTGAGCCAGCTAGCTTGCAGGTCGCTAGCGAGCCTTCTTTATTGCTCATATTGTTGTTTGGATTGGTTATTGTTGTTGTCTTGTTACTTCACTTTGTTGATTGATTGGTTAATTAGTTGAATGAATGATTGAAATGAGTGAGTTGGTTAACTTGACATAACAACAGAGAAGAGTTGAACGTATGTAATAACTATGCGTTGTTGTTGTTGTTGTTGTTTGGGTCGACACCAGCGGCTCTGACATTATAGTACTTCTGGTAGAGCTGGAAACAGTCGTCGGATGATATCTTCTTCCAGCCATCCTTCTGTACATGGTACACATTGATGAAACCACCACTCATCGCATCACGGTTGGTGGCATGGTACACTGAGCGACGACCCAGCTCGTAGGCCTCCTCATTGCTCATCTCCCACTTGAAGCCAGAGTCCAGGACACCATATGCATAGGTGGATCCTGATCCAACTGAGAATCTCTGTCCTTTTAATCTAGTTCCATCGTTATCTACATAATACAAGCATGGTCCAGTCTTGTCCCATCCAGTTACCATTGTACCCTAATTGATTGATTGATTGAGGTTAGTTGTAAGTCGTCCATCATTCATCTCATATTTTTTGAGATGATCATACCATTGACAGTCCGTAACCCTTGTAGGAATAGACGATGTTGGCAAGAATCTTTGATGCGGCAGAGACAGAGATCAGCTCTTTGTTTCTCAGTTGGTAGAGTCTGCAACGACGTCCGAGCTCACGCTCCCAGAAGGAACAGTCGGCAGCACCACCAGCCATTGTTCCCAACAGGTTTGGTGTGATCTCGATGACCTTCTTCACTGTTCTTGAAGCAACGTAGGATCCCTGTGTTGACTTTGAGTCGACAGTCACAATGACACCGCCAGCATAGACAAACGCCAATGTAGTAGTACCATGTGCCATCTCGATTGGCTTTGGTGCATCTGGGTGATCCCAAACCTGCTCCAAGAAATCACCTGGCTATAATTAGTTGATTGATTGATTGTTAGCTGTTGTTGACATTGTTGATGTGATAGAGAGAGTGTCATGACTCAACAACAAACATACTCTTGAGTTGGGAGGCAACTCAAAGTGAGGTGTGGAGAGGTATTTCAAGTCACGTGTGATATCCTCCTCATATGTATGAGTAAGATCATCTGATATTCTGTCCAAATCAAACATTGCCATTGTATTATGTATGTATGTATATGTATATATATTATATGTATGTATAAAGTTATTAATTGATTGAGTGTATTATGATGATTAAGTTGTGATCATCACAATCATCTCACCATGTGTGTTTGTTTTTTTCAATTCCTTTCTGTGATGTTCATCACGTTTTGAACTTCACCATTCATTAAATTAAAATTAAATTCATTTAGTGATGTAGTAGTTGTTGTTATAATAATTGTTATTCTATCTGTGATGATGTTGATGATGTAGATGATATTGATGTCTATTGTCGAGGAGTCATTACTGGTCCTCTCCAAATATACATCAACCTGGATCGATGAGTCCAAGACTCTCAAAGATATTGGCAATGTCATAGAGACGTTTGGATTTCGCAGGCTCACAGTCTAATCTATTCTCTCTTCTTACATCAACAATGCTTAGCACGGACCATTGTGCAAACATTCCGATAAACTTTCGAGTCAACCATGTTATGGCAGTCAAACCAGAGTCCTCGAGACTACCGTTGCTACTAGGCTGAAAGTTGAATCTGAAGATATCACAAAGTTGGCTCAGTGACATTCCCCTTTTCCTTTGGACATCCTCCAAAGTGTAGAGGCAGGTCTATTTCCGGGAAATTGATGCAGTAGTTGGTGTTGTTGATAATATTGATAATATTGAATTGGAGTGATATGATGATATTGTTGATAATATTGAGGAGGAGGTACATTGATTAATGCTGGATACTCATTGAATTGAGTGGTACCATTACTAAAGTTATAAGAAATAGGAGTTGTAGTAGTAGTGGTAGTAGTTGTAACAGGTGTATAATTATAATTATAATTATTATTCTCCGTGTGAGATAATATAATATTGGAATTATTGATATTGTTGTTGTTGTTGTTTATGTCATAGTTGTTATGGTGAAGTGGGAGATTAGTCGTGGTGGGGATTGGTGAAGTTGTTTGGGGGAGTGGAAAGGCAAGTTCATAATCAAACTCTGTCAGACTGCTAAAGTCTGCAACATCAACAATATCATCTATTGATATAGTATGAGTTGATACTTGATCTTCCATCATCTCATTAGATGACCATTGGAATGTTTCAAACAGAGATTCAATATTGTTGTTATTATAAGTATAATCTATAGGCAAATTATTATTGTTATTGTTATTATACATTATTAGGAGTACATTGAATAATGAAGAATGATTATGATGTTCAAGTCCTTGCCTCATTTATATAGAACCAACCAATATGACTCTGAGAAATGATCATTTCTCTTACTAAAAGGAGGTGACGAAACATCATCAGAAGACTATGACATGGCAAATGAACCGACAATACTATTCTTGATGATATGAGTCTCTCCCTAAATTCGATCGACAAGGGAGAGAGTGAATGCGTATCCTTGAATCCACTTCTAGTGGCATAAGGCCACAAACCAAACTCCTGTTTGATCAAATATCTATATCAACTTGGGGGCTGTTATTGAAGTGACAGTCTCTTTGATTACTGATTGTTTTCATATTTTCCCTATCTCATTCAATGAGATCTTCAAGTTGAGGCAAAACAATATCGAAATGAGGGAACATTGTTAGTTTGGGTTGAATCCATCATTCATCCTGGTGCAAACTTAATAAATTTCATTTGGTAGTTGATGAATACATCCACCTTTCTTTGTAATAAATGAAAGAGGTATAATGTTTGTAGTGGATACTCTTATATTGATAGATGTCTATTTGATTTGTTTTTGAGTCTAGAGAACATACTCCACTTGTGTTTTGATTGTTTAAGGAAGTTCGTTTTGGAAGTCCATGAGTTTTTGAAATTAATATTTTTATTTATTTTGTTTTTTTTTTAGAGTATGGTGGTGAAGCGAGCACAGGTCTCTCCTCTCACTCCCACCCATCGTCCATAAGGTTCACTCGCCTGAATCATTACCATTCAGATATTCCTAGTACATCACCGATACCGATAACTAAGAAAGAAGATGTAAGTGTATCCTACATCACATCAACTCAATCCAGCATCCAATCAATCAATCAATCAATCAATCAATCAATCAATCAATCAATCAATCCAAACAACCTCATCAATCAATCAATCAACAATCCAATGTATCAACATAACTAACATTCCATCCACACAACTCCATCAACTTTAATAGCAATGGCTGACACTACTACCGCCCCAGCCGATCAACAGCAGAGCACTGAGAGACGTGGAGAGAGAGGAGACAGAGGAGGACGTGACTTCCGCGGTGGACGTGGAGGACGTGGTCGTGGTGGAGACAGAGGAGGCCGTGGTGGTCCCCGTGGTGGCCGTGGTGGTCGTGGAGGCGAGTCCAAGGGATGGGTCCCCGTCACCAAGTTAGGCCGTCTTGTTCAGCAGAACAAGATCAAGTCGATCGAGGAGATCTACTTGTTCTCTCTGCCAATCAAGGAGTCCCAGATCATCGATCAGTTCCTCCCAGGTCTCAAGGATGAGGTCATGAAGATCATGCCAGTCCAGAAGCAGACCCGTGCCGGTCAGCGTACCCGTTTCAAGGCCTACGTTGTCGTCGGAGACTCCAACGGTCACGTTGGTCTCGGTGTCAAGTGCGCTAAGGAGGTTGCCACCGCCATCGCTGGTGCCATCGTTACCGCCAAGCTCTCTGTCATCCCAGTCCGTCGTGGATACTGGGGTAACAAGATCGGTGCTCCCCACACCGTCCCAACCAAGGTCACCGGAAAGTGTGGTTCCGTCGCACTCCGTATGGTGCCAGCCCCACGTGGAACTGGTATCGTCGCTGCCCGTGTCCCAAAGAAGCTTCTCCAGTTCGCTGGTGTTGAGGATGTCTACACCTCCTCCACTGGTAAGACCAGAACCATGGGTAACTTCGTCTTGGCCACCTTTGCCGCCATCACCAAGACCTACGCCTACCTCACCCCAGACTTGTGGAAGGTTACCCCACTCGAGAAGACTCCATACCAGAGATTCTCTGAGGAGCTCGCTGAGAAGAAGAAGGACGAGTAAACCAATGCTCCCATCCTTGTCCCCATCATCATCATCCCCTCCGTCCAGTGTCCTGTCGCATCTCATTAACTTTTTGAAGTACCCCAGACGCCATACTTACTAAACCAGAGCGAGACCAATACCTCTGGATAACAAAATAATAAAAGCCAAACAAAAAAAAGTTATATAACTATCGTGTGTCTATCATTGATCTTATTATTACATGTAATAATAGAATGTATTTGTTTGATTGATTGTATCCAATCACTCATTCAACTTTGGAAAATGAGGGCAAGGGTTTGAATTGACTTGGTGAAAACGAACGAAAGTCGAGTTCCATTCGACTTTGAGTTGACGATTGAATTAATACTCATCAATCAATCAATCAATCATACATACATACATACATATACATATAATTATATAATGAATAAAGAATATTATAGAGCTACAAGGAGAGGAAAGATTATAAAGGTTGTTAGGGAGGTATACTTGAGAGATGATATCGCATGTGGACATTCAATGTGTACAGCTTGTGAAGAGTTGAACAAGACACTTTATAAGACAATTGACGAACAGGAGAGAGCTGCCGCAGCAAATGCGGAGTTGACTGCACAGAATGTATTGGTGTTGGATACCAATGTAGTACTGCATCAGATCGACTTGTTGGAGGACCCTGCCATCACCAACGTCGTCGTGTTGACCACCGTGTTGGACGAGGTCAAGAATCAGAACTTTGCCATTCACAACCGACTGCGAGAGATCATCAAGAACCACGCTCGTCACTTCTACGTCTACTCCAACGAGCATTCACGTCACACCGCCATTGAAAGAGAGTCTGGCGAGACTCCAAATGATCGAAATGACAGAGGTATGTCACGCATGGTCATCACTCATTCATTCAATCAAATCACTAACATGATGATCGATCAATCAATCAAACTTATTAGCGATAAGAGTTGCAACTGAATGGTATAGAGCACATTTGTCAAAGTACAAGGTCAAGGTTAATCTGGTGACTAATGACAAGGACAATCTGAAGAAGGCAAAGGCATTGGGATTGGATGGAATGACTATACAGGACCTGGTTATGCAGATGAGTGAGGAGCATCCATCACTCGTTGATAAGTTGTCGGCACCAGACGATGATGAACACACAGACTCAACAGACTCGAAGCGTTTCCAATTCCCCGAGCACAAGAGTGTCACGGTGATCACTGATCTTCTCAAGAAGGGCGAGCTGCATCAGGGTATATTGCGCACCGATCAATCAAACTACCTCGAGGCGAGAATTAGGAGCGATCAGTTGGACAAGGAGATTCTGATCAAGGGCTTGGAGGCGATCAACAGAGCGGTCGATGGCGATGTCGTGGCTGTGGAGCTCCTGCCGCGCGATCAATGGACCGCACCATCAGGTGTCGTGCTGATGGACACAGAGGCGCTAGAGGAGGATGACGATTCAATCGCCAAGGACGCCAGGATGGTCGAAACACATCAGCCAACAGGCCGCGTCGTTGGCATCATCAAGAGAAACTGGAAGCCATATTGTGGCGCTGTAGAGTTCAAGGGCGACGCCAAGGCGACCACGGGCGCAGTGCAACTACTCTTTGTTCCAATCGATCGTAGGATACCAAGGATCAGGATCAGAAGCAGACAGGTCGGCAGCATCGTGGGTAAGAGGATTGTCGTCGCTATTGACTCGTGGGAGCGCCACTCCAAGTACCCCACGGGCCATTTCGTCAAGGACCTCGGCCCTTTGGGCGACAAGGAGACCGAAAGCCAGGTATTGCTGTTGCAGTTTGATATCCCACATCATCCATTTGGTGCGTCCGTCATGAAGTGTCTGCCGCCCGCCAACTGCATGGACAACATCACACCAGTCGACATGATCGGTCGTCGTGACCTGCGCTCGGAATGCGTGTTCAGTGTCGACCCTCCCGGCTGCACAGATATCGATGATGCTCTGCATTGCAAGAAGTTGCCTGACGGTAACTACGAAGTCGGAGTGCACATTGCTGATGTGTCACACTTTGTCCGCGAGGGCACATCCATTGACGAGGAGGCAGCGCACCGTGGCACGACCGTCTACCTTGTGGACCGCCGTATAGACATGCTTCCCGGTGAGCTGTCTGGAAACCTCTGCTCACTGATGTCCAACGTGGACCGCTACTCATTCTCATGCATTTGGAAATTGGACGAGGCTGGCAATGTCCTGGACGTGGAGTACACCAAGAGTTTGATCCGCTCAGTGGCCTCACTGACGTACGAGCAGGCTCAGATCAAGATTGATGACGCCACCCAGCAGGACCAGGTGTCCACCAATCTGCGCATGCTTCTCCGTCTGTCCAAGGTGCTCAAGACTCGCCGTTTCGAAGCTGGTGCTCTTTACCTCGCTTCACCACAGGTCAAGTTCAAGACTGAAGAGCTGGGCGGAGACCCCTCCGATGTTGAGCTCTACCAGATGCGCGAGACCAACTCAATGATTGAAGAGTTCATGTTGCTGGCCAACATCTGGGTGGCCAAGAAGATTCACAAACATTTCCCCGGCTGCGCACTGCTGCGTCGCCATCCCACGCCCAAGGCCTCCAGCTTTGAGCTGCTCAGCAAGCTGATCGAGCAAAAGGGCTTCACATTCAATGCTGAGACATCCAAGCTGCTGTCTGCCTCGTTGGACGCATGCGTCATTGAGGAGGACCCATACTTCAACACATTGTGCCGTATCATGACCACACGTTGCATGTCACCCGCCGTCTACTTTAGCTCTGGATCACTGCCATACGAGGACTTTAGACATTATGGTCTGGCCTCTGACATCTACACACACTTCACATCGCCAATCCGTCGTTATCCAGACGTGATTGTCCATCGTCTGTTGGCTTCGGCCATCGGAGTCCAATCAGTGTCACTCAACATGGAGAACAAGACCGTTAGCAATCTGTGCGAAGGCTTCAACTTTAGACACAGGATGGCGCAGTATGCTGGCCGTGGCTCGACCAACCTGCACACATTGATCTTCTTCAAGGGCAGAAAAACTGTGGAGAAGGCGTACATCATTCGTGTCAAGGCCAATGCATTCGTGGTATTGGTGCCACGTTATGGATTCGAAGGCACAGTCTACGTTGCTGAGCCCAATGCACCATCATCGTTCACCTATGACTGTGTCAATCAAACATTATCCAACGACACACTCACATTCCGTGTGTTTGATCCAGTCACCGTTGAGATATTCGTAGATGACAGCAAAGCACACGATCAGAAGCTCAAGATCATATGTATAAATCCATCGATACCATCAGTTACATCATCATCATCCAAGTCAGCCAACATCACAACATTTGAGGAAAGTATTCAAGATGTCAAGTCAATCACTGCGAACAACAATATTAAGAAGAAGTCAAGAGATGAACCGAATGATCGTAATAATACAAAGAAGCAAAGGACCTAAGGTGTATATATCCTTAGTCCATCAATAAACACATTGGAATAAGTCCAAAGTGATCAATCCAGAGTCCCTGGAACTCCACACACCCAGAGACTCTCACACACAGATATTTCCAAAATAGGACGTTTTTGAGAAGTCAAGACACTCTTCAGCATGCGAGTATTAGTTAGTTTGTCAATCTCACTGTTACTACATATATATTGTAATAACATATAATATTACACTTAACATAACATAATATATATATAAATACAAATAATACATACATATAGATATAGAGAATGGATTCAATTAGAAAGAGTTTGTTGGGAGATGACTTGAACCAGAATCAAGAGGATCAAGGTGTTTGGGATCAGATCAACAATCAATGTTCATTGTCTTATACGAATAGACTCATTGGCTTTGGTATATCAGCTGGTTGTGGTCTACTCTTTTCCTTCTTGGTATGCAATCTAGTTGAAGCAATCAATCAATCAATCAAACATCACGCTGACTCGACCCATCACATGATATAATAGGCATTCATGTTCTTGCTGTCACCTTCAACATTTGCATTCCTCTATACCATTGGAAATATATGCATGCTTGCATCGTAGGTTATCGACAACAGGTTATCAACAACAACACAACAACAGGCAGGATACACGACTAACAATGAATCAATATATAGTACATTCTTCATTGTTGGACCAGCCAAGCAACTCAAGAATATGGCACAACCAACACGTCTGATTTGTGCGTTGGTCTTTGTCCTTTCAATGATACTTACATTGGTGGCCGTGTTCCAAGGTTGGAGTTTCATCCTCATCATCTTCCTCATCATCTTCCAGATCTGTGCACTGTTATACTATGTGTTCTCATACATTCCCTATGGAAGAGAATGCCTGCAAGGCATCTGTGGATCAGTTGTCTCTGTTTAAATAATCAAAGTGTGTATAGCCATCAACAACAACAACAACAACGACAAAGACAATGACAATCGACAACAACCAGCGAACGACTGGCGAATATAGATAGGTAGGAATAAATCCAGATGTGCATTTATTCATGACGTCATGAATCCTTCTTCTCTTGTTTCTCCGCCTCCCTCTCAGCCTTCTTCAACTCTTCCAACTCCTTTTCCAGAGCGGCCATCTCTTGGGTCATCTCATTGTTGGTGACGACCAACTTTTGAGCCTTGACCATTGACTCAGCCATGTAATCGTTGTACTCTGTCTCCTCGCGCTGTCTGGTCTTGAACTCATACTCCTCGCCACTGAGTATGTACTCCAGTGCCTCTTTGTTCTTGAGGATGCCGTCGCGTTCAAAGAAGAACAGATTGTCCGACTCGAGCAGCATGTAGGGTGCGGCTTCAGGGTTGAACTGTGACGCCTTGATATGGTCGATTGGCACCTTGAGCACACGTGCCGATGGTGCGTATTGTACAAGGTATACGTGGTTGTCGCCCTTCTTGCGGTACATCCTAATGATGAAGTTACCGACCAACATCTTGCCAATGTAATAGAATGATGTTCCCCATGCTACCAACATTATTCCCAAGACTGTGTACTTCATCTAGATTGATTGATTGATTGTGTGGGTCGGTGTGTGGGGTGAGTGGGATAGTTCCAGCCCAGCCTAGCCCATACCCCAATCGATCAATCGATCAATCTCAATAAGGAGGAGGGTGATGGTGACTTACTTCGAGTTGTTTGATTGCAAAGCCAACTGGGACGATTGTGGCAAGTGCTAACTGGGACACGAGGAAGGCCTTGATGACCTTGAAGAATGGTTCACGCTTGGAGTAGTAGACAATTTCATAACCAGCCTCTTTGAAGTCCTTATGTGCAGATGACATGTCTACTGTATAGCCGGCAATGATCGCATTCCTGTCAGGCTTTGGAATGTTGTTGGTGGTATTATTTGGTTGTTGTTGTTGTTGTTGTTGTTGTTGTTGTTGTTGTTGTTGTTTGGTAGTATCCTCATTTGTGCTTGATGTTGATGATGTCGATGATGTAGTTGTATTGAATCTTATTTGTTGACGATGTCCAACTGATTGAACATTCAATCTTGATCCAAATGATGTTGATGGTCTAGCATTCACCAAGAACACCACTGATGATGTTGTCAATCCTCTTCTGTTCATCAAGATTGCACCTCTCAATGCTGGTGAGATCATTGATCTTGATAATGATATCAAACTATTGCTCTGCATCGTTGTTGATATATGATGTGTATATATATATATGTATGTTTAATGTTGTTACAATCTGATCAGATCAAATGACACGAATCAATCAGTCGGCAACACGACAAAAACTAGCAGAGTCTGGGTCTCAGTCGACATGTTTTCAATGCGATTCAAGACAATGATAATGGTTGATGAAGATGTTATCGATGTTTGTATGTATGAGTAGAGCGCCAATCGTTTCGTTTCGTTTCGTCGTTTATTAAGCTACAATCAACTCATCTACAGACCAGTCTTCATAACCTCCATTGGGCAAAAACCTGATTGATTGATTGATCATCACGAGTCAGTATCTATGCTTACAATGCAATCAATCATGTACATACCTTCTAATGATGAGTGGAATCTTCTTTGCTCTCAACTCTTTCCATGCGATCTGTAGGGGATCGGTCTCACCCTCGAGCTCGACCATGATAGGTGCATTCATACTGATTTGTAGTGCGCGTGAGCCTAGCAATCTTGCTCTCTCATACTTTGTCATGTATCGTGTCGTCTTTCTAAGATGCGAGGGGACCTTGCCCAACTCGCCTCCATCCTGCTGTGCATTAGGATCGACTATATCTGTGTATTGTGTAGTATCAGCTGCCTCCTCGACATACTCCTCGTATTCCTCATCCTCGAATCCCTCATCATCGCCTCCATCATATCTATTCAATTGAATGAATGAATGAATGTCATTGTCAGTCATTGTCACAATATCATTATCATTTATGATGTACATACCCTCCCTCTGGTTCGTAATCGCCCATTATGTATTATTAAATATATATTAGTTGTTTATGAACAGATACACTCGATAAAGTAATCAAATGAATGAAGCGAATACTCGACAAAACAGTTGTCTTTATCACTTTTTTTTCATGACTGCTGGCAAACATACACATAAATTGTTGTGCCACCAACTACCACTTGACTACCATTGGCAACACAATTGAACACGTGGAAAGATATACCTTATGTCTTAATCTTTAAGTTAGTTGACATACATTCAGTTGACATCATAGTTTATCTTTACTGAATGTTTCAACATGGATTTAACCAAAACTCACTCTGACTCAATATTAGTCATTCGTAGAGAAATGATTGATGTAAACAATGTTGTTCATGTTGATAACAATGAACTATTACAATACAAATACAACATACATCTCTTTGTAGGATAAGAATAGGTCGGGGTGGAGTATGATTGACTGATAAGTTGGCGATGTGACCCCATGATCAAAGGTCGCAATCGAGTCTTTAGACCCACCAATGTGCCCAATGTTTTCCCAAACACTACAATTAAGCTCTTGCAGATCAAGGATGAGGAGGCGACACAAACACAAACACCTACAACACTGCCGTGTAACAATGTTGTTAAACGATCATTAGTTAGTAATAACACATTATATAATACATCTACATCATCATTAATATATGTCTTAGTTTGATTGCGTATTTGTAGTTAGTAGTTAGTTAGTAGAAGTAGTAGTTTGTTTACATGACTTCAGCATCAAGAGGAGGACAAGACAACGACGATGACACTTGTAGCTACACCATCATTGAGGATAGAGAGGCAATACCATTGCTATCACTCTCAGAACCAGAGGCTGACATTCTGATCACTCGTCTCAGTCAAAACTATACTCCACAATCATCAATAACAACTCAACAATTACAAACAAGTCTAAGTAGCAATGGTAGTAATAGTCTAAGTCTTGGAAGTAGTGGTAGTAACAACAACAACAACAATAGAAAGGATGGACCTCAATATTACAATGCCAATCTAGTATCAAGTTATACAAGTGATGACTCTACGTTGGCAACGAGTTCAAATCATACAACTTTATATACTCCACCGCCAAGATTGATACCATCACTTCCATTCACATTCCATCGTGCACTCACTGTAGTAATACTAGTAGTGATCTACGTGGCCTTGATAACTACATACTTTGTAGTATATCCTCTGATTGATCAATCAAACTTTGCACTCAATCTATTCCTGATCATTCGACCGGTGCCCGCCCTGGCACTGATCGGAATCATTCCACTCTATGGCATCAACGACACAAAGACCTGGCGCTACTCAATGTTCATTGCACTTGGACTGATGACCAGCATCGTGGCCGACATCTTCTTCTCGGTGGACGTGCATCTGCTGTCCAGCACATCATCATTACACGCGGCACTGGTAGTCTACTACATGATGCTGACGTTCACCCTGGTGTCCAGAGTGTTGTATACAGTGGCCTTTGTTCTGGGCATTGGAAAGAACATAAGGAAGCGTCTACCATACGCCGTACCAATCTACTGTTTCTGCGCCACGATGGTGCTGATGATCGTCTTTTCCAAACAGATCGCACCGGTACTCATCAGATGGCATAATCCAATACCAAACACAGACAACGACTCTATATCATCATCATTCGATCAATCGGCAATCGATCCAACATCATTGGCATTGGTCATAATCTATGGAATAGTGGAGGCCACACTTTTGTGGCGTGCCGTTGCGCTCACCAGCAGTTTCCCAGGCTCCAACCCAACCAAGATACTACTATGGCTCAGTGTACTTGGTTCAACAGTCTTTTGTATCGCCGACACACTCACCGTCGTATCACTGTACTACTATCCCTTGGATGGAATATTCTATCTGAGCACCGGTGGATATTGGCTTGGACATATTCTGATCGTCTTTTCAATCCCACGACGAATGGAAGTGCGTGACTACCTCGCCAAGTACTTCAAGGTGCTCAAAGAGAAGACTGGAAAGTTAGGTCTACCATCATTCGAAGCATTGGGAAGCAACAGTCGTGACAACAGAGGTGTAGAATAGTAGAATAAGGTAGCTGATTGAATGGACAAGGAGTGCCGACATTCCCCATCGATCAATCAATCAATCATTCAATCATGTCAACAATAAAATCCCCATATGATGATAGTGTTTGATTGCTCGCGCTATTAAGGTGTATTTACATTGGAGATAATAAACATGATCTTGACCAACTTGTCAAAGAGTGGAGGCATCTTTGCCATTAGCTCATCGAAGCCAGCCTTGTCCTCGACAACCTTGGTCGTGCTACATCTCTTGAGTGTACGCATCAGGTCAACACCCTCGGCTTGCAACAGTGACACGGATGAGATGGGATCGTTGTTGAGTCTAACCGAGTACTCTGTCTCCTTGCTAACACCAATCGGTAGGTATGGACTGCGCAGTTGGTCCTTCTGTTCCTTCATGAACTGTACTCTCAGCTTGTAGTCCTCTACAATGGCCGTGAGGAATGATAGTCTATTCAATGTCTTTGTCTCAAATACATAGGCAATGAGGTTGTGATGGTATATTGATTTGCCAATGAATGTAGTTGCGCCTAATCACACATGTAGTCAGAGAGGTTGGTTAGAATGTTGGCAAGATTATCCGGGGGTACGCTACATACCAAGCTCTAGGGCTTCGATTTGGAAGTACCATCCAGATGGTATGAACAATGTTTGACCTTGCTTGTCGATCGTGGTCACCATTCCTTGGTTTTGTTCAACAAACTCGTAGTTGATTGGCGCCAACTCGTCTAGTTGGCGGTGAACATGTTGATTGCTCAGTGATTTGTTTGATATTCCAGCGCTGGGTGGCAATAACAACACTCGATAGCTTCCATGAAGCAGTGTGATTGTTGTATCATACAGTCTACATCTCAATGATATTGCCAATCCAGGCTTCCAAACTACCAACATTGATTTGGTTTTGTTTGAACATCCAGTCTGGAAATAGACAGAATGTTAGTAATCTTGATGATGATGGGACTCCTGAGGTCATAAACATACAGTTTCAAAGTAATTGAGCTGGCCTGTGTTTGGTCCTTCCATTTGCCACACGGGAACCTGCCAGTTGGTTGGGCGTTGATAGCGTATCTTGTGACAACATAGTTCAGGTGATGCCGCCTTGATAAAGGAGGAGAGTGGTCCGGATTGACTCTTGCCATTGCCAAAGTATGTGTACCATGTGACCTTGTTCTTTGGACACTGGGCAATGAACTCCTTCTTTTGAGGCATTGACCATGAGCGTGGCATGCCATTGACAATGACTGGCAGTGAGCCAACGGCATATCGTTTGAAGAATCTGAGTGATGTCATTCCATCTGATTGGATTCGGTCTACATTGTTTAGAATGACTGGTTGTGGCGGGGTGGTAGTAGTCTCTGGTGAGATCTCACAACCACTACCAATGATACTTTGAGATGCTGTTGAAAGTTCCTCTTCCTTGTCTTTGCCAACTTGTTTATCTTTATCATTGACGTTCTCTTTGTTACCAATGTCGTCTTTGCCAATGTCATCAATGTCGTCTTTTTCGTGTTTGTCATTCTTTGATGCCTTGGATGATGTTGATGGAGTGCCAGAGGATGGATGAAGGTCTTGATCAACTGGTGAGCCAACTGATAAGGAGTCTTGTGTGGGTACTGGAGAATCAGGAGAGAAGACGGGAAAGTCGGGGGATAAGGGTTCATCATAATTGATTGGCAATGCTTTTGACTTGCTGATCACTGTTGGTCCTCCAGTGTCATTCGGTTTGGCGGACTTGTAATTGTTATTGTTCTTGTTGTTTCCACTTATGACAATGGTGACCTTTTTTTGAACCTTCTTGTTACTGCTGTTGTTGTTGTTGTTGTTGTTGTTGTTGCTGCTTGATCTGGTAATAACACTTGGCTTTGTTATGATATCCTCCTTGGTGCTCTTTGATGGCTTAGTTGTCCTTAGTAATTTGCTTGGTGATGTCTCAACAAAGCCAGTAGTCTTTCGCTTGTTTGTACCAGATGACGGGGAAGAAGTGTTTGTCGTTGTTGTAGTAGATGTCGTTGGTAAACTGGAGCGCTTTGTTGTCGTTGTCGTTGTAGTCGTAGTCGGTATTGTCTTCTCTAACAGTTTCGTTTTACTCCTTGTATTATTACTTATATTATTGATGTTATTGGTACCAGTACTACTCCTTCTATTTATTCTTGTACTACCATTAATACCAAGACTAATACTGCCACTACTTCTACTATCACTACTAATACTACTACTAATACTACTATTACTACTACTACTACTACTACTATTACGTCTTTGACGAGTTACCTTTATCAACTGGTCATCAGATAGTTGTTCATCTTCATAAGCTTCATCCTCATCATCAGACATATTAACTAACAGGTCAATAATAAATAAAAGTAGTAAGTAAGTTATATGTATGATAATCGTCTGGGAAATTACAACAATAAATCGATTGCTTGAAAGACGGCGAAACATTACAAGATTGCACGAGCAAAAGACAACTTCCGTGAAGAGGTGTCATGTCAACTTGTTTATCAACACTTGCACACATACATTGTTTCAGAACCCTTAAACCTACCTACATATAATGAATAGCGCTGTCACTTGTTCATTACTGAAACGATCAGTATTGAATATATACTCAAGGTTACAACCTGTCACTTATCAAACATCATCATACTCGACTACTGGTGGTGGACATCATGCACATGGTAGATCACCTCAGTTACCGCCCAAGTTAACAATCGATGGAGTCAAACATATAGTGGCAGTGTCTTCTGCTAAAGGTGGAGTGGGCAAGTCTACAATGGCAGTCAATCTTGCATTGGCATTGTCATCATTGGACAAGATGAACTTGTCCGTCGGCATACTGGATGCTGATGTGTTTGGACCTTCACTGCCCATAATGATGAACCTCAACAATATGAAGCCATCAGTCGACGAGCAGACCACTCGTATGATCCCTCTACAAAACTATGGAGTCAAGTGCATGTCAATGGGCTTCCTGGTCGAGCCGGAAGACGCAATTGTCTGGCGTGGCCCAATGGTCATGTCGGGACTCGAGAGACTCCTCCGACAGACTCAATGGGGTAGTCTAGATGTGCTGATCGTTGATCTTCCTCCCGGCACAGGAGATGCAATCCTCACAATGTGTCAACGAGTGCCTCTCTCTGGTGCAGTCATTGTCTCAACGCCACAAGATGTAGCCTTGGCCGATGTTATCCGTGGTGTAAAGATGTTCAAACAAGTCGATGTACCTGTATGTTACGTTATGGTTGTGAACAAAGATACGAGATCCGTGATTGACTAACCGGACTTGACACTAATCCTTAGATACTTGGAGTCGTGGAGAATATGAGCTACTTTGAATGTACAAACTGCAATCATAAGACACATATCTTTGGCAATGGCGGAGCAAAGAAGACAGCGGAGAGTTTGGGTATAAAGGTGTTGGGGGAGGTGCCACTGAGTATTGAGATAAGAGAACTCTCTGATTCTGGCAAACCTATAACAGTTCAATCACCAGACTCTGTCCAGGCCCAGAACTACAAGTCAATAGCCAGGAATCTTTTGGAACAACTTTATCATCAATCAAAGAAGAAGACGACACCCACTATCACTTTTGACGACTGATGGGCCATTACCCATTTTAGGTTGTTGTGAGTGTCAGTTGTTTAGTTCAACTGAACTATCCCGTACATACGAATACATAATATTGTTATTTACATTCGATATATAGACTACATTACACTAGACTAGAGCGATCTATTCCTGTCGTCAGCATAGTCGTCGTCATTATCCAGTAGATCATGGATTGATGTGAAGGAGGAGGAGGAAGAGGAGGAAGATGAGGAGGAAGAGGAGGAAGGGGAAGGGGAATCGATTTGCTTTCTTTTCTTGTTGTCATTGTTGTTGTCACATCTGTGAAGTATGTCAATGGTCTCCATTTTATCGGTGGCATCTTGTTGTGTGGCAATGTCCAGTGCAAGCTTGACTGATGCCCCCTTGCTTATTAGATACTTGACAAAGTTGGTCTTTCCAGAACGTGCTGCCAAATAGAGTGGAGTATGTCCTTGTCCATCCATATCATCAATATTGCCTCTATATCCCTCCATTATCAACTGACCCATCATCACTGTTCCCCATTGTACCGCCAGATGTAATGCGTTCATTTGGTCCTGAGTCTAAATGTGTCCAAGGTTAGTAAGTGATCGATTGATCCAGTGATTGATTGGATAACATACCTTGACAGTCAATGAAGAGTGTCCTCCTTTGATCAGTAACCGAACGGTCTCTGTACGTCCATCACGAATGGCATAGTGGATTGGAGTTTGACCGGTGTGATCTTGTGCATTGGCATTGGCACCATGTTCTAAAAGACAGCTGACCGCCAGATCGTTGCCAAGTAGTGATGCGGCATGCAATGGAGTATGTCCCTCATTGTCGACGACCTCGACATCGGCACCATGTTTGATCAGTAACTTGACGATTGTGATGTGGCCCATTACCGCGGCGTGATGCAGCGGTGTATAGTTGTGCTCGTCAAAAACGGTGGCCTTGGCATCATTCTCTAGCAACATCTGACAGATTCGGTCAAAGCCTTTGATCGAGGCGATGTGCAAGGGTGTCTCGTCACTCGTGTTTAGTCGGACGTTGACCTCGGCGTCGCTCTCCAACAGCGAGCGTACAATGTGGGCGTGGCCACTCTTGCATGCGGCGTACAGGGGCGAGACACCATCGTCATTGACCAGATTGGGGTCGGCATAATGCAATAGCAGGTACTCGACAATGTGAAGACTGCCCAGAAGGGACACGGCCAGAATAGGTGTGTTTCCGCGACTGTCGCGGATGTTTGGGTTGGCGCCACTGTCCACCAGACGACGCACCTGGAACTCGTAGCCAAGCACGGCTGCGGTGAACAGCAGGGACAGTCCGCTCATGTCGCGGAAGTTAACATCGATCGAGTTTGGATCGTCTGGATCATAGCGCAGTAGACTACCATCAGAGTCGTGTGGACTCAATAGTATCCTATTCCAAATTGATGCCACCGTTGGTGTCTTGTCAACCATGCTGATGCTGATGCTGAGGCTGTTGTTGCCTGAGCGATCATTGATGTATAGGCTCGTGTTGTGACTGCTCTCCTTGAGTTGGGTCTGGCTGTGCGACGACGATGTGATCGTCTTGGATTCGGACGCGGAAAGCATCAGGGGTGAGGGGGCCATGTTGATCGCGGCATTTGGTGTCGCCGATGATGTCGCTGCGGGGGTAGTCTGAGACTGAAGATCCAAGAGTGACGTCAAGGAGTTGCCGCTACTACTGCTGTCGGGCAAGACAGGCTTGAACTCCATGTATCTGGCCTTGGCACGTCTGTTTTGGAACCATATCTGAACGGAACGTGGTGAGATGCCCAGCTCACTGGCCATCTGATTACGTAGATTAAGACTTGGATGTTGATGACTTATAAATATACTCTCGAGCAGCCTCAATTGCTCAGGTGATATCCTCTTTCTCTTCTTTTTCAAAGGGTCATCATCTCCTGTCTCTGTTAACATTTGTTGTTGTTGTTGTTGTTGCTGTTGTTGTAGTTGTAGTTGTTGTTGCTGTTGCTGCTGTTGTTGTTGTTGTAAAAGAAGTAGTTGTTGTTGGTGTTGTTGATGTGGCTGAGATTGTTGAGGATGTGGCTGTGGCTGAGGATAGGGATGTTGTTGATACTGTTGATATTGAAGTATCTTTTGTGGTTTGATTTGTCTTTGTAGATATTGTTGTGTCGCATATATATCATTGTTGTTGTTGTTATAAGTTGGTTGTTGTTGTGGATAACTATGAGCATGTGTATTTGTTGTTGAAGTAGTAGAAGTAGAAGTAGTAGAGGGAATACTGGTTGTCCTTCTATGAACACTTGTTGGTGAATGTGGATGTGGATGTGGAGTATGAGCTTGAGTTGGATGTTGAAAGTAGTATGTTGGATATGTCGATGGACCAACGTGACTATATGGAGGTGGAGGTGGTGGCGCTACTACTCCAACTCCACTCTGTTGTATATGTCTGCTAGTATGATCCCATTGTTGCTGTTGTTGTTGTTGTTGTTTATGTTGTTGATGTTGCATCATTATTTGTATTTGATGATTATGTGTATTTGATGGTGTAGACATCATTCATTCATTCATTCATTCGTTTCAATAATTCATTTATCTCTTTAATAGTATATATATATATAAACTTGAATGGTTTAATGCTGGAATAATTGAATGTAAGTATGTGGATGGATGTGGATGGAGGTGTTCCACTTTATCGCTTGACATCACACAACCCCCGAGAACGATGTAACCCACACTCAATGAACATAATGAGCCCTGATGATGGGGCTCACCCCCCAACAAACAAACATTCATTCACCACACCATTCGATACAACCGCTCATCACGTTTCAACTAATCGTTCTCATTTGGTACAATTCCATTCAAAATGGTATTTAACCATCAAAGTACTGCAGATAGATACAAGATATTTATATATAAATGTGGAGTGGTGTGTGTGCGTGTTGTGTTGTAAATCACAACAACCAAACCAACCAACCAATCACTTTGATTGATTGATTGATTAACTTGATTGATTGACTGAAGGAGGTTGGTTGAGTTATGACTCGTCGAGTTCAGTATTGTTGTTGATGTTGTTGGTGTTGTTGACATCAGATTCTACCTCGACCTCGTCCTTGACCTCGGCATCGGCACACTGTTCAGTGTTGTTGTTGCTGTTGTTGTTGTCAATAGTGGTTACACTGCTAAGTCCACTCTTGTTCTTTGGTGTGTAGTCCTTCAAATTGGTGTTGGATGGTATCCTGATCGGAGATCCATGTGATCCTGTTCTGTTGTGTTTACCATTCCTCTTCCTTGGACTATGGTTGATTATATTATTATTGTTGTTGTTACTATTATTATTATTGTTGTTGTTGTTGTTGATGTTGGCTGTGTCTAGACTGAATGGAGGTGGAGGTAGTTCACATGATTTGGATATTGGTGCACTGGATATTGGTGTGTTGTTCTGGCTTAGACTTCTGTTTCTTGGCTTCTTCTTCTTGTTGCCCTTCTTTGAGGCTGATTTTGGACTGCCTTGGAATGCTGGATAGGCAAACAAAAGGTCACCACTGTCTGACAACATCACCTGCTCCTCTGCCTTGACCTCCTCAGTAGCAGGCATTGTTGGGGAGACCACTATAGTAGTTGTCATTGTTGACGTTGATGTTGTCTCTGGCTCTGGGACAACCTGGTCTGGTTTTGTCTCTGATGCTGGAGGTGTGACCTCGACAGGCTCATCAACCAACTCTGTGTCCTGAGTTGGTGGCTCAACTGCCTCTTCCAAGGCAACTGGGGTAACTGACTCTGGTGCGGGCGACTCCACCTCGACGACTGGTGACTCGGCCACCACTTCAGGGGCAGCTTCGACTGTTGGTGATTGGACGGGAGCAGCTACTGGCTCAGTGGTCTCAGAGACCAGAGCAGCTACGGCCGCAGCGGCGGCGGCAGCCTTCTCATCCTCCAAAGCCTTTTGTCTTCTGACTTCCAGGGGATCGACAAACACCTTTGGTGGAGATGCCTTCCAAGACATGAATGCAGATCTGAACAATAATGGCTCATCACCGTCGGTGACGACAATCACCTCTTGGTCACTTGAACGACCGTCCTCTGCTGTGGCAATGTACTCTTGAGCGACGTCCATTGTAAGTTTGAACTTTGACTCGGTGGTCTTGCAGCCCTTCCATACGTAGACGGCGTTGTAGCGATCGAGTATACAGCTCTCCTCGTGGTTCAAGTCGACCTGAGCGAATGGCTTGACCTCGTCCGCCTTGAAGATGCCACTGTTCTCTGTGCACAAGAACAACTTGGTCTTCTTGGGCTTGGCGTTGGTGTCCTCTTCAGCGTAGTCAAGCTTGCCACCGATGATCTTCCAGAAGGACTCGGGCTCGCTTCCCTCCTCAATCTCGCGCATGCCCGACTCATACTCTGGGGGCAAGAATGTGTAGAGGTCTGCTGCCAGCTGTCTCTCCAACTCGCTGCTGGCCTTGCCGTGCCACACCAATATACACTTCTTTGGTATAATGATTGAGAATGAATCTGTTGAACATAGTCTTGCCGCTGATATCTCATTCAGCTCTGTTCCACGAATGTTTCCTTCCACTCCACGTACCTGGAACATCATTGGTCTTGACAATGATAACTCGTCCTGTGAATGAGTGAGGGCGAGGGTTAGGCAAGGGTTGCGACAAGGGTTGAATGGTCAATACTTACATTCAATACGATGGTCTCTCCTTCGAACAGTTGGATGAACTCTTGTGGCTCCTTGTTCTGTGTGATACGGAACTCGATGGGATCGTCAGCTTGGAGCGCTTGCATCTTCTTTTGAATGTCCTTGAATAGTCCAAACTTGTAGGAGATGTAGTTACGACTGCTTGAATAGCATCCCTCCCAATAGAAGATGATGGACTTGATCGAGTTCTTGCCCTCGGGACGATAGATGTAGTTGCAGACGTATGAGCGGTTCGAGAAGAAGATGCCAAAGTCCTCCTCCTCAACCTTCTTCCACTGGCCCTTGACACAGGACCACACCAATCTCTTGCCCTTGTTGTCGTTGGCGCCGAGCTTCAGACCGAGGACCTCCTTGTCGGCGTGCATCTCCTTCACGTCAAAGGTGAGCGCCTCCTTCTTCTTGCCCAGATTCAGATAGGACTGGCCCGGTGCGCGCTCCTTCTCCTTCCACTGCTTGAACTTGCTCTTGAACAGACAGCCCTCGGCGCCGTCAAACTCGGCCTGGATAATCGTGTTGCTGGGTCGCTCAAACATGGTGAGGAAGCGCTTGGCCAGCGTCATGGACACCTCCTTCTCCTCCATCGACGACTTGTCGCCCTGCCACACGTACATCTCAAACTCGCAGTCGAGGATGAAGCAGCTGGTCGACACAAGCATCTCCTGCGTGATCTCTGGCTCCTCGATAGGTATGCAATTAAGCTTGCCATCGACCTTGCCAACGCGATACAAAAAGTAGTCTGGTCCGCGCTCAGTTCCATCCTCATCAAGCAACAAGTCGCTACTCTCCAGTCGCACATTAAGCTTTGCTCCCTTGGCCACACCCAGGCACCAAAGGAAAGTTGGATGTTCCTCGCCAACCTCTGTGTTTGAGTATGAAGGTTAGTCGTGGGTCCAGCGACTTGGGCAGTCCGTATCATCACTTACCAAGTGCTTGTACAGCTCTCTGACAACCGATCTCGGCCTTTAGACGCTGAGCCATTTGGATGGCCTTGGCCTTCTTTTGGCTGTGACATTTGTCAGTGGCCCAGACAAACATGTAGCTGTCGCTCTGCATGATGAATGCGTCGGACTTGTTCAAAGACTTGTGTGTTAATGGTACAGGGATGAAGTAGAATGGCTCCTTGCTGCCAGTGACCTGAATCAACTTGGCTCCATGATGCAACACCACCGATGACACAACGGGTTGTGCTGCTTGCTCGGATTGAACTGATGGTGATTGTGGTGCAGCAGGTGACTGTGTTGCCGCTTGTGGAGTTACTGTTGGAGGAGTCTGTTGTTGTTCAGATTGATCAGGTGTTGTTGTTGCTGGCAATTGAGTTTGAACATCCTCACTTGGAACATCATCAACTGTCTCTGTTGACGTCTCCTCCTCCTCCTCTGCTGATTGCTGTGGCTCTTGCACCTGCTCTTCTTGACTAATATTACACTGATTGTCTTCTTTTGTTTGTTCATCAACATCCTCGATGTCGTTATTGTTGTCGTTGTTGACTGGCTCATCTTGTGAAGGTTTGGCTTCATCAGGTGAGGCAGAAGAGAGTTCATCATGATGGTCAGACTCTTTCTCCACCTTTTCCTCAACAAGGTCTTGTTGTTGTTGTTCAACAACCTCTCTGTCCTCAACTACATCATCATCAACAACAACCTTTTGTTCCAGTTGAACAGAGATATCTTCTGATTCAACAACCTCCATTGGTGTATCTATCTATCTGTCTATCTATTTACTTGTGTTGCTACAAATCTTTTTAATGATAAAAACAAGAGTGATTGTTAAATGTTGATTGATTGACAAAGAGAGATTCTAAATTAATTAATTGATTGATTGATTGGTTGTTGGTGTTGGGATCTTGGTTATTATTATAACAACTCTCTCTCTCTCTCTCTCTCGTTGTTTGGTGTTTGAGTGATAACAAAATGATTGTTGTGTGTGTGTGAGTGTTGTTGCAAAGTACATGTGTTTGAAAGATAAACAACACAATTTTATTTGAAAAACTAAAAAAATTCAAACAAAAGTGACCTTTTGAAAATAGATAGATTATTTATCTCTTGGACAATTCTTTGTATCTTCTAAATGATCATACATATCATTATCACCATAAGCAGGATCAATTACCCAACTATATCCATTATTTAAAGGATTTATTATTTGTTAGTTTCTCTCATAATAATAATAATAATAAATATAAAAACTTACTTTACATCTACAAAATAAATCAAAGATTGTATTAATTAATCGTATTATTATGAATTGCGAATAGGTATCTGACAATGGTTGGTCAGATAATTGACATTGCTGAACAACCTCTCCTTTTTTTCAAATAAGGAGGGTAATTACCAAAAGTGGAAGTTGGATAACTTATCAAAGACGAAGTTATAGGACCAATCCAACTTGTTTGTTGCTTCAGAGTGAGAGATAGAGATGTTCAACGAGGACTTTGAAATCAGATAAAATGAAGTTCGAACTTTTCAAAAACTTCGTCTTAAAACTGGATACAACTTGGTTCAGTACCTGTCTGATCACTTACAACATTATTGTGTACTTATATCTGTCTATCTGTTTATCTAAATATATATATAAAGGAGGAGGGAAGGAAGAAGTAATGTCATCCAATCTACTTGCTATAAAGACATTGAGACCTGCAGTGGTCAGTCCATCATTGGACGCTGCTAGAAGAAGATGCTTCAAGCTGTACAGAAACACAATCAGATCATTGCCCGTGCTCGTTCAATACTACAACCTCTCATACAACATTGATGACATGAAGAAGAGAGTTAAAGGTATGTGTTAGTTATGACACTGGCACTGGGCACAGGTACAGATAACTTACACGATCGTGTCTCAATCATTCATTATATGTAGCCGACTTTAAACAATATCAATCAGTTGCAGACAAGGGAATGTTGGATAGATTTGCATTCATTGGTGAGACAGAGTTGTTTGATGCAGTGTCATTGCTCAAGACTAGAAGTCACGTCGTCAACTACTTTGAGGAACCAATCGTCGTTCAGAAGCAACTGAGCGAGGGTGAGGATCTGTTAAAGACATTCTTTGCCAAGATTTAAAACAACATCATCATCATCATCATCATCATCAATTGATGAACATACACTACAGTGTAACTCGATCAATCAATCAATCAATCAATCGATCATTCATTCATTCATTCATTCAATCATTCAATCAATCAATCACAACAATGTAAGCTTACACTTCGATCATTTATAAATAGCAGTAGACATAGCATCAGCAACAGCAGCATCTACAATAAACAGCTATATATATATATATATACATACTAGACCATCGACTGAACAGATACCCTGCTTCTGCCCATGACATACCCTCACACAGATACCCTCACACAGATACCCTCGCACACTTACCCTCGCACACACTCACAGCCACAATTCCTAACTTCATTCATCCATTCATTCATCCAATGAGCCAATGATTATAACAATGGATACACTACCATTCATTGTACTACGAAATATAGTTAATAATATAAATGACAATAGTGATAGGTTGATGCTGTCATTGGTGAATAATAGATTGTTTAATAATAGACATTCATATCTATGTTTCAACTCTGATCAACTACCATGTTATACAGCATTCTACAATGACAACAACAACAACCTCACACTTAGATCATATCAACATATAATCAATAATGATATAAACAATAAGTTACAATCAATATTAATCTATTCCAATGTCGACTATTCAAGAAGGTTGATTGCCAAGTATGATTGTTCATTCTACATTGGTATGTGTATATGTTGACGTCGAGACTATCCCATGGCTCACTCACTCACTCACTTAATCAATCAATCAATCAAAGGTGATAATGATTTAATGTACAATGACTGGAGGAAAGATGTATTGGATATTAAGAACATTGGAAGTATTAAGTTTATTGATTGTGATGATAGTCCACTTAATCAAGCATTCTGGGATGATATGCCAGAGTTTATCAATACATTGCGAGCAAGAGGTGTTGTGGATATACATCTATTCTCATTCAGTGATAGGAACAAGTTGAGACTCAATCACATTGCCCTAAGTCACTTGGTCATTGACGACTTTGATGAAGAAGATTACAGATTGGAGCCAGACTCACTGCCCCCAACACTTGTTTCACTCAGTATACAACGTGAGGCCTATATCGATCCTGCCGCCTTACCACCATCACTCAAGTCCCTAAGTCTGTCCGAGTTCCCAAATGATCAACCGATTGATTGTTCCAAGCTCCCATCATCGTTGACCAAGCTGGTCCTTGACCACTGGCCCACGCATGTTCTAGACAACCTTCCTTCCGGTGTCACCACCCTAGACATCTACAGATCAATGAAACCTTTCGTGATCAAGCACACACCATTGCAATATCTTCGCACAGTACACTCGGTGAGGGACCTTACCGAGCATCCCCTCACTCATCTACGTGATCTTACAATCAGTCGAGCCAGCCACAAAGAAATGTCCAAAATGACATCTATCACCTTACCAATTCTACAGAGCCTGACAATCGTTGGATTCATCAACAGTGATGAGGATGGTGATCAATCAATAGACTTGTCAACATTGCCGTCATCATTGAGGTCTCTGGCAATGCATGTTGATCGACGTATCATCGGACTTCCTTGTGGACTGGAGAAGTTAGAGTTAACATTCAACAAGAAAGACTATGGACTGCCTAAATGTGTGCAGCTCACCAACGTCAACAGTCTCACAGTCATATACTACCAACGTCCACTCGAGCCCAATGACATCCCAACGACCGTAACAGAGTTGACATTACAGAGTTACTCTCAACAATTTGATCCAGCAGTGTTACCAACATCAATACGCAAGTTGACATGGAGTGGTGGTGCATACTTCAACATCAGACATCTGTTACATTATCTACCATTGACAATCTTAGAGTTGGACCTCAATCACTCATTGTTCAATCTACTTCGTATCTCTGACACGTTGTTCTTCAACAGGCAACACTTTACAATCAACTCTGGATTCATCGATATGACGACGATCCAATCAATGGTGACCGCAGATATTACTCTTAGGTGATCCAAACAACAACAACAATATATTATTAATTAATGTGATTGTTTCTTCAAGAACTGGCGGAACACAGTGAAGTATTCGTCATTTTTTGCAGTGATCATAACATAGTTGATCCCTTTGGTGAAGTCTGGGACTGTCTCTGACTTTCTCTTCTTGTTCTTCTTCTGATCCACCTTTTCTTCCTCTCCTCTTCCTCCTCTTCCTCCTTCAATTCTTCCTCATCCACTTCCTCTTTCGCATCTTTCATAACTGAATCATGTTCTTTCTTGAGATCCATCTCCTTGAGAAATGTGTCTCTCATTGTGTTTGTGAGACGCTTGGTGCTCTGAAGGACAATAGAGTATTGATCAGGCTGGATTCCAAGGATTCTGGCGAGCTTTACTTCTTTGTTGTTCTGCAGTTCGTTCTTCCTGAGAGTATTAGAGTTGTCCGTGAACTTCATAGAGTTGAACAGGTATCCAATTTGATCCAGTGTAGTGGCTGCAGACCTGGCAACAATATCCACCTTGCCTCCCCTATAATTTAGAATGATTGTTGAGGGGTTCATTGAGCCTGTTGTTTCGGGCTCATGATGTGGTGGGCGATTGACAAGATCGATACTATTGCTGATGGAGAATATCTTATTGTTAAGATCCAAAGGGAAAAAGTGAGATGACCGACCAAACAATTGACCAAATGTGATTGGCTGGGAGGGGAGCGGACCAACGTGAGTTGCATTGGGCTTTGGATCGGACATAATTAGATGGAAAGAGATCATTCGTGCTGCCTGGTAATGAGCACAAAAGGTTTCAAATTGCTCGAAACCAAAATCGCCATCTTGAACCGTGTTGAGCGCAAGTTTGAGGTTGTAATAAAGTGGGCGTAGATGAGAGACGTAGAGGTTGTCTGGTTGGTAGTCGACATAAATGTAGATAAAGTAGGGAGGAAGCTTAACAACATTATTGTCTAGAACCAGGAGTCCATTACTTTGCAATTGTTCAAAGGTGATGTCGGTGTTTGGAACCTTAGTATTGAGACTGAGTGAGATTCCAGTGAGGGAATAGGCAATGATAATTGGATAGATGTTCTTGTCGATTCTTCCATAGTGTTTGAGGAATCGTTCTCTGGTCGACCCAAGAATATCGCTGGTCTTGTTGAGTGGGTTGCCATTCTTGATTGATTTGATCATGATGGAAAGCGGTCTAGGCCAGCCACTGGTGAACATGAGCGCTCTCTCAATGTATTGGTTTAATACAATGCCGGCTGACTCGCAGACTCTTTTGACCGCATCTTGCGACAAAAAAGGAAGAGGGATACTAGTGAATGGATGAGAAGAGTCCTTATGGATCACTGTGGTAATGTCTCCAATTACAGTGCCACAGAGAGTGATGTTGAGGAAGAATGGGAGTGGTGCATTGGTAAGGAGGCCAGCTAGATTGTCACGTATGATTGCCTTGAGTACGGATCTTCTCTCATCTGGGTCTTTGCTATCATTGAGTGTGCGTTGAAACTCATCCAAGCCCAGGTTGATCAAGATGAGTTTGGACTTGTCTGTCATGGAGCCCAGATTGTCACAGGTAACAATGGAAGGATTCTTACTCTTGATCCACGCAGAGATATACTCGAAGCACAGTTCTATAGTCAAGGTGTGAATGTCAAAGGAGCTTGCAAAATCGAAAATGAATTTGTCGAATGTAGATTTKYGCAAGTACCATCCACAAAGTACCGATATAGTATTCGAGTCGATAAAGTGAGGACTGTGGTGCTGTCTTGAAGCTTCTCCCTGTTGTATGGTGTTGTGCTGTTGAAGGAGATGTTGATGTTGACCTGATTAACTGGCAATAGATGGTCACCTGCAGTTCGTTTAGAGATTGCCTCGAGGACCCTGGTCTTTCCAATACCAGGTGCCCCATATATGACATTGAAAGGGTGATTATCTTTGATGCCATCACCGTTGTGGCTCAGTCTCTCAACTGCACTTGATACTATCTTGTCCAGCACCGTACCTCTGCCTTCCAGGGATAGCTTTATCGAAGTGAGAGGTCGAGCATCTGTGGGTTCTCCATACTTGGTGAGGAACCATTTAAGGACCTGCTCAACATGTGCGCAATCACGTTCTATATATTGAGTGTGTATGTTAGTATTGAATGAAGACGCTGCACCGATATTGTTTGTACTTACTTGCTTTGAGTCGTTCTTGCAGATCATCCCACAATGATGAGGCGAATGGTTGATTGTTGCAGTACTGGACAAAGGTGTCTTTACTCTTTGCTATGTCCAAGAGTTGTGGACCATTTCTAAACTCATACTTTGATGTATCAGCACTCTTCTCTTCTTCATCAGGTGTGGAATTCTTCTTATAAGCAATCCACTGAGAGGTGTGGCTTTTGGTCCATAAAGAGACGCCTACATAGAATGTATTATGACACAATAATATCAATACAAACTACAAACGAAAGATACATACTGATCTTATCAAACTCGGAAACAGGGAGAGACATGTACAATTGGATGAATAATATGAAGTTATAATAATTATGAACAGAGATAAGAGTGATATATGTATGTGGATAATGATGATGTAGGTACAGATAAGAGATAATAAGAGTGTATGTAGACAAGTGAACTGTGTGTTGTGAGAACTACATCTTTTTAAAGATAAAATATGTATTTATTTTATCATCCCACCACTCTCAATACAATGAAGAGAATCAATCCTATTCAATGATAATAATATATTATATTATATTTATATCTGTACTTGGCAATAGAGTACTGAGAGACACAACTCAACTTGAGAAGTTTACAATTACAACCCGAATCAAAGTGGAGTGTAGATGTCCAACTGAACAGCCAAGGTAGTCAATGCTAAACAACACCAGCATCATGATACTACTACGACCACAGTGGCGACTACAGATTGATCTTGGTTGTCTTCATGATGATGATGTTGTCAGGTGCATTATCACACCACTTCACAATCAACACAATTGTCGACATTAACGAATGCATCGATCGAAAGCCACAACAACAGCCACTGGACTAGCAATCACTGAAACAACAGTTGCCTCGAAACTGGCACATCTGAGCAGTAATCAAGCGACATGAGATGCCGCAGTAGTGGCAGAGGGGAGAGTCGTGACAGTCGTGGCGATCATGACTGAGGAGACCCTGGCGACCATCATGACTTATGCCAAATCACTATGTCCATGCCCATTACGATGAGGATGAAGATAATACATGCAACACTTTACAATCAACTCTGGAATTATCTGCAATGTCACCGTTCCAAAATGATCCAATTACACATATGTGTGTATTGTGTATTGTTGTTGTTGTTGTTGTTGTTGTTGTTGTTGTTGTTGCTTTTGGTCTGGCGAATATCGTCGATCTTGTTGGCCAGTAGGCAGCCGTGGCAATTGCCACGGTGACATATGTCGTTGGCGTGCTGCACACCCGCGAGGCCGCATACCAGGTACACGGTCCACTGGATCAGCGTGCCCCCTGCGCCTCGAAATTCCCTCCTTAGGCCCATCTTCTGGGCCAGCTTGATGCCCAGGTCTTTGGACTTGGGGATGAACGCCATCATGGAGGGCGAGGCCACCTTGGCCTGCGACGTGGACGATGGCAGAGGAAGTAGAGGGAACCAGTTGCTGCTGGAACGTGGACGCCGTTATGGTCTCGGTCACCAATCAATGCCAAGACCGAAATGGTTGCACTGGAGCGAGATTATGGAGATGGATTTGTTCGTACTGATAATCGTTGAGAGAATCGATGTAGTTGTCGAGCATCGCGCCATGTGTCAGAAACAGACTGAGTAGTGCAGAGCCTTGAATATTGTCAAAGAATCGATCGCTGACCAGAGGAAGGCCGCAGAGGTGGAGATGGGACAACCTGCTCTCGCCAATCAAA